ACCCTTACAACAATGTCTTCACACCCATTGACTTGGTTGATAAAGTTGACCCTAGAGAGAGGGTAATGTCATGATTTGATCACTTTTTCATCATTTCTTTGATCATTTTATCTTATCTTGATATGGTGTTTTCTTATCACAGATCACAGCATCACACAGTCCAGGTTAGGGGCTCAGGAGGGTTATCTCTATTGATCCAAGGCTGTACGACACATGCTCTAGAAGGTTCTACCACAACCCATGACCAGCATTCCACATGGTACATAGTCTCATGACTCATTTGATGTAGATATGACTCAGACTGGACTTGATATAAATACAGTAGCTATTGTGTTGTATTCCCCAGTCTTGGAATACACTTTCTTATCAACTTTGTTTTTGGATTGATTGTCACAATCATGGATCTATTGTAGCTCCTTTCTCTTATCATCTAGTCCATCATGGGTCTGGGCATCTATCACTATAGCTCTAACCCTTGACTCTGATAGTCACTTGTCACAGATACTTATATAGTGTGAAACCTGAGCATATGGATTTTCAAACCATCTGTAAGGGCAACCTCGAGGCCCGGTGTCAGAGTCCTGGCAAGGGAGAATCCAAAGTGATTAATAGTGGTAGCTAGGTACAAGACCGGCATACCTGGCAAGGGAGAATCCAAAGAGAAACCGTGTTGGGGATTCTCCTTGCCAGGCGCCACTATTTATATGGTACAAGAACAATAGACCGCGCAGCGACAAACAAAGGACAATGGGAACCATAAGTACAATGGCCATGACAGAACAATAGGAAACCGAGACAGTGGGAACGATGGGACACCTGACCATGTGCCCATCAGGGAGAAGCGCTCGGCGTGGCAGTCCGGGCCGCGGTACATGACAGCTGACAGGTCACGCGAGCGCGATCGCATGCCAGATCCCAAGCTGATTGATCAGAAGAGGAGGTTCCCCTGACATCACCCCCCCCTTGGATTGCGGCGCCTCGACGCAACGTGCGGATGGTGGCAGAGGGGTGCTGGAACGGAAGGGAGTCGAAGATGGCGGCAGCAATGACGCGTGGCTTGTTGGGGTGCTTGCGGTAGAATGCCGCTATAGCGTCCTCTGCGAAGATATCAGAGTGCTTAACCCATTGGTCGTGCGACGAATCGTAGCCCTTCCACCGCACGAAGTACCAAATGCTCCGATAGCGCATCTTGGCATCCAGAACTTCTTCGACTTCCCGTTCCTCGTCAGCTCCTTGGCCCATGACAGGTGGCGGCTCTTCGCGAGCCGGGCGTGTTGGGAACGGGTCGTCCTCAACGAGCTGCAGCTTGACGACGGGGAAGACCGGGTGAAGACCAGAGAGGCGGCGAGGGAGGTCAAGCTTGTAAGCGCCGCGCCCAACAACCTGGGTGACTTTGAAGGGACCCAGCCGTCGGTGAGAGAGTTTGAGGGACGGGCGCGTTGTTGCTATGTCAGAAGCGTCAAGCCAGACTCGATCTCCGACCTTGATGTCTGGAGCTGAGACCCTCCGGCGGTCGTAGTACTGCTTGTACTCATCCTTTGCCTTCACCAGTGCTGACTTGGCCTCTGCCACTCCAGACGCGATGCGGTCGCGGAAGTCGTTTGCCGACTCGTTCACAGTTGAGCGTGGTCCATTCGGCTCAAAGCCCATGCGAGGGAGTCGACCGGTGTCGGTCATGAACGGGACCTGCTGCGTGGATGAGTGAACATGATTGTTGTAAGCAAACTCTGCAGCGGGAAGCAGCTCGTCCCAGTCGTCCTGGTTGTAGCTGGTGAAGATCCGGAGGAACTGCTCGAGCTCCTGGTTCACACGCTCGGTCTGGCCGTCCGTCTGTGGATGCCAAGCCGTAGACATTGCCGATGAGACCCCGACCAGTTTCCACAGCTCCTGCATGAACTCTGCTATGAACTGGGAGCCGCGGTCAGAGACATACTTAGACGGCAGCCCATGGTGGCGCCAGACGTTCTTGTAGAAAAGCCTGGCGGCACCTTCACCGGAGAGCCGGGTGTGGCATTCTATGAAGTGGCTGCGCTTCCCAAGCATGTCAACAACGACCATGATAGCATCATACCCGTGAGCGTCTGGCAGATGCACAATGAAGTCAACCGACACCGCTTCCCAGTGCTCCGAAGGGACCTCCGTGGGATGGAGTTCCCCGATTGGGAGTTGGCGGAGCGCCTTGGTTCGGCAGCACAGGTTGCAGGTGGCCACATACCAGCCGACGTGTCGAGACAACTGGGGCCACCAGTAGTTCCGAGAGATCAGCTCCAACGTCTTGAAGCGGCCGGCATGCCCTGCGACGCGGGTGTCGTGGTGCTGCTCGAGGATGCGTCGGCGGAGGTCGTTGTTGCGTGGAACCACCAGCTTGCCACGGAAGTAGAGCAGGCCGCCTTCTTTTCGCCACTCCGCAGCCCGAGCAGAGCGAACTCCGCGTTCCTTGAGGAGCTCACGTGCTGCCAACACAATGGGCTCCTCCATGTCGGGGGTACCGGCGAGGGCCTCCCGGATGTCGCGCAGGAGGGGGGCTTTGGGTCCAGAGACAGTGAGACCCTCTAAGGCCCGGACGTGGAACAGCTCCGGGCGCAGCAGCGTGACGTCTGCGTTGTCCGAAGCGACTCCGTGGTTGGGGCGGCGCGAGAGAGCATCCGGGCGGCCCATGAGGCGGCCAGGTTGGTGGTGCAGGGTGAAGTGAAGCGAGACAGATAGAGGGACCAGCGGGCTTGACGACGGTTGAGATTCTGGGCTTTCCGGAAGTACTCCAGATTTTTGTGGTCGGTCCAGATCTCAACGGGGTGCTCGGCGCCCTCGAGGAAGTGTCGCCACTCCTCCAAGGCGCGGACGATGGCGAGCATCTCCTTGTCGTGGATTTCGTAGTTCCGCTGGACCTCGTTAAGACTCTTCGAGAAGAAGGCAACCGGGTGCCACTTGTCATCCACGGGGGACTGCTGCGAGATGACAGCACCGGTCGCGAAGTCCGAACTGTCTGCCTCAAGGCGGTAAGACCTGGAAGCATCCGGGAGCTGCAGGACTGGGGTAGAGGTAACAGCGTTCTTCAGCGCAAGAAACGCAGCTGCCTCGTTGGCGCCCCAAGTCCATGCCACGTCCTTCTTGGTGAGGTCAAAGAGAGGACGGGCAACGTGCAAAAAATCCCGGATGAACCTCCGGTAGAAGTTAGTGAAGCCAAGGAACTGCTGCACTTCCTTCTTGTTAGCCGGAGCTGGCCACTCCGCCACACCTGCGACCTTGACCGGGTCTATCTCCACATGGTTGTGGGAAATGATCACCCCGAGGTATTTGATTGACAGCATCTCGAACTCACATTTCTCCGCGCGAAGGTAGAGCTTGTTCTCGCGGAGACGTCGGAGGACTTCGTTCACGATTTCCCGGTGACGGTGGATATCGGAATGTGCAATGAGAATGTCGTCGAGGTACACCATAACGTCGCCAGAGAGGATGAGGTCCTGGAGTATGTCATTCATCATCGTCTGGAACGTTGCGGGGGAATTGGTCAGGCCAAAATACATCACCAACGGCTCAAAGAGCCCGCGGTTTGTCCGAAACGCTGCCTTCCACTCGTCGCCTTGACGAATGCGCACGTTGTTGAAGCCCCAGCGAACGTCGAGTTTGGTGAAGAACCGAGCTCCCTTGAGCTTGTTGATGAGATCATTGATCAGGGGGAGCGGGTAGCGGTTCTTCACTGTCATCGCGTTTAGTGCTTGGTAATCTTGGACAAACCGTAAGCTGCCGTCTTTCTTCTTCACGAAGAAGACGGGAGATGCCATGGGCGATTTTGACGGCCGAATCCTGCCAGTAGCCATGCCCTCCTCAATGAAGCTGTCGAGCTGCTTCTGTTCGAGAGGGGAGATGGGGTAGACCTTACAGTTGGTCGGCTTCGCGTCGGGAACCAGTTCGATGGCGTGATCCCATGGGCGTCGCTCTGGCAGGTTGTCGAAGGACTCCTTGCTGAAAACATCTTTGAACTCGCGTGCCCACTCGGGGATGGTATCCCGAGGAGGTGCAGAGTTCTTAGCAAACGCCTCGGCGAGTCGCTGAGAAACGGTGCTGGTGGCTTGGATGTTTTCAGAAGGGTTGAAGCGGGTGTAAAAGATGCGGTCACCGGCTTCCAAGGAGTCGTCATCTTCTTCGACATCTTCAGGGTCATAATCGTCCAAATCTGGCGAAAGCTCCGGCATCTCTTCGTCCTCGTGGTCCTCAACGTCGACAGCGCAGATGGATGGAACCGGACCTTGTCGGATGGTGCGAAGCACCCAGGCCGCGGTTCTGGCAGATCGACGTTCTTCGCGAAGTTCCTCCCGGCAGGTGGAGCAACCGGAAGGGCAACGGCTCATCTTTACCTCCTGGGTATCCCAGTTGATCTCCGGGTTGTGCTTCCGGAGCCAGGAGTACCCTAGAATGAGCTGCTGCTTGCCTAAACGGGTGACAGCAAGCTGCACGCGTTCGCTGTGGCCCTGGTAACGGAGAACCACATCAGCAACTTCGCGAATGGAACCGGCCTCGTTCGGCGTGCCGTCCACGTTGTAAACGGGGATAGGCTGGGTGAGGCGACGAACGGGGAGGTGATTTTTGAGGACGTAGGCCGAGTCGATGAAGTCGGATGTGGCACCACAATCGACCAGGCCTTTGAGAGATAACTTCACTGCGTTGTCGGTGGACTCGATCTCGAGGGGGAGGTGGAGAGAATTGGCCCCGGGAGAGGCGGCAGCGACATAGCAGGAAGGGAGCTTGCGTTCCCACTTCTCCTTACGGACTCGTGGGGTTAGAGGGGGAGCAGGGTGTACGTCTATCGCTTCAACTGTTGCAGAGTGGAGGGAATTGGATTCATCATACAAACAGGAGAAACGATTACGTGAAGCGAACGAGGGCGTACTACTCACTCGTCGCTGGGGAGAAAACCCTGCTCCACCTCAGCCGCGACATCGGCCGCGTGTTCTGCGACAGCTGCAGTAGTTGCTACCCGAGCGACCAACTCGGAGAGCAACTCACTTCCCAGCTGATTGATGACCTCATCAAGGACATCAGCATGACGGATGTCAGCTGGGGTGGGGCAGTCACGGGCAAGATGTCCCGGACTGCCGCAGCGGAAGCAGGTACGGCGGACATCACCGCGGAGCCGGGCTCGGTCGACCTCCATGGGAACAGGGTGGGCAACAGGGGCCGGCGCCGGGCGGGCGGCAACAGCCGGTGCTACAGCAGGGAGCACCGGGGCACGAGGACGTTGGGCAATGGGAGGTGCCCGAGGGGGAGGGGCAGCATGCCCCCAAGATGCCTTGGCAGCAATTTCCGCATTGTATTGCCGGAAAGCACGGACACGCCATTCGGCGTAGTCGGTGAGGCTGGGAGGGTTGCCAGAGGTGGTGATGGCCTGGTTGATCTTCGGATCCAGCCCTGTCCTATATTTGGTCACCTTGACCAGGTTGTCGGTATAACCGGCAAGGTCAAGGAGGTCGTCATACTCGTCTGTGTACTTGAACACATCTCGCGAGCCCATATAATATAGATGGGTCTCCAGTCGTGCCAGGGCGTGGTCTTGCTCGTTCTCCTCGACGAATCGGAGCTTGAACTCGGTGACAAAGAGAGTCCAAGTGGGGAAGGGGAACGGGGTGCGCTCAGACATGCGCTCGGACCAGGAAGCCGCAGAGTCCTTGGACATGTAGGACAGGGCGAAACGGACTACCTTTTCCTCCGAGACTACCCCGTTTTCGAAGAACGCTTCGGGGAGCAGCCGCCAGTACTGCTTCACAGAGTGCAAGAAGCTCTTGCCCAGGGTGCGATCCCCATCAAAGACAAAGGGGGGTTTGGACGGATGAGAGGGCGCGCAGAGTTAGCGCCAGCAGAAACACCTGGACGCGCTGCCGGAGCTGGAGCAGGGGCAGGGGCAGGGGGCGGTTGTTGTTGTTGGGTGATGAGCCGGGTGAGCACGGCTTCGATATTTGTTATGCTGGTCTCCAGAGCGGACAGCCGCTGCTGGTTGTGGTCTTCCATGCTCATCGGGTCTGCTTGTGGAGGGGAGGAGGGGGCAAGATAGGAGGTGAGGGAGTGGTGGTCTTGGTCGCTCGTCGACTCTTCTCCACTGGCGTCAGCGTCGAACCTCGCAATCTTGTCCGGTTATCCCTAGGAACACGGTTTCTGCTGTAAGGGCAACCTCGAGGCCCGGTGTCAGAGTCCTGGCAAGGGAGAATCCAAAGTGATTAATAGTGGTAGCTAGGTACAAGACCGGCATACCTGGCAAGGGAGAATCCAAAGAGAAACCGTGTTGGGGATTCTCCTTGCCAGGCGCCACTATTTATATGGTACAAGAACAATAGACCGCGCAGCGACAAACAAAGGACAATGGGAACCATAAGTACAATGGCCATGACAGAACAATAGGAAACCGAGACAGTGGGAACGATGGGACACCTGACCATGTGCCCATCAGGGAGAAGCGCTCGGCGCGGCAGTCCGGGCCGCGGTACATGACAGCTGACAGGTCACGCGAGCGCGATCGCATGCCAGATCCCAAGCTGATTGATCAGAAGAGGAGGTTCCCCTGACACCATCCTCTAAGGATCTTCCTCTATGCTCTGATTTGTGTAAGGTTATTGTGTACTACATGTTCTCTTCCTGTGTGCTAGTAGGAGTTGCTCTTATAATTGCAGTTAATGCTAATCACCAATGTAGCAATGCCTATAGATAGTAAGGTACAGAGAAAAGGCCCTATAATTCTGCAGAATAATCAGAAGAAATGTGCATCTGATATTGATGCAAAGCTAGTGGGCTGACAAAGCTTCCAGACTCCTGGGATGCATGTGTTGCTTGCAAGTGTCTAAATAGTGTGCTGTCCATATCTTGATTTGGTACTGAAGCTGGATAGTACCACTGTGAACTGGAATAGGATGTGGATGTAGATGCTTGAATTTGTGAGTGGCAATCCTGAACAGGACTGGCCAAGTCTAAAGAAACTTGTGGACTAGTCAGCTGCTTGCTAGGTCCTATGTCTGCTTGAGGCAATTCAACAGATTCAGAGCAGGCAGCTGGTATCTCTGATTCAATAAGTAGCATCTTTTCAGAGACCAAGATACCAACCTTTGCCAACTCGTTTTCTGTAAGGTCCACGCTTGATGCCTTTTTGACGTTCTTTTCTCTAAGTCATATTAATAAGAGTATAAAGAGACCAAATAATTCAGATCCACCTGTGAGTCCATACAACCTTCTGCACCAAATCCATATTTAACACAGCGAAGACATGGTCTAGCTTGGTCACACTTCTTGCATGCTTTTTGGCAATTTGTACAAGCAACCTTGACTTGTCTGCGCTTTGGGTGCACACTTTGTGTTGCAAAAGAGGGAAATGGGTACATTTGAAGAGGTAGAGAAGCTGATGATGACTCCAGGTTGGAATGATTGACAAAATCATTGGAAAAGTCCTGCTCATTTTGGGGTAGATCCTTCTCAATAGTGTTGGCCATAGAGAGAAGCAAGGTTCAAGATCACAAGCAGAGAATTTGATGCTGCAGACACAGTGATCTGCACTAGAGACAAGGCAGCAAACCTGTTAGTGTATTTCAGTAAAAAGAAGCAAAAATACCAAGAAATTTGAATATAGACCAGTGAAATGTGAGAGATTTGATAGAATTTGGTGTTCAGAACTAGAGAATGGCTCCTGCTGCTACCAGAAGAGCAATTAGATTGCTGACAGAGATCCCAAACAATGGGGTCAAGTCTGGAAGTAGTGCACACCAATAGATGTAAAAGAATCTCAAATCCCAGCAGAGACAAGTGCAAGGCAAGATACCACAGGCAGAGATGTTGTAGACAATATCATGCAGAAGAGATGTCAATCAAAGGCAGTTGTCACCTGTAGAGTGCAAGTCTGAGCAAGTGCTGCACAAACAGAGCTGTGTTGAGTACCTATAGAAACAAGGTCTAGGTACAGATTGTGAGTAGCACTCATCAGAGATATAAGGAAAGACCTACATGTCAGCAAGTGCAGTGGTACAGAGCTAAGCACATATTGTTTAAAATGCTATGCTTATATACTAGTCTGGGGCAAGATGTCAATGATATCATGGATCAGTCATGAGTGCAAGTGATGACATCACATGTGAGGTCATTATGGAGCAGAACCAATAACTACTAATAATGATGTCCTATCTAGAAATTTTAATAGTTGCTAATATAAATATGCTTCAATAGGAGATATTGGACAGGGGAAGCCTGAAAAGACCTTGAACACTATTTGAATCAGGACATGGTTCAAATTCATCATTTAATGCCGAGTCGGCATGATGGCATCTACTTTCCTACCAATGCATAATCGCTTGGACTGCCGCTTTCAGTCATGTCTTCTTCCCGAATTATTTCTCGAATCAGTCTGCGTAACTTGAAGCCGCTACGATCCTCTCAGCACAATGTATGCTCTCTCATTTCCAAAGAAGTTTTCTCTCATACACGTGCTCCCAGCAAAAACGCGTGGGAAGAGGTCAAGGTTCAGGATATGGTGGAACAGCCAGTCGTGGCATGAACGGTCAAAAGTCTCGGGCTGGGCCTGGTCCGCACTCCAGCTTCGAGGGTGGTCAAACACCCATCACGAAACTGTTCCCGAAACGAGGCTTTGTCAACCGGTGCGCCGTTTGCACGATGGTCTTTACCACTACTCACCTACTCGTAGCAATGACCGGCAATGGGCTCCATTGAACCTCGACAGGTTACAGCATTGGATTAGCGAAGGCCGCATTGAATCTTCGCCTGAATCTCCTATTACCGCCCGCGAGCTCCTCTTGAGTGGTTGCGTGCATGACGTTCATGACGGTATCAAGTTGTTGGGAGATGTACGTTTTTCCTCTCTCTCGGGCAGTGTCGACGCCTTTGACGCCCTTTTTTTTTTGTCTAGGGTGCACAATTTTTCAAGACGCCGATTTACATCACACCCTCCCGTGCTTCCAAAAGCGCAATAACGGCCATAGAATCCAATGGCGGGAAAGTGGTTTGCAAGTACTACAACCCGCTTGCGCTACGTGATTGTGTGAAAGGGAGAACCGATCGAATTGAGGCAGCTCCTACCCGCCGAACCGACATTGGTATGTGGTGAAGACGATATCCTTGAGTAGTCCCCACCTCAATTCTTTTTACAGTTTGGTATAGTCGGCTGCGAAACCGAGGCTATCTTTCTCCTGGGACATTACGCAAGGTCGGGCCGTTGCCTTTTGTTCCAGAGCGATGGACAATGCTCGCGAATGAACTAGGCAAGTGGAGAGATGAGGACTTTTCCACGAAAAAGGGCAAGAAAGGCAAAAAGGCCAAGCACAATCGGTAGTGCACAGTATAATATACATGCTCTCGTGAATCATTTAACCTCGTCGGCGTTCATCTTTGTCGCGCCGCGGAGGAGATCGTGACCGGCGAAAGCGTTCACGATCACGACTATGTGACCGTCGTTTCGAACTAGATTTGGGCATATCGAAGACGAGATTGTAGCCACCGCGACCTCTATCGTCCCGGTCCTCGTTCCGGTATTTCTGTGTGCGTTCCAGATCATCTCTACCGGCAAAGCCTCCACGAGTTTGGCCTCGAGGAGCACGTTTGATATTGTTGGACCATGAAGTGTTGGTTCGTGCGACAGATTGGGAGCTGAGTTGGGTTCATAAATGACGGAGAGATGAGATTTTAGCCACCCACAAGTCCACCCAGATACGTCGATCGTCGACCAGGACGTTCTGCATTTTGAAGTACGCCTGAGTAACCGTTAGACAGATTGCCAGGAAAAGCACGAAAGCTCGCCTGTTCAGCTTCCTCACGCTTGTCGAACTCGATGAAGGCGTACTGAAGCGAGTCTCCGGTCCTTTTGTCGCGTATCACTTGACAACTCATAATCGTTCCAAACCGCGAGAAGATCAACTCAAGATCCTCGTCTCGCGTGACGGGATTGAGTTTGCACACGAAAAGAACGTTTTCGGGAGGGCGCACATTGGCAAACGGCAAATCTCCGACTAGTTCAAGGGTAAGAGCAGAAGCTGCCGCAGCTTTTTCGCGTCGGATGCGTTCTTCCTCTTCCTCAGGTAAAGTCTCCAGAGGGTCTTCGTCCTCAGCAATACGATTAGAATTGTCAGGGGGTCTGATGGGTGACGAGGGTGGCTGTATTCGGCCCAGCTCGGTCGGGTCGGTAAAAGGATCATCTGAGATGAGTTTAGTAAGTTCGAGCTGATTTAGCCAAATCACAATACCGAGGATAAGGACATGACGAATACGAACGTCCTTGAATGGTCGGCCGTCCTTGTCAGTGAAGACATCGTTCAGCTTGTCAAGTGTTTCTAAGCCTTCCACCACATGCCCGAAGACGCAGTGTTTGCCGTCTAGATAGTCGATGTCGTCCGCAAGTGTGACAAAGAACTGACTACCGCAGCCCCCTTGAGCGCTTCCTTCCACTTCCGGAGCAACAGCCATCGAAACGGTGCCTTTGCGAGTGTGCTTCAGTTTCGGCCGAAATTCGGGGGTGAAATATCGAGCTTTCGACGGATCTAGGAGTGACCATATGGACTGTCCACCTGTACCACTGGCAGTCGGGTCTCCCGCTTGTGCTAAAAAGTCTTTGGACACTGGGTCAAACAAGTCAGACTCGGGGAGAGACCTTAGGCATCTGGAATGTACCGTTGAAGAATGCATTCAAGTTATAGTAATAGATCTTGCAGAGTTTCAGAAAGTTTTCGCATGTTTTGGGGCATGCGTCCACTTCCAAGTCAATAACGAGGTCTCCGAGCGATGTTTCGAAGAGGACGGACATGTTGTAGACATGCCCAACAAGTATTGTTTGCTTCTGTGTGGTTGTCAATACATCTTTCTTGTCGTATCTGCTTGTCGTATCTGCTATCAATGCCCCAAACCCCAGGACCCACAGCTCCCGACTCTCCTCGATCTTCTCAGTCCCCTCCTCCTTCTGGGGCGCAAGGAGATCTCGAACTTGAGCTCTCTGCCCTTGCCAACGCATTATATAATCTCGGGACGACCGTGATCAACGACTCTACCAAGGATCGCGACAAGCCGAACGGGGGAAAACAAGTCGGGATGCGTGTGAATGACGTTGTCACCCACCTGAATAGCATAGATTCAATCTCCCGCGATCTTCGTACCATGATACCGATGCAGATTCTCGCAGACATCGACAATGCTCGGAACCCCATGCAGCTTACGCGCGAACGCCTCGAGCGGGCGGCCACCGAGAACCAATTCATGAACGGAAAGATAGCTGCCATCGGATCGTACCGAAACTACCTCAACGATGCTCTCGTTCAGAGCTTTCCGGACCTGGAAGACGCGTTGCAGCTTAGCAGTTCAGAGAAAGCCTCCACCGGCAGTGGTGCTTGAAATCGCATTGTCTCTCAGTTATAACATAGCTACCGCACAATTCCAGCCTGAACTTCCACTTGGGACGCGGCGACCTCTCCGATTCGTGCTCCTTGGCTGCCTCGTCGGCCGTTCATCTTCCTCATTAACCTCTTCTAATCGAGTCAACGGCGTTCCCGGTGTTCCACGCAGTTGGGATTCTTTATTGGCTCGCCTCGGGAAAGGGCTCGTCGGGGGTGTTGTCGCAATGGACGTTCTCCCTTTAGGCAGCGTATGTTCGACTGGGCCTCTCTTCCGTCGCAATCCAACGAGAAGTTCGATTTCGTGCCGAATCTCTCTATCACTGCGATCTTTCGGTGTGAGAATCTGCGATATGGCTGGGAGTTCCGCGTTGAGAGCGTTAGCGACTTGATCGAGGGCGGTTCGATGCATGTTGACCAGATCTTGGTGACAGCCAAATGGCGGAGTCGCCAACAGGGTGATTACCACAGCTTCCTCGTTCTCGTCCTCAGTCTGGATAGCAAAGCATGTTGTCCTATGCTCCATCTTTCTGGTGAGTTGGGTTTCCAGGGACTCGTAGGCATGAGTGAGGTTCACAAGCAGACGTCGGGCATTGCGGATCGGGCGAATGGTTGGGTCCGGCATCATCGATCAGAGAGGGGAGCAAGGATGGATGGATGGATGGATTCACTGCATAGGAGTATCGGTTGTCTCAAGTATCTACGGGTGGAATGGGCGTACATCATAAAGGACACGTCAAAATCTAATCTGTTCCGCCATTGTGCATGTTTATCCATGCTTGTCATACATTCTGACCTTGCCTCTCCATGATTCGTCCATGATCCCAGGTGTCAATCGTGTGCCTCAATATCTCTGGCCAGGCCAAAGACTCAAGCCTCGCACATTGCAAATAACCCGCTTGCGTCAACAATTGGCTCAAATACTGAAAACAGGCCAAGTTGTCGCGCGTCCGAACGGTGCTGTGAATGTCCAGGATGTGGTGCGTCGACTGCCTGACACCTATGCATCTCTGTCACCAAGTTGAAATAGTTGGGACATCCTGAACTACGTGGCTACGATTTTCGTACCCTCGAGAAGGTTCTCCGTTTGGAGCACACGAAGTACCAGCTAGTGTATGATCCCTCTCATGCCATGACCTCTGCTTGGTGGATTTTACCTATCCCAAACCCCGATTTAAATGTTAGTGTCCCACATCGGCATGTTTCGCTATATGCTAAGCGCTGACAGAACCCTTACCTCGCCCTCAAACGCCTTACATCCCCGAAACTCACCAAGCTTGCGGTCCATGGCACGTCGTTGACAGCATGGCAAAGCATATGTGGGTTATTTACTGGTCATTGTTACCCCCTTCCTCAAACCTTTATCCAGTACGTGACGGCGGACTGTCCAGAATGGCTCGCGACCACATTCATCTGGGACAATCTCTGCACGGTACCTTTGTTCCGGGGCTCGCAAGCGCCTATGAGATTCTCATTTACGTAGACGTGTTCCGAGCGATGAAAGCCGATATTACCTTCTATGCTGCTCCGGACAGTACACTTCTTACCCCAGGCGACGAGTTGGGATACCTCCAGAGCCGTTTCTTTTCGCGAGTCGAGCACATCAGCACCGAGATCGAAAACATTCCCACGTCTAGATACGATGATCCTATTGCCTGGCGAAATACAGATCGTTGAACAAGATAAGGGAAAATATAGAATCAGGGCGAGCGCGAGAATGAAAGCCCATGCTCACGTCTTTTCTCTCTTCTCCTTTTTGGCTTTCTTCTCCTTCTTCTCAATGACAGTCTGCGCAAGTGAGTGAGAAAGAGAGTTTGCGAACTCAATGAATCTGACCTCGTCGGTAGTTTTGGCCGCCGCCTTCGCTGCTTTCTTCGCTGCCTTCTTCTCCTCCTTGCTCAACTTCACCCTCTTGGTGGCGGGCTCGGCGTCGTCTACATCCATGGCCTCACTCTTGCGCTTCTTCTTCTCTTTCTTGGGCGACGGCTCGAGTGTTGTCAGAGGCATCTCGGCGTCAGCGTCGTCGTCGGCATCGTCCTCCAGGGCGAGATCCTGCAGGACCTTGCGCATGGCCTCCGAGTTTTTAGAAGGGGCAGCTCCAGTCTCGAAAAAGTTGAGGCGCTCTTCAACTTGCGCTCGCAGAGCTTCTCCAAACTTGGCGGTGGGATTGTCTAGCGGAACATGTAAACACTCCAACAGACAAGCAGACATGATACACACCCGCGTAGCAGTCTATACGCGAAGCAATAGAACACTTGTTGGCAAGGAATCGTGAGATGCGGCCCTTATGTTTCGGGCCTGCACGTCCGATGAAGGATGAGTGGTAGATTAGGCCGTACTATCGACGATTGAGCGAGTGGTACAGACAGCGAGAACAAACACATACCTTGGGAGTATTGCCCTTCGTCTTGAGTGCGCGGAAGAGGGCCTTCTCTGCACCTAGAATCTGGACGGTGCTTGCTGGATACTTGCTCAGATTCGTGAGACTCCCCGCGTGGCTGATCAGGCGAGCGCCAACGCGCTCGCCCAGAAGCGCCGTCAGGCTCGGGGCGACCTGATTCATTTTCTCCGAAAGGTACGACACAAGCGACTTTCGATATTCTGCAATGGACACAACGCGCGTTGCAAAGGCAGAGATGTTGAGCATGTCGATTTCGGAGAGCGAAGATCCCATCGAGCCACGGGATGCATCCAGAATATTCTGAGCCAAAGTCGAGTCGTCTCCAAGCAGAGCCGCAAGGTCTGCCAGCTTCTCCTCATTTAAGACGTCTTTGTCCCCGATGAATTGTGCAACAAGGGCATACTGGTGATTATCCGGAACGATGCGCACAAGTTCGGGAAAGTGGTACCCGTACCACTCTCGTATCCGCATCGAGAACAGGTTTACGTCCTTGTCCAATTGATCCAGGAGCGCGATGGCCTGAATGATCATGTTGTCGATTCGGTTCACGTTGAATTTCAACTTGGAGCGGGAGTACGAGTGACCCAGACCCAACTGGGCCTTGGTCAGGTCGTCATCCTGCAGTCCCTTGAGCAGCTTGTTTGCGTGCAATCGAATGCCTCTGATGAGCTCCTCCGCCTCGACAGACGCATCGCAGTTGATGTTGAGAGCATCCTTGATGCTTTTACCAATGCTACTCTCTGACACAGCAAGAAGGACGGAAGATTTCTTCGAACCCTTGGCGACAGTCAGCTCCAGGAGAGATTTCAAGTAGTCGTTGAGGATGCCTGTGGTCATGAGTTCAATTCTGCATGATGAGATAGCAACAGACCTTCGGATACATCGTTCGCGTTTTCCAGAGCTTGTGCCGCGCTCTTGAAGGGCAAAAAGCTCATTAACGTGACAATTTTCCCAAACTTCGCTAGGTCGGTGATCGACTGTTGCACTGCTGCAGTGCGAGAGCCAATGTCGTCCGAGAGCTTGGCTTCAAAGATGGCATAGCCGGAAGCAGACTCAAAAAGGGCGTGGGTGATGCGGCCCATGGCGCCGACGAGGATGGAGACTGGGATGAACCAACTTTTTTCGATCTGACAGGCACAGCCACCGTAACATGTATGCTAAATGAGGACAAATCTATCGAATGGACAGCACGCCGCTCTTAGTGGACCCTTCTCTGCTACTTGAGGGCTTACTCTTCTTGCCTTCAGAAGAGGGAATATCCCATATCTTCCAAAACTTGAGGCTTTCGTCCCCAGCTCCGGTGACCACCATGTCTCCAGCAGGCGAAACTGCACTGAAAAGGACTCGAGAGTCATGGGCATCCCGAATTTCGGCCTGATTCACTGGTCAGCAGGAACTCAACCGTTCAACGATCGTGCCTACAACTCGCTCCATGCTGGGATATGCCCACACTCCAATTGCGTTGGTAGGATAGCCATGTGTACTCAGAATTTCTTTGCGATGAGGAGCAAAGTGCAAGCTGGTGATTTGAGATGGGGTCGTCTGACTGTGTAATCGTGCACCAGTGGTGCTGTTCCAGACATTAATTGTGGCATCGTTCGTGCCGCCGCCAGACGCAAGCAAGTTCGGCTGCCAGGGCGACCACGCCAGAGCCTGCAATCATGAGGGTGGAGTCAATGAGCACCAGCAAAGCCTACCTTGACAGCAGCAGTGTGATTTCGTTTCGTCCATTTCGCATGACCCGTGGCAGCACCATCCCCTCCAACTGGGGCATCGCCAACTCGCCCATCCCAGATATTGACCACATTATCGTTGCCCCCACTCGCAATCAGTTCTCCGTCCTTCCGCCATTCCAATCCACACACTTCACCGTTGTGTCCAAGCATCTCCATCACTTTATGTCTGGGGACACGAACGTCGTGGTGCCAAACCGATCCGTCCCCGCAGCCTGAGGACAGCAGATGTTGGTACCAGGAAAGAACTGCGATCTGAGCTTGGTGGCCACCCATCGTTCTGAGCTTCGTTTCGCGCCCAACATCCCAAAGCTCAACATCTCCATTGCTCAGGCCAATGCCCAGAAAGGCCCCATCGTTGGAGAAGTTGACGCTGCTGACATACGTACCTGCGGGTGCCTCACCCATCTGCATCACCGCACCGGTGTCCGCCCTCCAGATGTATGTGCTGCTTTCCAATGCCACAGCCACACAATTCATGGCCGACCAACTAAGCAGGTTGAGGTAAAAGTCGTCGACCATCCCCGGTGCATCTAGAACTCGCTCCGGCTGAGTGGAAATCTTGCGCGACTTGTTCGTAGTAGAACCAGTCGAGGTGGAAATCGAGCCTGGGCGATTGGCGTAAAGCGGGCGAGCGAACTCACGCTGGAGTGTCAGCGTCTTGTCTGCAGATGATGATGGAGGAGGCAAATGGTATCCAAGAATACGTTTATTCAAAGGCACTCCGGTAGCGGCTGCCAGCCGGGCTGTGTGAGTGGGCGAGCCGGAGGGTGGATTGAGAGACATCTGCTCGAGAGTGGCTGAGACCTCGAGGGTATGGTCGCGTGCGGTGATAAATCGATCGCGCTCAGAGACGTTCTAATGAGCAGAAATCGGAAAACAATGGCGAGATGTGTTAGGAGAGGAGGACGAAGCGGACTGAGAGAGACATACGATGACGGGTGTGGAACGGGTGCGCTTGACTTCAGCAGGTTTCGCCGGAGGTGGGACGTAGTCCAGGGTAACAACGTCTATTCTACTTTCAACCCCGCCTTTACGTATGAGGCCCCCGTTCGCCTGGCGCTGGAATGCGTCGGATAGAGGGATAGCTGAAGAGGTTGTACGTTTGATTGGGCTCTCAATGGATACAGCGTTGAACGCAGAAACCAATGTTGGAGTCAAAGGCGTCTTTGAAGGGGTCTTGGCTTCAGAGCGAACTCGACGGTGAGAGGGCGTTTTCACGGTAGAAGACATGGTGCGAAGGATGGCCAACTTCACACGTGATCGTGTTGCTCGCAGGTAGGTACTAAGTACCAGACGGTAAGTAGAGGGGTAGACTGGATCACGGTGATTACTTGAATAAATGAAGTCACAAAAAAGTCGAATATTTATTTATCGTGATGGCGATTGCAATGAGGCTAGTGCCACCTCCAGTACTCAACAACTCGCTCGACCCGCTGCCTCTCAAGGCCGGTCTCATTTCTTCGGATGCGAATGATAGTCTCAGTTCTGGTTTTGACTTCGGCTTCTGTTTGAGAGCTTTCTAAATCGCCTGTGTTATTGCTCCATTCCATCCAGTGTTCCTTCCACGAGTCGTCATCGTCTGAAGGTTGCCTCGCTTTAAGAGTGCGTGCGTCGGATTCCTGTGACTGTTCGACGAGATTGTCCCATCTCCTGGGTCTGAAATGTTTGAAATTCGCAGGACCGTCGTCGTTTCCTTCGCGTCGTCGCTTGACGGCAGTGCTGACAGGCCTAGGAGTTCCTTCGTCGTCGCTCAGGATACCAGAAGCGATGCGCAGTCGCCAGCGCAATTCCCGGGCCAGTGCCGCAGCGTCCTTGACTCGATCCGCAGGCACCTGGTCCTTCATCTCTTTCTTTGCTGCCTCGCTGCCGGTTTCTAGCATGCGGGCCTCTGAGACAAGGAAATCGGCCAGCGCAAGCAAGGACGAAAGCAGCCGAGGAGACCAATCTGGTCCACTCAGAGCCTTGAGATCTCTGAGATATTTATCGCCAACATACCAGCATAATCTAGAACCTTAGTCAGTTGTGGGTATGGAACGAAACAGTTGCATGCCTGCAGAACAACGGGAATCGGAACTTCTTGGGTACATGTGTGTTAATCTCAATTTTTCTGATCTTCAGCTCTGCAATTGTGCCGTTATGCGACAGATGCAATGACAAAACGCGAGCTTACGCATAGGCACCGAGAATGAATGCAAAAAGTTTCCACCGAAGACGATCGTGTCGACTGGGGTATAAACTGCATGAATCCAGCCACTGCGACGAGTAAGCACCATATGGTTCAACACGAATCTGGCTCACCTGGGGATAATCATAGTGTTCCCTTCCGTCAGGACGACTTTGATCACCTGATCCACCATGTCTCCGAGCCAAGATGAGTTCTGTAGCTCGGTCCCAGACCATTTCTCGTAGACCGCCAGGTTTGCTGCAGTGGGTTTGATAAAGTAAAACACCTTCCGATGGAGATGAACACGTCGCGCTGGATAATGATCTGGCCGCTGCATACCTTGGAGCCGCGCAAGATATGGTAGTAAACCGAGGAGCCGGCGAAGTCGACATGCCAATCCTATCGTCCTCAGCACAGAGTGCGGCCAGTTGATCGAACGACTTTACCGTCCAAGCCTTCGTCACGCCCATCAAACAGTACAACTGGACTTTGGGAAACGCATGACCCTTGCCCTTTTTCGTGTTCGGCCAGAAATTGTCTACCCAATCCAGGTCGCGCACGAACTGCGGTGGAAGTATCGTATCGCCGAGTTTGGTGCCTGTGACCTCAAGTGATATCACATTGTAGATCTTGTCGCGCGAGTCAGGTTCAGCGATGTATTTGGCCCATTTCCCTAGCGTCCATCCATGCGATGCAGATTGCGTAGCTACGTCGATGACTTCCAGGGGTGAATCGACGCCGACAGATTGTGCGACGTCGTCGACCGTGAACTCTGGCCCTGGCATCTTCATCCCCAAGCCATCCGGCTTCTCAATCAAAACAGGACTAGTCATGGCGTCGGCATCTTCCTCCAACCACTCTAGCGTCAGTTCGCTGCCTTGCATGCGCCGAAACACATCTTTCCCAAACTCTTTGTTGTCGAGAACGCGTAAGAAACGAGTCGGATCCGACGCCAGTCCAACACTTAAACTCGCGTAGTCTTGGGCCGTTCGTTTCCGATCTGACTTTCGAGTAGGGCGCTTGAGGGTGATTTTGCGCGAAGGATTTTGCTCCAGACATGGTGGGCAGTACCTATGGACCTGTATGAGATATATGAACCGCCGCAACGGCCCTGGCGCACTCGCCATTTGTCTATTCGGTCAATGGCGTAATCTCTTTTCTCCTCATCGGACAAGAATTCTGGAGGATTAACCGAGGCACAGCGCCAATGATACCATGCCTTGCAAACATCACAGCGTATCCAATTTTCCTTCTCAGACTGGTTGAAGAATGCACTGGCTTCGGCTGTACAACCAGGACAAATCGAAGTGTCGTTGGCGGCTGAGCCACCGGCTTGGGGAGTCTCTGCTTCGACAGAGGTTGCTCTCGAGGAAGAAGGCGAGGTGCCATTGGTTTGAATAGCCCCACGAGCAGAGCGTCGCCGAGCCCGAGCCATTGACGAAGGAATGGAGCACAGATGATATAGGAAGCCTCGGCTGACTCAGCGGACTGGTACTTCAAGTTTACGCCATCAGTAACAAGTGCTCCAAGGAGATCTCTGCTCGTGATATCGGAACATATTGGTGCAGTTACAAGTACACTGACTGCATTTTTACATTTAAATTTACTTCTCACTGAGCTCTGCCACACCGGGCAAGACCTTACCCTCAAGGAGCTCGAGGCTTGCCCCACCTCCAGTGCTCACGTGACTGAGCTTGTCTTCCATTCCGTGCTGGGCTACGACCGTGGCAGTGTCACCGCCTCCGACAATGACAACAGCACCCTTAGATGCAGCTTCGATGTTGGCGTTGAGAAGAGAGGTAGAGCCCTCAGCAAAGGCGGTGAACTCGAAGACACCGGGAGGGCTGTCAAAGTCAACCGAACTGATAGTTTCCATCCTAGATGGATCACTGACCCGTTCCAAAGTATGGTCTTGGCTTCCAGAACAGTCTCCCGGAAAAGCTCCCGACTCTTGGGGCCAGCATCCAAACCCATCCAGCCGTCAGGAATACCTTCAGTCTCGGTGGCGACTCCGGTCTATTTCCGGATCAGTTGGTGGAGGTTTCTGCGATAGAACTCAAGAACCCACCGTAGCATCCTTGTCGAACTTGTCGGCAGTGATAAAGTCGACAGGGAAAACGATTTTCACGTTGTTCTTCTTCGCCTTCTCGATGAGCCCAGCAACCTTCTCGGACCCAGCGGCGTCGAAAAGCGAGTTTCCAATCTAGAAAAGAATTCGACAAATGTGCCCAACATGCGTTGATAACAATTCATACCGCAACATTCTCGAGAGTCTTCTTGAAGGTGAAGGCCATACCACCACAGATAATCAACGAGTCGACCTGCCAAGACCTTCAGTGATCTTCCGTCATCAGCAAACGTTCATGCACACCTTGTCTAGCATGTTGTCGATAAGTTGGATCTTATCCGATACTTTGGCACCACCGAGAATAGCGAGGAAAGGGTGTTCAGGGCTCTCCAAAGCCTTGGCAAAGTATTCGAGCTCCTTCTTCATCAAGAATCCTGCAGCACGTTGAGGCAGTTGCACGCCAACCATGCTTGAGTGAGCTCGATGAGCAGTTCCGAACGCATCGTTGATGTAGACATCGCCAAGCTTGGTCAATCCCTGGCGGAATTCTGTGACTTTGGTAGGGTCAGCTTTCGTTTTCGTTCCGTCTTTGTTCTTTACAGAGCCCTCTTCCTCTATGTGGAAGCGAAGGTTCTCGAGGAGGATCACGGACCCCTGAGGTGCGTTGTTGACAGCAGACTCCACGTCGGCACCAACACAGTCGGGAAGGAATGTGACGGCTTGACCGAGTTGTTTCTCGACCTCTGAAGCAATGGGCTTCAGGGAGTATTTTTCTACAACTTTGCCGTCGGGACGACCAAGGTGGGACATGAGGGTGACGACCTTGGCGCCTGTAAAAGTTCAGATCGAGTAAACAGGAACGAGATCCCACTCACCATTCTTTAGTGCGTATTTGATGGTTGGGAGGGCAGCCACAATACGCTGAGCAAGTCATTCAGATGGGTGTCGATGAGAGTTGAGAGAGTTGACCAACGGCAGGGTTAGTTATCTTGCCATCTTGTTGGGGGACATTGAAGTCTACCCGTATGAGAACGCGCTTTCCGCTCAGGTCAACGTCAGTGATGGAGAGTTTGTTGGAGAGAGACATCGAATGGATGGTGTGAGCAGTAAGAGAGGTTAGTAGATGAGTTCTCTGATGCTGGACGGTTTTGAGCGATAATGTTTCTCCATTTGGAAGTGCTGGTCTGAGCTCGTTCCCAAGCTCTTCTCTGCTGTCCACCATGACAAGCGCTTCCGATAATCCTGTGAACTCACTGGGTCTTGACTTTGACCAAATCAAACTGCAGGATAGCGTCGAATCTTCTGAAACCTCCACCGCCCCCACCTCAGAAACACAACAAACTACATCTGATCAGAATGCGGTTGCTAAGAAGAAGCCGTATGTGAATCCTGAGCGCGTGAAGACCGGCGGTAGCCAAAGGGTACATTCATTGTGTGCATTTCTTGTTGGAAACTGTTTAATCTCCTCACAGGATAAGTTGACAGAGGAAGAATTATCTGAACGCATGGCACGAATGAGAGAACAGAATGAGAAGATTAAGCAGCGTCGATTGGTAGGCAATTTCTGTCTTCTATTCCATGAATACGCGTTTCATATTGCACACAAGGATGTTCAGGCAGATGAAGACGCCTTCAAGAAGACCCAAGACTTCGAACGCGCCAGAATAGCTCAAAACCGTAGGGTGCAAGAAGGTGAGCTCGGCTTGGCTCCTTGTGTTCTTGTTCTTAACACACAAAAAGGTGTAGATCGTACACGGGAGCAAAATGCGAAACGCAAGATGGACAAGGTGCAAATGAGAGAATGGGATTCTGGGAAACCAACACCTGCTAGCAAAGGAGCCCGTCCTCCGATGGAATCACGCAAGGCCGAGGAAACGCCAGAAGAACCCGAATCCACCTCGCCAGCCACGCCTTTTGTCTCACGTACCGCTGAATCTGGACAATGGTCGCGTGGAGGTGTGTCCCGGGGGTCACCGCGAGGGGGAAGAGGCACAAGAGGTCGAGGTAGGGGTCAGCAGAGAGGCGGAGCGCCAAATGGAACGACGACTTCAGACTCTCCAACTGCACCAGAACTGGGGAACGACATCAAAGAATTAACCCCGCGAACTTGATTCACTTCCTGCATTCTGTGTCCTTAATTGGTTTTTGCACTCGCTGCCATCTTGTACAATAATCTGAATGCGACAGCTGTTCTATGTTCGCCAGGGCAGTCTCCTGGCTGGCGATGTTGGGCTGACCTCGTCTTGTCGTTTCTTTCGAGCTATGGAAACTTTCTTGGCTCTGTCGGATGACGCCACAGGCTTAGGCAGTCGGGAGGCTCTATGAGGACTGAATGCCGAAATTGTTCGTTTCGCCGGAGGAGCATTGTCTAGAGAGCAGGGGCCTCCGTCGGAATTAGAGACATCGAGAATGCACCAGTCTTCGCTGTCGACCCCGTCTTCGTGTTCCTCCTCGATTCGACCGAGAGGACCAAGATGATTAGAGCATAGGCTGTGCTTCGAGAAAGACGGTACGACGTTGCATGGAACGCCTAGGTCTTGCCGCGCGCCAGTGTGATTGTTCTGAATCTGCAGTCCATCACGAGCTTGGAATTAAGACAGAAATTTGACCCACAGTCATGGGCATATTCTCGGCTCTTTGTCCTCTTTTAGCTACCGGTTTTTTACGATTAATCGAGACGCTAGTGTTCTTGACGTTCTGATCGAGCAGTGCAAGGACAGGCCGACCACGCGACTGGAACACAGTGCGTTTGAAAAGACGCTGGTTGGAGGAGAATCCGGCGATTTCTGTCTTGAATGATTCGCTGGCCAACGGTGAGAGACAAGGAGGTTCGTAGCCCAAGTCGGACGAATGAGCGGTCTCGGGCAGTGATAAAACAGAAACGATGGGGGCTCCAACGATATCGTTCTCGTTTGCAGGATGGAGGGCCATGCTTGCTCTTCGTTTCGAGATCAGTTCTTCAACGGCTCGCTGGCGTTGAGGGGGAAGAGCATCGTGGATGGAGGAAACATTGGAGGGGGACGGAGTCACGATATCGCTCTTACCCGCCTCCGCTGCAACCTGTTTCCAGAACTTGGCAATCTTTCTTGCGTCTCGTAAATCCCTGCGAGTCTTCAAAGTGAGACTCAAAGAGGACTTGTATTCGTCGGGGGTACGCGACCCAGCAACTCGAGGAACGATCGAAGACCAGGCACTGCCTGGATCGGCGGCGGCTTGCTTGATGGCGTCAACAAGAGCTTGATCGGGATCGATTCCAGCCCGCACGGCTGCGTGAGCATCGCCCAAGACCCGTTGATGCAGGCTTACATTGATAATCAGCTCGAGGTACCTTTCATAGTGCATAAGTTTTTCTTGAAGCGCTCGAAGATCTGCTCTTTGAAAATGAGATTCGCGCTCAAGGACAGAGTTCTGATGCAGTGTAGAAAATAGATCGCTGCGGGTAGTTTCGAGTTGAGACTTGAGATTGTAGTATTTATTTGACCAAGTGCATAAGTCAGTCTTGAGTAGGCGATTTGCAGCTTCCAGCTCAAACAGAGCATTTCTGGAATCGGCATGCGAGACATACGCGCGAGGACTGGCGGGTACGTGTGCATCGGCGAGCAACGCAGCTTCTGAGGCATCTAGCGACTGAGGTCGGTTTAGAAGAATGTGGTCCCAGGCGGGATTGGGTTTAGGAATGGAAGAGTCAGATCTAGAACGTCTGTGAAGAAATCCCGGAAAGGATTTGAAGAATCGCATGTTGGAGGAGCGCGCCGGGCCGCGCCAAGTTGGATGTGAGTAAGCGAGAAAGTTGTTTCGGCTTATGTGTGCCGATCAAGTTTATCCCTCTTCTCTTTCCAACGATCATGGGCAGAGGCATCCTGCTCACTTCCAATCTACCACAACTTCAAAATTTGATCAAAAGAGATCCTGCAGGATACAAGGAGGAGTTTTTGCAGCAATGGAATCATTACAATTCTATTCGCCTGATCTTCGAGACCAGTCCCAATGAACAAGCAACACATTTCAGGGAGTTGGTGACATTTATCTCGCAGGTTCGGGAGCGGGCCTCTTTCTACTGTCTAGAATTAATCTTGATAGGTCGCAACATGCTATCCGAAGGAAACTGCTCAATTCCCGTCTCAAATGTCCGAGTTGCTATTGGAAAGCTTCGGAGTTTTGGCCCAAGACACACGCAAAACATTGGTCCATAATCTAGTCATGTTGAGAAACAAGGACGTGATCACCTCCATCGAGTGCGCTGCTTCTCTCTTCGCTTGCAACTAAGTCCACTCAAACTATGCGCGCAGTCTTCTCAAAACATTATTTCCGTTGCTTCCAAGGACTACCTCCGCTACCCTCCGCACTTTTATCCGAAAAACCATCCTATCCGATATCCGAACCGCCAACATCCGCAGTAAGAACCATAAGCTCAACCGCGCTGTTCAGGCTATGTTATTCGGGATGGTTGAACGAGGCATGGAAGGCGAAGTTACTGGAGATAAGGGCAAGCTGAGGGCCACTATAGCCGGGCCTACCACCGAAAGGACCGCAAACCATGGAGAGGATGCGATGTGGGCCGTTATTCTCACGAAAGAATTATGGAGAAAGCGCATTTGGTACGTTGAAACACTTTTCCCCTTCATTTTGACCCAATGCTCTTTCCAGGAACGATGCCAAATCCGTTTCTATCATTGCTCTCGGCTGCTTCCACCCTGTAATCAAAGTCCAGAGTGCATCCATTCACTTTTTCCTTGGAAGTGATCAAGAGAAAGAAGATAGCGACGATGAATCCGATGATGTAAGTTGCTTGATTGATGTCTTTCTACTGCTAAGCGGCAGTTCTCAGGAAGTTGATGTTAGAGCTCTTCACCATCGTCGGGAAGTCAACAAGAAAACCAGGAGTGGGGACAAGAAATTGCAGAAACAGCTGAATAGCGCCAAGAAAGTTAGTGAATAGGAAATCTTTGACTGTTGATCGCTCAAGTGCTCCCAGAAGAAACATAATAAAACCGACACTCAGGTCAATTTCTCGGGGTTGCAGTTGCTCAATGATCCCCAAACTTTCGGCGAGAAGTTATACGACATCCTCAATCGCTACGACAAGAGGTTTTCGTTGGACCATAAAATTCTCTTGATGCAGCTTCTCTCTCGGGTCATGGGCTCTCACAAACTCTGTGTGCTTGGCTTCTATACATATGTCGTGAAGTATCTGACATATCGGCAATTGCGCGTCCCTTCCATCCTCGTTGCTTTGGCACAATCTGTTCACGACTTGACTCCTCCGGATGCTGTTGAGCCTGTCATCAGAAAGCTCACACACGAATTTGTGCATCCAGGAGTTGCCAGCGAAGTCATCGCTGCTGGAATCAACGCTGTCCGCGAAGTGTGTCGTCGGCAGCCATGGGCCATGGAGGAAGATATGCTCGGAGATCTCATCGAATATCGCAAGAGCCGGGATAAAGCGGTTACGGCAGCCGCTCGGGGCTTACTCCAACTCTATCGCGAGGTTAACCCTGCTTTGCTCAAGCGACGGGAACGAGGTAAAGAGGCTAGCATGGGACTGGCTGGCGGGTCACAGCCCCTTCCTTTTGGTCACAGCGCGGATGCTGCAGTTGACATCGAGGGCCTCGCCGTATGTTTCGATTCATCGCCCAGCGTATCTTGCCGACTCATTCAATAGTTGCTCGAGGATCACTTGCAGCAGCTTCGCGAAGAGGACAGCAACGTCATGGAAGAGGACGACGAAGCGGCCTGGGAAGGCTGGGACGTCGACTCAGACTCTAGCGACTCGGAATCTGAGGGATGGATCAACGTCTCAGACAACGAGGAAGATCTCCATATCTCCGACAGCGATGACGAGAACGAAAAGAAGCCTGTTGTTCCTCTTGAAGAATTCGATCCTGCGAATCGCATCTCAACTCTTGCCACAACCAAAGTGACCGTTATCTCTCTTGGCGGGGATTGATCTGATGTTTGATCCAGATTCTCACTCCGGCAGACTTTGCCTTGTTGAACGACTTACGAATTCAAGCTGCGACAAAAGCCATAGAGGCCGGTGGTGGATCTCACGCCAAGCGCAAATTGGCCGACCTCGAAGCGCACAAGAAAGCGGTTCAAGCCGGCCAAGATCAAGACGACTCATTCATTTCCGAAAACGACATTCTAGGCCCCCGGAAAAAGGCCAAGGCAGATTACGCAGAGCGTATGGCGTCTATAGCCAAGGGCCGGGAAGGCCGTGAAAAGTTTGGTTCAAACAAGGGTAAAAAGAATAAGGAAGCCCCAAGCAGCTCGACAAATAGAGAGAAAGCGCGGAACAAACCAATCATGATGATTATGGGCAGCAGCGCCGTCCGGGGCAAGAAAAAGGCATCGCTGCGGGAAAAGCAGCAGAAGCTGCGCGCCCACATCAAAAAATCAAAGAGGTAGTAGCTACATTGTACATAGTATCTGATCATCTCTGATCGCGCTGGTATTCACCTCTGGCGATTTTCTTCGCCATCTCGAATCCTGCGGCCCAATGCGCGAGTTTCGCATCGACGACAAAGCCCTGTAATCTGTGAATCGAAACGATCCTCGGCGATTGTGTAAATTACCTTTTTGTCGTAAGCTCAGGACGAGAATATAAGTGACATCCCGGGCGATCATTCATGTGTAGCGCACCTTGTAATTCTGCGCGAAGTTCCTCCAGAGCGATCACGCGCTTGACAATAAATTCGCCAGCTTCGAGCTTTTGCTCCGGAGATTCCATCTGGTCCTCCAATTCAACGCTCACAACGACCAGCTTCATGTTCGCATTTGTCATGCCTGGATCGGCGACAATCACCGGGGTTGATTCGATGACCTCGTTAGCTTTGAATCCTGTTTCCTCCTCGAGTTCCCTGATAGCGGCTTGTTCAGCCGACTCTCCTTCGTCGATGAGCCCGGCTGGCATCTCTGCAATCACGTACGTAAATTAGCGGCACATCGGATGGAGGTGGAGATGCAATTCATACCAACAATAAACTTGTCTATGGGCGGACGGTACTGTTCAATGATGATTGTCGACAACGGGAACGCTTCGGTCTTGGAACGGATGATGGCAAGGACAGCAACAGCTTGAGCATTCGCATTGATCAGAGTCCCTGCAAACAGCTTCGCCAGCAGACCAACCATCGACTCCTGAAGATCTCCGCGTCGTACGCTCTGCACTTAGGAAATTATGCGCATGCACTGAAGCGGGTGGGCGCCGAAATGAACTTACGACTCCCAGACGCGCTGTGACGCAAATCATTTCACCCTCTGTGCATTTCCATACCGTTATTACGAACCTCCTTGCCATCAGCATCTGTATACTTGATCTTCTTCAGAGTAATCCACCTAGATTGTGGTCGGTGAAAGATAGGGCTTTGCACCCTGTATACTGACTTGGCTTCGTCCGTAGACATGATTGTAGATGACACGACAGTTGGAACCGATGACATTGCTCGCTGATAACAGGTTGAGAGTGTGCGGGGACGAAAGACAAGGCGAGGGAAACACAGAAACAGCGAGCATAGAGCACGAGAAACCATGACATGATCTTCTCACGGTTCATACCAGCTTTTAGCAGCTGCTTTCTACTCAGTGCTCAGATCTCAGACTCGACGTTGCGATGTACGAATGGCCTTCATAAACATGGAATATCCGGAAGTGTTGCAGGAGCTACTTTATTGCTCGCTAACAAAGACGGCGGCCATTCCCATTCCGCTGCCGATGCACATGCTGGTCACGAAGATTTTGTCACCATATTGCTTGGAGATGTTCAGACCAGTTGCAACTTGGCGCGCACCGGCTGCAAGTCGTTCAGCTAAACGGCAGTTACGATACAAAAACGGAAAACGCACTGCAGCCGAGAGGATGACCGATGGCAATGGCTCCACCGTGTCTGTTCACTTTCTTCAGGTCGATCTTGAGGTGATTGATCGAGAACAGAGCTTGCGATGCGAAGGCTTCGTTGATCTCGTAGAAATCAATATCGCTATCGGAAAGACCCGTCTTTTCGAGAACCTGAGGCGTGTGTTAGTCGACACGGGATAGCAACACGAACGGCAGCGCACCTTGGGAATAGCGTATGCTGGACCCACTCCCATAATCCTCGGTGGCACACCGACGGAGACAGCTGCGACGTACTTGCCCACGATCGGCAATCCGAGCTTCTTTGCGACACTCCTGCGGGCCAGAAGCACCGCCGCAGCCCCATCGCTGACTTGCGACGCGTTTCCAGCATGTGTACTGCCTGTCTTAGAAAACGCAGGCTTCAACTTGCCCAAGCTCTCCTTCGTCACGCCTTCCCTGACACCGTCGTCCCGGTCAACGACAATCGTCTTCTCCTCCTCGGTCTTGGGATCTGTCCACTTGACTTCGATGGGAAGAATCTCATCTTTAAACCGGCCCTCCTTCTGTGCTTTGGCGGCCTTCTGGAACGACTCCGCGGCGAACGCATCTTGAGCCTCACGGGAAATGTTGTAGTCGGCCGCAACGTTCTCGGACGTGATACCCATGGGGATCAGACAGTCGGCTGCTTCCTGGGTGCCCAAAACAGCCTCAGAGAATCCATTTCCCATAGCACTGGCACCGTATCCGTTCGTCATGCTCTCGACGCCAGCACCGATACCGATGTCAATCATGCCAGCGTTGATTTGGTTTGCAATCTGGCTGATGGCAGTGAGGCCGCTCGAGCACTGGCGGTTGACAGTGTAGACGGAGGAAGTGTTGGGAAGTCCAGCATGAAGAGCCGCCATACGAGCAGCAGAAGCTCCTCCACCCGCAGGGAGAACATTACCCACAGCGATGTCCTCCACAAGCTTCGGGTCCAGGTTGACCGACTTGTAAGCATGCTTCAACACATGGGAAAGGATTTCTTCGGGGAAAGTATCCTTGAAACCTCCTTTCTTTCCCTGTTTTCCCGCTATTAGTCGGCGGGAGAATGCAAGATAACGCCAGGCTGTACCTTCGTAATGGCGGAACGGATGGCGGAGACAATAACGACATCGTCGTCGTGCTTGGCGAGAATAGCGTTCTTAGAGGAGGGCATTGTGGAATGGTATGAAATGGATGGGAACCACTTGGACTGGAGCCTTGTTATAAAGCAGGAGCCTAGGGACCGGTACCCGTTTTCACATGGGTCCCCAGCCCGAAAGACCGAGGCGCGTGATTGATTGCTTAGGTCACTATGATCAATTGATATCATCTGATCCAATTCCCCACTCTTCGTCGACAACCATGGGTAATGATGGCGGCAGTATCCCAGATCGCAGAGACCTCGTCCGAAACAAGAAAAAAGAAGAGTCTCTCGATAAAGCCAACCGAACGCGTGCCCGCTGGGGATTCTGTGCTCTCTCAAAACGACCTCTGCAGGAGCCTGTCGTCGCTTGTGCCCTCGGCAAGCTCTACAACAAAGACGCTATCATCGAGTTCCTCCTCAACCGGGATGCCTACGGAGACGGAAATATCATTTGCGGACACATACGATCCCTTAAGGTCCGTTTCCCTCGGGTTTCTGACCGTGCGAGCCTGATACTTTATAGGACGTTAAGACACTTGTGCTGACGCCCAACACTGCGCCAGTAAACACCTCTCAGGACCCTTCGGAGCGGGTCAAATTCATATGCCCTCTCACTCTGAAGGAGATGAATGGTCTCACACCTTTCGTTTATCTTCGCGCCTGCGGCTGTGTGTTTGCTGCGGCAGGTCTTTCCGAAATGCGAGCAGAGGGCGAAGCGGAGAAGGAAACATGTCCTCAATGCGCAACTAAATACACTCACTCCGACCGAATTCCCATCAATCCCACACTGGAGGAGGAACAGGGACTGCGTGAATTGCTGGCAGCTCAGCGATTGCTAGAGCCGGTCAAAAAGTCGAAGAAACGCAAGGCTGCGGTAGAGCCCGAGACAGAGCCTGCAGCAAAGAAATCAGCACCTTTGATCACTACGGCCAGTAACACATTACGGAGCACTCTTGCTCTCGAAGAGGCGAAACGCAAGGCTGGAATGAGCGATGCTGTGCGTTCATTGTATTCGAATCAAGGCAATGCTCGACAAGAGACCTTTATGACGAGGGGCACATTTACTAGAGTACGTTCTCTTTATCGTCAAAGCGGTACACTCATTTGTTTTTAGTATGCCTGAGGGACCATCCACATAGCTCTTGCTCATTTGTATAGCCTCACCACATTGCCAGATCCACATTGTATACTGAATTAGATCATGTCCTGTACATAAGTATCGAAAGCACATCGTTGCAGTGAACGAAGTGAAGGCAATAAGATTAAACTCTAAAAATGTCCCCAAGAACGCACGCCTGTCCCTCGCCAGGCCTCTAAGAAAGCAGCGTCCAGAATGCACTTGATATAAGAACAATGGTTACGCTGGCGAGCGCCGAGGCTCCTGTCAGCCGCGATGGACTACCCGACGACGGAGGAAATGCCGTTGCCCATGCCTGGGTAGGATTGGGTGCTCCACTGACAGTGACGGTAGCTGCTTTCGCATTGGTGGTTGTCGAGCCATTGCTAGAGGACCCGGAACTCAGGATGCTGAACCGAGGCGATGTAGCGTACATGGTGCCGTGTGTAGAGTTGATGAAAAGAAGAAAGTAGTCGTCACCCGGAGGTACGTCTTGAAAGACAATGTTTATGGATTTCTGCGACCCAGATGTGGCGGGAACTACGATTCGCCTGAGCTTCAAGTTGGTTGTTCGAGAACGACGAAACACACCGTTCTTAGCGACCAGATTCAGACCGTCCGTGCTGAGACGGGACATCTCGATGTCAAATGAGTTTACGCCATCATCTACACCCTTGGTCCAGGACACCATCCGCGTCTCGCCGCTAGCCCACTGATCATTGAGTTGTGGGGAGTTGACCACAAAGTACGCTGCAGGAGCATAAGAGGGAGGAAAGATAGGCAAGGGTGCGTGGTAGTTGCGCACCGGAAGCCGAAGAGCAGAAGCCTGTGAGAATGAATGCGGGGAGACAACGAGAAATGAGCATGGCGGTGATGAAGGGCGTTGGGGATCGAAGTGGCGAAAGGAGTGAAGAATAGGATGTCACTCGATGTCACACCAGATCATCTAGTTACCGCATGTTATTGGTGCTGGTGCACGACTTCAAACAAGTGATTCTAAGTTTGATTCTACTACTAGTTTCATCTATGACTGATGCCTAGGCCAGATAGTGCTTGCTGTTCAGCACACGCAACCGGGCAGCAGCTTGTTCCGCTGTCAAGTCACGTTGGGACTCTGCCATTAATTCATACCTGAGAGAATGAGTACGGATTCCACAAATCATCGAGTACATACCCTACTAGAAACTTGCGGACAGTAGCGCTTCGGAGGAGAGGTGGCGTGAAGTGCAGATGCAAATGGGCGATGTCATCGCCGGTCGACGTTGGGCGCTGATGCATGCCCATCGAATACGCAAACAGGCACGAAAAGAGATTGTCATAGCGGACGGTGACCTGGGACAGGATATCCGCGAACGAGGCCTTCTCTTGTGCCGTCAATTCGGAAATAGCAGATATATGCCTCTTGTACGGCAGCACTGCCCCAAAGTACAGTCAACGATAAAACGAGACCAGTGCGAGCAGGCTCTCACAGAGTATTTCAAAAGGCCAGGTGGCCCACCAGGGAACGACTGCGAGCCAATCATCGTTCTTAACGACGACTCTGCCCTCTTCGGTCATGAATCCGAGCTCGACATGCGCGTACTCGCAGAGCATGCATGGTCGACCTGAAAAAGATCAGCACCGCATGGATCAAGTAAGCAACGGACACAATCGACCTTCCGAGCCCTTTGGTGCATCAGATGCAGCCGCAGTGTCACAAGCATATTGTTCAAGAGCTGCCAACTCCTTGGCAGGGAGTGTCGGAATCTCTGATAGAGACCAAACTTGACCATGCGGGTGAGGATTCGAGCATCCCATCATAGCGCCTTTATTCTGTCGCAAACGTGAATCTCTGACGGACCAAGAGCCATTCGACACACCTCGAAGATCTGGACATACTTGATTCCCTCTTCGAGACTGCGCTTCTCGTAGATTCTGATCCATTCATCGATAACACATCCGATCTCTTGCGGGCTGAGTCGCGAGAGGGTCAAGTCGTGCCGAGGGTGGAAAACGAGCACATCGCAACCCCCTTGAACAGGTTGACTGGCAAGCAAAGGATGGGCTGCAACTGGAGCGGCTGGTCCTGGAGGGGCAAGCACGGCCGCAAAGTCGTTCTCAAAAGTGAAAGTAGTGGTATACTCCTTGTTGAGCTGCCCTCCGGATCGCTTGTTGCCGGGGCAAAGATAGCACTCGGGATCGTACTCGGGGAGGTTCACAGGCTGTAGCGTCTCCGTTTGGCCCAACCAAGGACGCTTGGCGCGGTGCGGAGAAACGAGGATGTATTCGCCGGTGAGGGGATTGTCTGATATTAGTGATGAGGGGGACGCACAGCTGCACGGATGGAATAACCTACATCGACGATGAGGGTGCGTGGTCGGGTCGAATTCCATGGTGGTGTTGCAAAACAAAATGGAATTCTTCTGCCATACCTACGGAACGGGGTATGACCCGGTCTCCAGTGCAGAAAGTTACTTCAACTGGGAAATCCATGCCGGGATTCGGCCCGGTTCAGACACATGTCCTGAATATCACATGACCCTCTTTGGACATGTGACACGATCATCTCTCTCTCCATGCAGTCCACCCCGAAACGGCGACGCATCGAACGCTCGCCCTCGCCCTCCTACAGACTCGACGATGAAGATGACTCATATGAACCTTATATCCCCGTCTCACAACGACGGAAGGATAAATTAGCAAGATTGACCTCTTGGGCGGCTTCCTCTTCTCTCAAAGCAGAAGAGCGCGAGAGGGCTGCTCAAGACCATCAAAATGAGGACAGAGAGGACGAATTGCAGAAGGAGCGGTTACGGAAAGAACGCACTCTCCTTGTTGAGGCGCAGGAAGTGCATTCAAAGAAGGAGGCTGAGGGTCCGTGCTCCGTTACTCAGTCCTCCCAATTCTCATCACCACCTTCAGATGCGAGGAAAACAGAGGAAGAGAAAGCAGCAGAGGTAGACGCCGAAATCCTCGAGGCTATCAAGAGCCGCCGCAAACTTGCGTCGGACCTTGAGCTTGCTCAGGGCATTGCATATACCGAGTCGCTCAAGACTAGGCATGCCACATAGTTTGTCACACAAGCTTTCCTGCTCACTTCTACAAGCTGGAGACCCCCACTCTATGTTCGGGATCGAAGCGCTGCTCAGCATCAACGTTTGCGCGACAAGTATCATATCATCGCCGAGGGTGACGACATCCCTCCCCCAATCGAACATTTTGTGGTGAGCAAACCACAACCATGCCGTCATTTTCTGGTTCGATATTCTTTTCTAGGACATGAAGATACCTCAGCCTATCCTCGAGCACTTGAAAGCAAACCGGATCGTTAATCCTACGCCGATTCAGTTGCAAGGGCTGCCAGCGGCGTAAGCATCGAGAGTTCGTCAAGGCCCATTGACCGATCTTTCAGTTTTTCAGGACGTGATCTCATCGGCATCGCATTCACTGGGTCGGGGAAAACGCTGTCATTTTGTCTGCCACTGATCATGTTGGCTCTCGAAGAAGAGACCAAGCTGTCGTTCATTCGAGGAGAAGGCCCGGTCGGCGTAATTCTCTGCCCATCTCGTGAGTTGGCAACTCAGACGTACGAAAACGTCTTGGGATGGTGCTCAGCGTTGACGAAATCTGGCAAATACCCGATCCTTAACACGCTGCTTTGTATCGGGGGCATCTCGATGAACGAGCAGAGTCATGTGATGAGCAAAGGCCTTCACATTGTCGTTGCGACGCCGGGGCGCTTAATTGATATGCTCGAGAAACGCAAGTTCACCTTCGCCAACTGTAAATATATCTGCATGGACGAGGCGGACCGCATGATCGACTTGGGCTTCGAGGACGACGTTCGAAACATCATGAGTTTCTTCCGAGGACAGCGCCAGACGCTGTTATTCTCAGCGACCATGCCTCGGAAAATACAGGACTTTGCGCAAGAATCGCTGGTTCGCCCTGTGTTGGTCAACGTTGGTCGTGCGGGTGCAGCAAATCTGGACGTCTTGCAGGTCGTGGAGTATGTCAAACAAGAAGCCAAGATGGTTTATCTGCTTGAATGTCTGCAAAAGACTGCGCCGCCTGTCATCATCTTTAGCGAGAACAAGAACGAAGTTGATGGTCTGTATTGATATCGCTGAGAGCTTCGCAGTGGATCTGACTGCCCCACAGATATTCAAGAGTACCTTCTTCTCAAAGGAGTAGAAGCAGTCGCTATCCATGGGTCGAAAAGTTAGTGATAGTTTTCTTGCTGGACTGCGAGCTGATTCCTGTCGCAGGTCAAGAAGAACGGCAATATGCGATCAAAGCATTCAAGTCCGGTGCGAAAGATGTCATGGTCGCGTCCGGTGTCGCTTCAAAGGGTCTGGACTTCAACGAGATCCAACACGTAATCATCTTTTCCATGCCCAAGGAAATAGAGGATTATGTCCACCAAATCGGTCGTACAGGACGGAGCGGCAAGACGGGAATTGCGACGACCTTTGTCAATATGAATACACCAGAGCCTACTTTGCTGGATCTCAAGTATCTGCTAATGGAAGCGGGGCAAAAGTAGGTATCCTTTCACCTCATGATTGTTCCCTAATCTCGATCTTCATCTAGAGTTCCTCCGTTCTTAGCATCACTCGAGGATAACAACCAGGGAGGGGTATCGAAAGGGTGTGCAGTCTGTGGTGGTAAGTCCCTGTGTCAGCTCATGAAGATATGTTTACATTTCCCTAGGTCTCGGTCATTCGGTTTCCAACTGTCCAAAGCGAGAAGATGCTCAACGACGCATGATGGCCTCTCACCGAAGCAAAGACGACGGTGGAGGCGGATATTAGATCGCAAATAGGGGTTGTTTTTCGAAATACGTGCTCGTGATAATACATGCCGTAAATTCAGTGTGCTCGATCTCGACTTTCTTCGATTCCACTTTTGTTTCTTGTCATGGCCACTCTACCTAATGTCTCGTCCCCGCTCGCACGCCTTCTATCCTCACCGCCTACCAGCAATACCACTCCCTTCTATGCATTCGCAACGTACAACGTCTCAAGGAATCGGAAATTCATCATCATCGGCATTTCTGCCCTCTTCATCGTCTTCTTCGTTTATCTGCGAGACACCGCCTCTTTCTCGGCACCTGTAGTTTGGAAACAGTCCAAACCGCCACCTTTCCTCGACAATGTTGGAGTCCCAGTCACCCACACCGTCACCCACACCGTTTCTTCTCCGACTGTCACTGTAACCCACACCGTGACCTTGCCTTCGCCTATCCCAACGCATGCGCTCACGTCCAGCCATCCTATCTCCTATGTCCTCATTGCGTGGTCAGAGGATGCGGCAGTGGAAGGGACTGTACTTATGAAAGTGAGTATCTTCGTCTTCGAACATTCTTGCCCTCACATCTGTTCGTGACCAGTCCATAATCATGTACAGCTCTCGGCCTTCTGAATTCCACATTATCTGTGACGAAGCTGGTGAGAAGAGCATACGGGCCAGTCTCGCGCTATTGCATAGCCTCTTGCACAACGTCAATGTGCACTTCTACCAGCCATCATGGAGCAGCATGATGGACAGGATCGAGCGCGAGGGATCTATCCGCACAGACCACTCTGCTGGCATCCGTGCGTCTTACTACAACATTCCTGACATTCAAACTGAGCGTCATCCCAGCCGGACTGATGAAACTCTTTCTCCACGAAATCCTACCAGCCTCCGTCAACAAAGTGATCTACCTAGACACAGATGCTATACTCATCTCAGATCCGCTCTTGCTGTGGAATCTCTTCGAGAGGCTAAAACCGAGCACTGCGATTGTCATGCCCAGGCGCGTCCTACCTGGGAGTTCCCTGCTGTTTTTTTCTGACATTTCTCTCTCCCTCTCTCAGCCATCCAGATCAGCATTCCGAGGAATGGCATCATGCAAACAGGATATGTAGCTGCATCATGCTGTTGGATTTGGACAAGCTCCGGCAAATGCGAATGATGGACTCTTCCATATATCGGGAAGATCATAGTGGTCGTTATCCTCCAGCACTCGGGCCGTCTGCTTTCAAGGCAATGTACGGTGAACCCACAGGGGAGGGCCACCGGTATGACAATGTTCGACTGGGCGACCAAGGGTATTGGTGGGCCATCGTGCACCATAATCCGCAGCTATTCGAATCTTTGAGCTACGACTGGGAGATCTCGAGCTGCCTGGTGGACATGTACTCGACGGGCCTAGGCGCACCATTGATGACCGAATCTGAGGAGATGACCCACCAAGGCCATGTTATCGACACACCTCAGTATGGTACTGTCGTCTTGCCGAAACTACTACACTTGCAAGTTTTTCCCGTCTCTATATTTTTGTTCTCAGCCAAGTGTTGACGACCTTGTTAGCAACTGTCTGCACAACACCGCGCGATACTTCGAATGGGCGGGCTGGTCCGACGCGAATGATTCATTGACGAAGCGATGGGGACCAGCAGTGTCGTACCACGTGGGCTATAAGTGGATCTGGCTGAACCAAGGACGGCGGAAGAACGGACCGGTGATCACGACCCAGGCGGTCTTGTTCGCAGACGAGGAGTTTGCCAAGCATAACCAGCATCCATAGAATAGAGCTGAGGTGCGCCGTTGTATCAAATAATATATCCGATAGAAACTATAGCCTGTGATTACTACTTCTTGAACTTGAATTTGCGGATGTCTGCTGGCTTGGATGAGGAGGCGCTCTGCAGAGCATACTTGCTTCGCCAATCCTCCCCAGTGGCAACAGGTTGGCCCTGGCAAAGCTGAAGGAAGCCAGCACCAAAACGATTGTATCTCTCGTCGGAGTCCTCCTTGGCCTCGGATATTGGCATATGACGTTCTAGGTTGATGTCTCGAAGGACTGTCTTGAAAGTCAGGAAATCTGTGCTTGTCTTTTGAATGAAGAGTTCTATCGAGCGAAGTGTTCAGCTGACCTTGCGGAGGTATCACCGACATGTAGCTCAAAATTTCGTCGTCCAGGACCTGTTCCTCGCTGAGACTGGGATCGCTGTCGAGAATTGCCTGTCGATGAGCCAGGAGTCGGGAATGCAATGTATCCGGGGTGACAGCGCTCGGTTTTTGCACGTCTTCTTCGTAGTCTGAGATGATGTCGACAATCTGTCGTTGCGGTGTTTTCTTTTTCTTTTTTACGGGACTGCATTCGATTTCGTCCGGCTCATCTTCATCGTAGAGGGGCAAAGTATAGTCCGCCTGTCGTTCCAGTTCTGGCTCTGCCTTGGACTTGCCTTTACCCTTGCGTTTGGTACCAGCGACTCGAGCAGCTTTCGGTCGATGACTCAGCAGAAGACGTTTTCCTCCCTTTAGAAATTCATCGGCTGTGGATCCGAGCTGTCGAGTAGTCAGTCCAGTTCGGGAACAGATTTGCAGTCACGCACCCGCAGATACATGGCATGCCACCTGGACTGATTTCCAACTGACTCCTCTTTCAGCGCATCCATGAAGATCAGGCGCCCGAATAACTGTTCAACTAGTTCTGTGGTCTAGAACGGGGGTCAGGTCCGAGCCATATGTCTCCAGACACCTACCAGGTGTTTCCCAGCACCCCAGAGACGGTGCTGATCGTACCCTTTGTTATTCAATGAAGAATGATTTGCTCCCGAGAAGATTTTGCGACATTGGGACGCCGTCACGTTTTCGTGGCCTTGCCGGAGCTCCTTTACCAAAGAAAGCACGGTCTTCGCCTCTTCGGTCACATCCTGCTCAACCAACAGCCCTTCGTTGGCACAATTGTTACACATCTGTCGACACTCTCTCTTGTCGAACTTCTCGCCAAAATGCTGCAAGACCTGTACCCGGCGGCAGTCCGAGACGTTTTCACAGTACCGGACCACATCTCTTGCGGCTTCTTCCTGCCGATCCTGACTGGCTTTGCTCACATTTGAATCTTTGTTGTCGCGAATCATCTTGATGAGCGTCTTGAAATCTCCCAGTGAGTAGTCTAGAGCAGGTCAAACCGATTGGATAGTGCTAATTATGAAATTCTTACAAAGCACACAATCTGCAGGCTTCTGGTCTCGACCCGCCCGACCTGTTTCTTGGTAGTAACTGTAGACGTAAGCCCAACATATTGCAGCTCTCTGTCGTTCTCACCCATCCATAGTTTTCGGCATGTCGTAATGGATAACAAACCGCACTGGGGGAGTGTCAGCGAATAGCACCGAGGTAGGAAAAGCGTCCTCACCATCCTGCTTATCGATGCCCATGCCGAACGCAATCTGTCGACGGCTCAGACGGAAGAAATTGGTAAAGAACAGCCTCGCTCACGGTGGCAACAATGATTCGGCACACTGCGCTCTTCCACTCAGACTGTACCAATTCTCGCTCATCAGACGGCATTCCTGCGTGATAGTGTTTTGCGTTTAGCCCGGAGCTGCGCAATTTGTCGGCCATCTTCTCGCAGGCCAAACGCCCGGTCCGATAGATCACTCCAGTGTGACCATTGTGCTTTTTCTTGATGAAGTCCACTACTTGCTCCACTGACCGTTTGGGGAGCACGGAGTAATTGAGATTCTTCCGATTGAAGGATTGTCTGAAGATGGCTGGATTCTTCAACTGGAGCTGGGATAGAATATCATCAATCGTCTTGTGATCCGCTGTCGCCGTGAGCGCCATGATTGGGACATCTGGAAACTCTGTGCGAAGAGTGTGCAGCTCTGTATACTATAAGTAGCTCAAGATCTTGAAAACTGCATCGGATATAGATACGTACTGCTTCACGAAAGTCCTGGCCCCAGGTCGAGATACAGTGCGCCTCGTCGATTACGAACCGGGCCAGCTCCCCGGAACGATACAGTCTGCCTAGCATGCTTTTCAGCGTCGCACTGACTTGCAAGCGCTCCGGAGTGACATAGAGCAGTGTCGGATTCTGCTTCGTGGGACTCATGATCCGTTCCCGAACTTGTCTGGCCTCGTCTTCAGCAGTGGAGGATGTCAATAACGCCGCATCAATCTTCTTTCGTCGTAGATCATGAACTTGATCGGTCATGAGCGCCAGCAGCGGTGATACAACAATGCTGACGCCCTTCGTAGAGCCCCCCGTGCAAACAGCTGGCAACTGGTAACACAAACTCTTGCCACCACCCGTTGGCATGAGCACGAAAACGTCTCGACCGCTCAAGGTTGCGCTAATAGCCTCGAACTGATTGGTACGGAAACTATCCAGGCCGAAGACACTTTTGAGGTTGGCCATAATCTCTTTGACATACGGCCCGGAAAGTTTCGTTGGGACGATCGCCGTCGGCTGCTCTTCGTCGAGATATTCGAAAGGGACATCTTCAACATCAGCCCATAGAGCCTCGTCTTCGTCTTCGCCATCGAATTCAGTCGTTGCACGCGAGGTCTCAGCAACACGAGCACTGATGGATTCGGTGTAGTCGTAGTCAAAATTGCCGGACATGGTCTGCGTGGATATTCGAGTAACCTCGTAAGTCGTAGATCCCGAAGGTCCAGCGGCACTGAGCGATTCCTTCGCGGGGTAATCGGAGAGTCGCGGTGTCCGATGGGGTGCGGTAGGTATCGCTATGGGCGCGTATTCGACAGTGGCAACAGAGCACTCTCGATTACGCAGTTCAGTCTTGATTGCATCCATCCTCTTTGCCAATAGAGCTCTTGTTAACGTGAGCTGATGTCCCATGAACAAAGCGCAACGCACTTGTATGCTTCTAACACGAATATGTCGTCCTTTGCAGAACGACCAGAGTAGAAGTTGCAGATACTCTCCATGTTCTGACTGGCGTACTCATGATTGGCTAAAAGAATCGTGTTCAGGAGTTCGGTCGATTTCTTTGAAGAGACGTCGTTAATAAACAGCACGACAAAGGGCGTGCTCACTTCCAACAGATCTGGATACTTGTCAGAGGAGCGATTTACCATGGGTAAATCTTCTCCATCTATAGATACCTGTCGAGCCTTTCCCTTGCTCAGGTCATTCTTGGTAGGTCGGAAGACATTTTCTTTCTCCGCTTTCAGCCTTTTTGACTGGGGCTCCAGAAAGTTCGAGTCAGATGAGGTACGCTTTAGTACGGGAGATGAAGGGCTAGAGTCGCTTGATATCGTGTAGACTTCTTGGCAGGGCGTATGATTCTTGCTCGCGTTCGGGAGTTGCGCTCGACCAAAGCCGGGGGTTGAAAACGAAGGTAAAACAGCTGATCCCTGTTTTCGCACTGTGATAATTTATTGGTAAGCGAGTGAAGATGTGCGTTCCGAGGAGGACTGAGCGTACGTGGTGCTGAAATCGAACTTGTTGCCGCAGGTTTGAACTTCCCGGCCTACGACGATCAGTACCCAGTTTCTTCATCCAAGAGAAGCCCACTTTTGATCGGGAGACAGATGATAAGACTCCCGAGTTGCTCTTGTGTTGATTGAGCACCTGCGTCAAGTTGTTCTTCGGCGCAGCGGACTGCGACATGGAGATTAACAGACGAGTGGATAAAGTGGCTGTGTTGGTAGTGACCCTAAACAATGCATCATATCATGTGGTCGCGTCGCGCTCAGTCACGGAGTCACGGGACTATCGCGCTTGTTTATCTCCCTCCAGAGACGCAATAGGCAGCAACGATGGCCAAAGGCGCTTGCACATTCCAACCACTATCGACCGCCGAAATCATTGCTGCATTCGAGGAATGGGGTCTCTCATTTACACCTGAACAACTTCATCGACCAACTTCAGACTTTGTTGAATTTGCATATTGTGCTTGTCTCTATCAAGTAGCTGGCATCAAACAAGAAGATCTACGTGGACCTGCGCAGCAGGTGCTCTCTAGCACATCTCTTGTGGACAAGGCGAGAAATCATGCACTTGTCTTCATAGGTCACTTATGCACCGACAGGAGTTACATGCTTCATCCTTCAGTGGACATCTCTTACTATACCACCTGTGTGTCCCACTATTCTGCATGAAACATGTTTCAGTGACAGAAACATGCTAGTGCACGACTTGCCAAGGCTTCCGCGCTCCCTGACTTCAGCTCGAAAGACATTCAGGCCCCGGAGCGCGAGCGCACCCTGATGATTCTTTCCGCTTTCATCAACTTCATCCGCTTCACGAGGCAATTATGCTTCGACTTTGTGACCTCTTTACGCGAAAAGGCGGACAAAGTTGTCACCGAGCGCGACCAAGTGAAACAGCGTAACGCGAAAGTGATGGAGCAAATCAACATCCTCAAGTGGGCATTTTCCTTCTCACAAGCTTTATCTAACAGATCTTAGAGCGAAGATTGCAGAGGACGAACCGAAATGCGTACAATTGAGAGAGGATAACAACGCTTTGCGTTCTCAGATGATCGGTATCAAGGAGTTGCAAAAGTCAAATGCCAGAGATGCCGACGATCTCAAGTCAGAGAAGATTGCTCTAGTGGCCAGTAAGGTAATGTCAGCTGGTTTTCGTAATGGCCTGTTCTTATCTGCCCACAGGAAGTGTTGAATGGGGAACTAGCGAGCCTCTCTGAAGCCACCTCTCGAACACGATCCCGTATCGTGCAATCGCCAGAACGAATCAAGCGAACAATTACTACCATGTCTCATAACGCTTCTGATGACAAACAACGAGTAGCCTTGAACGAGGCCAAAGCGCGTGAACTCCAAGCAAAGATCAATGCTCTTTCGAATATTGACAAGGCCAGCAGTTTCGGGATAGATGCATACTTGAGGTATACTGATGTTTCGATCCAGGATGTCCGCAGCTGCGTCGAACAGTTGCAGACGGTGGAAAAAGAAGTCCGGCTGCTCCAAGAATCGCAAAAGGAGTCCCATGAACTCAAGGATCTCCTGGAGGACAAGCAGATTGAGCGAAAGGAACTAAGTTCTCGGCAAGATGTGACTGATCAACTGTCGATCCAAGCTTTATCTGATCGTCTACTCTAGAGAGTTCAAAAGCAGATGTCGAATGCTCAAGATAAGTTGGAACGCGCTCAACGACATGCAGAAGACAGGAAGATCGCCAGTCAAAAGACCTTAGACCGCTTGCAGCGAGAATATGACGAAATGGCGGTTGAAAGAAGGGACAATGACAAACAGGTGGAGGAGCTCCGCGTAGAGGGCGATGCGTTGGAGAGCAAGGTCAGTCCATGCGCAGGTGACCCCGTTCGATGTTGACTGTTGTGCGATGACAAGATGGCGAGTCACCTCAAAGAGCAGGAGGCCGAGCTGAATCAGCTGCTGTCGGAATACTGGAAATTGAGACATGACACTGGTGCGCATATTTTTCGAACTCGACTGTCAACCAACAAAGATACAGATCTGTACATGGAAACACTGGCCAATAAGCTGAACATGAGAGTAGACTTTACATAGAATTATCAGCTCATCGGTTGCGTTTACGGCTCTTCCTCGCCACACAATCGACGCAGTACCATTTCTTCCTTCCTTCTGGCGCTGCTGTGAGTCCCGTGCACCCGAGATGGAACTGGAAGAAATCAAGTAGGGTACCTGGAAGCATAAAGCAAGCCACACACCCATTCGTGCAAACAATGTGGATCATCGCAAGCAATCATCTGCAGCCAATTAGCCGATCCACTGTGGATAGGACGGCACTTACTTCGCCGAAAGAGATCTTGTTGCAGTAACAATAGAGAGGCTCGTTTGGGTCGACATCTTCTCCCGCGGGATCCAGTTCTGTCGCTGATTCTTTCCTCTTGCTCTTCTTACCTTTCTTGCTGCGATTCCTTGCAGCAGCAGCAGCTTCGTTCGCCCGGGCTTCCTCTGGCTCTGGACTCATCGCAAGAAGAGGAGGCTTGGCCCATTTCGGTACAACGATTGCAGGTAAGACAATAGGTGCAAGGTGCCTTCCAGGTCCCAACGCGATGGCGTGCTCCTGCTCTTGGATTTCCTGATCAATGAGACGGATACTGCGCTCAACCTGCAACACAGATTGAATATTGGTCCCCCACCGGAATTCGAGACGGACTGATTCGAAAGCACTGTGCGTGAGATTGACCTTTTCCTGCCGGTCACGCAGAGAAGCCTCGGACAGCTGAAAAATTCTCCTCAGACAGGCTCGACTGTCGGCCGGAGAATAGTTGGATTCTTCTGAATCATCTGTTGTTGCTACGCTGTTCGCCATCCTTTCACGACCCCGACGGATTCGGAAATATTCATTGATTTGTCCAGCCAGGTCCGCACTGCTCTCTAGATCCAGAAGGGCGAATGAGCTTTCCAACGGTTTGCGAAAGACCCCGGCCCACTTTCGTCGAGCTCATCCCGCTCTTGAACCAAGGTGAAGGTCCGCTTCAGGCTTGAAGATAGTTCGAACACTATTGCGAAAGTGCTGTTCGTCATTCTGTTCACCGTTCAAGACGACTAGCAAAGTACGCGAACCTTCGAAATGATCGTCTTTGAACGCGTTCCAAACTGTGTGCTCTTTCTCCCGAGGATCTTCTGCAATATCTCCGTCTGAATCTGCACCAGAAAGGTTGATCTGTTCTTGAACTGCAGCGACGCGTTGAGCCCGCCCTCTCTTGCGGGAGGTGCGCGAAGACATATGATGCGTGCGTGACATTGCTGGTCACAATACCATCATTAAATCTCTCTTCTGATACATGGCCCTGCGGCCGCTCGTTGCGATATTTGGCACGACTGGAGTTGGAAAATCGAATCTTGCTATCGATATTGCTTTGCATATATCCAACGCGCAGCAGAAGCCGAACAATCGATGGAGGGGGGCCAGAATCATCAACGCAGACTCGATGCAAGTCTACGCTGGCCTCGATGTCCTTACAAACAAGGTCCCGGAGTCTGAACGACGAGGAGTCGAACATCTTCTCATGGGCTTTAAACAACCTGCTGAACAATATGTGGTCGGGCAGTGGATCAAAGACGCGACGGCCTTGGTAAGTTGATCGAGCCTAGAAACTACATGGCGAATCGACTTCGTAAGATTTCGTCCAGATTGAAGAGACTCACGAACGCGGCGAGGTTCCCATAGTCGTCGGAGGAACCTCGTATTGGATGCAACATTTGATTTTCCCTGACCGATTGTCTGGGCCTTCTATTGAGACCCAGGCAAATCAATCTGTCACTGTGGTCGAAGCCATTGCCTCCCTACCTCCTAACCTCCAGAATCTGTTCGAAGGTCTCCCGGATCAACCACCAGACGCTGCAGTAGATCCCGCTGGTGCGAGTGCTCTTCACACTCTGCTCAGACACCTCGACTATTCCATGGCGGATCGGTGGCATTGGCGCGATACCCGCAAAGTTCTCCGAAGCTTACGAATCGTTCATGACACTGGCAGAATACCCAGCGAGATAGTTAGAGACCAGTCTGAACAAGTCTTGAAGCCGAAGTTCGATGGTTACACGAGTCAAGAGTGGCGCTCTTCTGACCTGCTTTCAGATACGATACTCTTTGTCTATGGTTGTATGCTGAGCCCTCTGTCCTGCACGCTCGCTTAGACGATCGTGTCGACTTGATGCTCAAGGTCCGCCGAATTTCAGGGTTTTATTCGTGCTGACTTCTGAGACAGAACGGTCTCTTGGATGAAGTTCGATCATTGCACGGCGTACCGGAGGCAGATTTCACTTTGGGTATATACCAATCTATTGGTAATCAGCTCACGAGATATCGCAACGGTCCAGCTGAACTTACACAGGCTACCGAGAATTCCACAGCTATCTTTCCGAACCCGCGTTACCCCAAGATGCGTTCGAAAAAGCAGTGGAAAGCATGAAAACTTCAACCAGACAATATGCGAAACGTCAGTTATCGTGGATGCGCAACAAACTTCTCCCTGCAGTCAACTCAACACATGTTCCCACATATCTATTGGACGCGACGGGTAAATGGACCGTTCCGCCACTGGCTTTTCATCGAACAGCCTTCCAGAACTTGGCCAGAAGTGGATTGTCAATGTGCAGGATCCCGCTGTAAAAATCACAAGCGGTTAGTTCTGTGGCATCTTGCATTGGATGATTCAGTCTTCCATGATGCAGATTTCCTCAACGAGACGGCCCTCCCAGATCCAGCAACATTATCACCACTGGCCAAGACCTTGCTACAGGGGAACCAGGCCAAGTTCGTTGAGTAAGTCTCGTTTACTTACCGCTATGCATAGGCTGATCGACATAGTCCAACCTCTGTCCTCAAAGCCCAGCGGAAAATTGTTTGCGAAAGTTGCACATCCGATCCCTCTCAACCGGTCTTAATAGATGAGAATCGCTTTCCTTTGCATCTACAAGCTCGATCGCACCGCCGGTTAGCAAAGAAGAAGCGGACACCTGAACAGCATCGGGCAGCTCAAGCTGCCAAGCGAGCGGAGACTACCGAAAGTAGTACACGCTTAGAGCCATCCCTCAACTTCGATATCGAACCTGTTGATGTTTGACGGTGTCTATACCTGAAGTCACTACATATGTACTTACTCGAAAGATACAGTCTGTCAGTCTCATCTGTCGAACAGTATTTGAGGCCTGTGACACATGACATGTGACATGTGACAAGCGCCTCGCCAAATGGCTTTCGTTCACCCTTCGCGAGCTGCTTTGGTGCCTGCTGGTCCTTCATCTTCAGACCGGCGCCAGCGTAGATCACCGTCTCCCCGCCGTCGAAGGAGGAGCATTTCTCCCCCACATGAACGTCATGAGAGCCCTGGTCGCGACAGAATCAAGTCTAGTCGAGGGAGCCCCGAATACCAAGATTACAAGCGCCAGCTGGCGCCCCCTCCCTCGCAAGCATCCTACCCTCAACAGCCTCTAGTGAGTCATGTGCGAAGCTCTTATCAGAGCGGAGGTGGATATAGTGGAGACATAATGGAAAGGTTTGAACCGTTCAGTTTGACCAGTTGTTCTGAATCCTCAACGAAACCCCCATAGTCGACGCGCTCAACGCGACGCCATTACCGTCAACGTGTGGCCTTCATCACCTAAAGCGCCTGCTCGCGATTTGTCTGTCCCCTCCACCTGTGTACTCATTATTTCTTCTCACTAAATATCAGATCCCCTTCACGGCAGAAATCGCGCAAAAAGTCCAAACGCTCTCGTACATCATCTATCGACTCCTCCGAGGAAGAATATCGTCGGCGGAAGGAACGCAAAGAAAAGAAACGGGCGCGAAAGGAGAGGGAGCGAGAGAGAGGACACCAGCACAGGACACGCCACGACTCGGACCCTGATGATTCTCATCGTTACCGCAGTCATTCTCCGCGCCGGACCGCACCAGCGAGTCGAACTGCGAGCCCCCGACCGGCAGAACCGCTCGAGGATGAGGATGAATGGGTAGTGAAGCCTGCTACCACGGCGGTCTCCGCCCCAGCCCCCTTTTCTTCGAACGTGCCTCAAGGCGATGACGACTCGGACGAAGATAATCTTGGACCGCAGCCTTTAAATAAACCTATCGCCAGCAAGAAGATGGACGAGCGTGATTACGGTGGATCACTATTACGAGGAGAGGGCAGTGCAATGGCGGCCTTCCTGCAGGATGGAACGGAATCGCGTATTCCTCGTCGGGGTGAAATCGGCCTGACTTCCGATGAGATTGCCAAGTACGAAGATGTGGGTTATGTTATGAGTGGCAGCCGGCACCGACGGATGAATGCTGTACGGATGCGCAAGGAGAATCAGGTCATCAGTGCTGAGGAGAAGCGGGGCATTCTCAAACTGCAGAAAGAGGAACGAGAGCGCAGAGAGGCTATCTTGCGTGAGGAGTTCAGCGAACTCGTCAAAGACAATCTCAAGGAGCAGAAGGCGCCAAAGCGGAATGCAGATGCGTAAGATATACAGAATGCAGTGATTAATTACAATGTATACTGCAATTCAAGGTGGCGGTGCCCATGATGAGAGCGATGGCCTTCGGGCTGAAGGAGGGATGACTGGCGTGGCTGGCTCCGAGTTTGGAGCCGAGATCCCATTGAGTAGTGGTGTCGGCGGCAAACTAGCGTCCTGGGAGGGAGCAACAGAGGGAGTCGAGGCACGTGCAGAGGTCGAGGTTGTTGGATCCACATTGATTTGGAGAAACCCAGCCTGTGCTAAAAAGTCCCACACCCTGCTCGTTTTGTTCGCGTCTATCTTGACCAGATCCCGGGCTTCCCGCCGGCGGAGTTTACCACCGCGTCGCGCATATTCTCTCATCAGGGTTTCTTTCACCACCAGATATGGCTTGGGAAGAATGTGCAACTGAGCGCAGAGTGTCTGCTCTGCAGGCGAAAGCAGATGCAGCGATGGACTGTTCGCGAGATTCAGCGGGCCTGTTCGTCTGGATCAGCTGTCGTTTCTGCACGCTCTACAATTGGCCGGACCTCGTTTCCGATGAGTGTTGGAAGGGTTGAGCTTAGAAGTGGTTTCTTCTTGCCCATCCACATCCATCGGTGCCACACTGGATCTGTCGGTCACTGAAGATTGTCGTCGATGTTTGTCGGAAGAGCTGTGTTCTCGGGGAGCGCCTTTGGGCTGTGTCGTCTGCTGAGATATAAGCAATCATTTCAGAGAGAATGATGACAACAGACTCGTTTGTTCAGGTCGATATGATACTTTTCAATATCAGCAGGGCCAACAAGTCCCACTCGGCGATAGCTTTGCAAGTCCTGAATCTTTTTGCGAAGCATTGCCTCGTCTGCAAATCATCAGATCAGCGTGTTTTTCAGTTCAAACAGCTTCGACTAACATAGAATGTCCGCCGAAAATGCTTCATAGTCATCCGCTGTCTGCAATCTTGCAAATGGACGGAGGCGATGCAAGATATCCTTGTCCTCTTTGGACCGCTTCTTCTCGAGGACTTGCAGCTGGAGCCGATGAGCTTGCATGGACACCGCATGAATGAAGAATCACACCTTTTTATATTCCAGAAGACCTCGATCAAACACAAGCCCTTTGCCTTCCAAACGCTTGTCGACACGCTGGAAATACATCTCGAGTAATGTCAGTTTAAAGGCGAGCGATTGTTCTGTTTCAAAAGGAGGCAGTTGGGTAGGCTCTTCGTCGTCGTCAGTATTATTCGTCCCGTTCGCCGTCTCTTGATCTTCCGTATGCTTGTTCTCCCCATTGGCTTGCACCCCATTTGAACCGGATCCGTTGATAGCCGGGACAGGGCTCGACACCGATCTTCTTTCGAACGGGAAAACTGGGAAAGTCGTTATGCCGTTGGCTCGCTCCTCTTCCCATCGTATTCGAGCCAACACTTCCTTGTCATTTTCATCCTCGGGTATGTCTTGTCCGCCATAGTCCATCACTACTCCGAACTCCAGATCTTTCACCAGGTCTTCGGCATCGTGATCGAGCTCGTGTTCAAATTCCAACCGTCCGGGAAGAAAAGTCGCGATTTCGTGCACGCCAGGAGCTGATGTCGGTGCTGGTTTGGGTGCGGAGATGGGCATCGCGTTCATCTCCGTTATACGCTTCCGTTTCCGTTCTTGAAATTCATCGGGAGGGATATCAAATGTCAGATCCATTTGCTTCAGAGAGGTGAGTATGATTGTATTACAACGGGTTCAGAGGACCAACGCACAGGGTGAGGCCAGTGCGGAGAATCAACATATACACTGTTATAATGCTTCTCCACTTCTTCCTTGGTTTGAGTGCCGACATGCTCCGCAATCTTCTTCCAGTTTCCAATGCCTTGACTCGCCATTCCCTTCAGCAACAGTAGCTCCCTAAGTGCGCATCAATACGAGTATCACTAATTGCTCATTGGACTGACTTACTCATCCGCGCCCCAGTCCTCGGAGAATATAGGGTAGGAGTTGAATTCCTGAAATAGATATCATCGTCACTGTTGGTAAAGAACGCGTCTACTCACGATGACTCGGTATGCATGTCCTCTCTTGTGTTCTCCAAACTCCTTGCCCTCGCAAAAACAAGGTGGGCAGATATCAACGCCTTCACCTGTGGCGCAAATAGGGTCGGCGCATTTGATGCGTATAGTGTGTGTTACATCGCACGCGCAGGAATCGCACTGAAATTGCACTCCAGGCTCATTTACGACAACTATCAGTGCAACTCGTCAGATATGACTGCTAAATGACGGCCAAAGACTTACCCACAGCGTCTTCAGGTTGTCCAAGTACTTTGCGTTGCGTGACCGTCATAGTTCATTGAGTCGTGAATAGACACACTGTTGGAGCACAAGTGGAGCTGTAAGTAATAGATGATGACGGTGATGATTGCGGCACAGAGAACTGATGTGACTGTGACCGGAACTGATTAGATACTGGTATCCCTGCTGATAACAGACTCGTAAAATGTTCTACTGATAATTGTACGTTGCTTTGTCCATGGATACAGTTTACTCGATCATCTGACGGAACTTGTCTTGAATTTCGGTGTGCAGAGCCTCCAACTTCTCCACAATCGGCTCCTTGCCTTGTGATGGGGACTGCAAGATCGAGTAAGAAACAGCGCGCCTGGACGCGAAGATGGGTTTGCTTACCTCGAACTTCATCTGGGACAGCTTGAACATCAGATCGCTGGCATTTTCCTTGATTTTGGCAAAGGTGATGTCGCCTTGTCCCTGGCTGACGGCTCGGATCGCCGCATCGTGGAAGCCGACGAAGTTCTTGAGCATCAAATTGGTCTTGTAGAATGGGCAGAATCGATCATACTCGCTCATGCCATTCTGCTGCAGGAAATCGTCCTTCAGCATGCGCGCAACTTCGAGTGTAATCTTGTCGTTTTCGCCCAAAGCGCTCTTGCCGACGAGCTGCACAATCTCGGCAAGGTCCTCTTCCTTCTGCAGAATTTCCTTGGTCTTGGTGCGCAGATCGACGAAACCAGGGGCGTCAGACTGATAGAACGACTCCAGTACTTTCGTGTATTTGGAGTACGAAAGTGACCAGTTGACTGACGGGAAGTGCTTTCGCTGGGCCAACTTCTTGTCCAATCCCCAGAACACTTGAACGATACCAAGCGTCGCTGACGTCACAGGATCCGAGAAATCACCACCAGGAGGGGACACACTGCATTATAAGATAAGCAGAGCAAGCAGTGCTGTGATACGAAATTCACTCACGCGCCCACAATCGACACGGTGCCCTGTCGAGATGGGTTTCCAATACAAACGACTTTGCCAGCACGCTCGTAGAAACTGGCCAATTTCGTTCCCAGATAAGCCGGATAACCAGAATCAGCCGGCATCTCAGCCAAACGACCCGAGATTTCACGCAAAGCCTCAGCCCATCGTGACGTAGAGTCCGCCATCATAGCCACGTTGGTGCCTTGGTCACGGAAATATTCGGAAAGCGTGATACCAGTGTAAATGGACGCTTCCCGTGCAGCGACAGGCATATTAGACGTGTTAGCGACGAGAGTCGTGCGCTTCATGATGGGCTCCTGGCGGTCTCCGACTTCCATCGTGAGTTCAGGGAACTGTAGAAATTGAGACCAGGTATCGGATAAGGAGGGCGCGTGTTACCTCCATGAGCACTTCGGCCATCTCCATACTCATTCAGCGCGAAACATTAATAGTTGTCGAACACACGTACCTCATTGCCTCGTTCACCGCATCCGACATACACGATGATGTCGCTGTTGGAGTATTTGGAGAGCGCTTGAGAAATGACGGTCTTTCCACATCCGAAAGCGCCGGGGATAGCAGTCGTTCCGCCCTGCACACAGCTATATAACGAGTGAAAAAAAGCTCATAGGGCCAGGTAAAGACTTACGGGAATAGCGCATCGAGAATGCGCTGACCAGTCAACAATGGATAGTCCGCCGTCTGCTTCTCGGTCACAGGGCGGGGTGCACGGACTGGCCATAACTGCATCATAGTGTGTTTAGTTGTCTTTCCCTCGAACTCGGTTTCAAGCACGATATCCTGATAATATTTTAATAAGAAAGATCGCATGCCGATGGGCCACCTACATCGACTGCATAGCTGCCCTTCTCTGCGATGTGCGTGATTGTGCCAAGGGCTCGGGGAGAAAGCATGATCTTGTGGTTGTCGACAAGAGAGTTCTCATATACACCGCCGAAGATGTCACCACCAGAGATATGGTCACCGACCTGGGCGGTGTCAGGACGGTCGCTCCGCCAATTGCAAAGGGTGATGTACCTTGAAACCGGCGGGCTTGAAGTCCCAGGATAGACCACGATCCAAGGCATCGGTATTGATTCCACGGGGTATGTAGATCGACTTCGAGCGCTCTTGAATTGACTGGGAGGTGTTTTAGCGGCGGTAACGGGTATATGGCCTGACGACTTACCCGTAGGGGTCGCTGAATACCATCGACAATGTTCCCCATTAGACCTTGAGAAGATTTAGGATACATCTGATGTTCGAGGCAAGGTCGATCGTACCGGGACCAAGCTCGACGCTAAGCGGCTTGCCAGTTCGCAACACAGGGTCACCAACAGTGACGCCAGAGGTTTCTTCATAAACCTGGATGGTAGCCTTGTCCGACTCGATACGGATGACCTCTGGTATCGTATTGAGATAGCTGGCTTCAGAGATTGCCGAGACATACCGCCGACCAGCTCATCATGGCCCACGCGAACAAGCTCGTACATGGCCGCCCCGATCATGTTTTCTGCTACGACGACAGGACCTGAAACGCCGTAGACCTGACCGAATCGGCTCTCCCTATCCTCATCCCGAATCTTGGCAATGTCTCGCTTCGCGTTCTGGAGAGCACCAGCCATGATGATTTCGAAGTTGCAGTTACAGAGTCGTAGGGAGCCTAAAGTGGCTGTGATCGGTCTCACGTGAGTCGGAGAGAGCGACGCGTAATACTAACTTCACTTGCTCAGCTCTAACCTTTACCACCATGCCCCCCAAAGCGTGCGTTTTGACATGCTCGCGTTTTCCTCCCTCCATTCATCATCTACAGTGACTGGGAAAAATACGAGAAGAAGATTGATGAGAAGGACGAGAAGATTGTGGCCCTCGATGACAGCGACATCCAAATCCTCAAGACCTACGTGCGCGCCCCTCGTGGCTCTCTCGTCCGTCGCCATTCATGCTCCTTGACAGGGTCAAGGCCCGTATGCGCAGAAGCTGAAGGCGGTTGAGTCAGACATCAAAGACGTGCAAAAGCGGATAAATGAGGTCCTCGGCGTGAAGGAATCGGACACTGGACTCGCTTCACCCAATCTCTGGGACTTGGCTGCCGACGGTGCACGTCATCAAGAACAGGTTCTTCAAGTCGCCCGGTGTACAAAGATTATCCCTGTTGACCCCGCGGCGGCGGCGGCAGCCAAAGCGCTCAGTCCTCTTGGCGCGCTACAAGGCAACAAAGGCGCTGACGAGCAAGATAAATATGTTGTCAATCTCAAGCAGATTGCCAAGTTTGTCGTTGGCCTCGGTGATCGGGTGGCTTCCGATGATATCGAGGAGGGAATGCGTGTGGGGTGAGCTTTCTTCCATCTTCCTCAGTCTGAATGCCTCTAAACTGTGCCCTCAAGTGTCGACCGAACCAAATATCAAATTCAAATTCCATTGCCGCCAAAGATCGATGCGTCTGTGACGATGATGCAGGTCGAAGAAAAGCCCGATGTGACCTACTCGGATGTTGGCGGCTGCAAAGAACAGATCGAGAAACTCAGGGAAGTCGTCGAAACCCCCTTGCTCTCAGTACGCATCTTTCATATTTCTTTCTGTATACATGCTGAAACTGTCCAGCCCGAACGTTTTGTCAATCTTGGAATCGACCCACCCAAAGGAGTGATGCTTTACGGTCCGCCCGGAACTGGTAAGACACTTTGCGCAAGAGCCGTCGCCAATAGGACGGATGCGACATTCATCCGTGTTATTGGATCCGAGTTGGTGCAGAAGTATGTCGGCGAGGGTGCTCGTTTGGTCCGAGAGTTGTTCGAGATGGCTCGGAGTAAGAAAGCCTGCATCATCTTTTTTGACGAAGTCGATGCGATTGGTGGTGCCCGATTTGATGACGGCGCTGGAGGCGACAATGAAGTACAGCGGACGATGCTGGAGCTGATCAACCAATTGGACGGCTTCGACCCACGAGGAAATATTAAAGTTCTCATGGCTACTAACCGGCAAGTGGTTTGTTGCGCGCTAGACTCCGTGTCTAATAGTTTACAGACCTGATACACTGGACCCCGCCCTGCTTCGTCCAGGACGAATAGATCGACGGATCGAGTTTTCTTTGCCTGATGCGGAAGGGCGTGCACATATTCTGCGAATCCATGCCCGCAGGTGCGTCTGTTCAATACTTTGTCCACGTTGACTGACTTCCTGTAGCATGAGCGTTGAGCGAGACATTCGATTCGATCTCATCGCTCGCTTGTGTCAAGGAACCACAGGAGCTGAGTTGCGATCTGTGGCCACCGAGGTATGTGTTTCCTCTGTGATGCTCTTCCTGTTCTAACAGTCTACAGGCTGGGATGTTTGCCATCCGAGGTAGACGAAAGGTAGCGTCTGAGAGAGACTTTTTGGATGCAGTACAAAAAGTCGTCAAGGAGGGAACCAAATTCTCCAGCACGTGAGTGGCAAACTTGGCTGTCCTATTCAATGAGCTGACTGTTTCCTAGTCCCTTGTACCAGGTGTACAATTAGTACTACTTATGCTAATGGTTTTTTCTGTATGATCTTTGACGCGTAGTTTCATGTTTCCCTTTCCAAGTCCACAGTGGCACATCTTTGGGGATCATTTGGTACTTGACCTTGCGTACAGCCCGTTTCCGCTCGTCATTTCCCTTAGGCTGGTCTTTCTCTGAATGCCGCAGGGCGATCTGGGCTCGCATCCCCCGCCGGAGGATATTGATCAGCGGGAATTCGTCTAGTTGGTCGCCAGAGACGTGGTTGTGTTGATTGAGAATCTCATCGACGGTGGGAATGCGACCGCTCTGGGAAGCGATGACAGTTGCGACAGCAGTTCGGCGCACGCTGTTATGCTCGATGAGACGCTCCATGATCCAACGATACGCTTTGTGCGGATTGGGATCCAGGGTCATGTGGTCGAATGGGCCCATCAGCTCCAGCGCGAAGCGTGGGGCGTTTTTCTTCTTCAACCTCGCGATGTAGATGTCAAAGTAGACTTTGCGGGCCATATAGCGGAGAAGGACAAAGTAAGTCCGCTCGTTGACGCCCAGTCCAAGATCGATCGTAGTGCTCAGCGCAATGATGGCTGCGGGATAGTCGTCAACGTACAGGAACGTACGGAATGCTATAAGCAAGAGACTGCGGTCGGTTTCGAGTTGACGCTGAGCCACAGAAGGGATATCGGACCGAGGCGGATGGAACCGTTCGCTGAAGCACAGGGACATCATGTCCGCAAAAAGAAGTCGGGGAGGCACCACTATTCCTTTGTCCTGATCCCGTCTTGACGCATTTTGCCGATACTTGTTCTTGTACTGGAATCCGAGCAATCGGAACAAATTCTGGTACGTGTTTGCATCGGGCTTGAGCGGAGTCGTCATCGCAAGCCGCATGATGACGCTGTAAAACGCAAAAGCTTTGCGTAGGCCACGAAACAGTTTCTCGCGAGCGATGAGAGAGTTGAACACAGCGATGTGGATGGGCACATCCTTCTCCTGCATGATTCCCATGATACGATCCACAGCCTCTTGGTCTGATCTTGTTCCCGGCGCCGTGCGCAAGATTTGAGCGTAGGGCTGCGTCCGATTCTCGAAGGTGGGGCGCGAACCACCCTGGTATTCGAACTCCACTATAGTCCTGGCAGCCATGTCGATCTCTCCCGCCCGAGTGTGCAGTTCGATCAGTTTCGTGACGAGATTGGGCGAGGGCCAGTAACCCTCGGCCTTGACAGAAATGAACAGTCTTGTGAGTCGCGCTGCGATACGAGGGGAAATCTCGAGGGTATCAATATGCTTCAGCAGCTCCATGAGATGAACTTCTGTGAACGACCGGTACGAGAGAATGGCCTCGAATCCCTCCAGCTGCTCCTCGTTCGAAGTCTTGGACACAGCGAGTGCAACAGCCAGAAAGAGGGCATCCGTGGAAGGGGAGGGGAGGAGACCATCTTCGATCATTTGTTGGTAAACCGCCCCAGCTTGCTCGTAAGACCTGCGCTCGAATAGGAAGCGAATGACATTTTCTCCCACTTTGGATCGGGAGGGTATTTGAAGGTCGTTGCCGCGTAGACGTTGACGCAGCCATGCGCTCTGGTTCACATTGTGGTCCTGTTTTATGAGGTCCATGACCTCCATGAACGAGGCCGCTACTTCATCCGCATGTTGCTCCACTGCTGGCTCCGGCGAGATGGGAAGTTTGCTTGCAGCAGCGGCGTGCGAAGCGTACCGTGAAGACAAACGGTCTCGCAAGAATATATGAGGCTGGAGAGACAAGAAACGAAGAGGAGATGAGCGACGAGAAAAACTAAGCCATGAACGCATGCAGTTTGCTCATGAAAGTTGCATCGAAAGGGAAGCAATCTGTTTTCGGATGATGTAAGCTACTCTCACCGAGCAGGACTTCGTGACCGTCGCGTGATCCTCCACGCTCATTAAGCCCCCGCTCAAGCACCAGTGTATCAGCCGCCATGGTCTCCTCCGTCCTTGTAGACGCGTTATCTGACCCGACAAAGACCCTCGTGGATCTCTTTGATCCCACGGACTCTAATGGCTTCCCTGCAAAAGTCACTTCACACTTTGCCAATATCTTCGCGTCAAAGGACGCGTTTTCGGAGATACCAAGCATCTATTCAGTCGATCCAACTCAACAAGATCGACCTCTCGTGTTTTTTCGCGCCATGGTTCAAGACAATTCGTTCTCTCCGGAGATGTATCTCGCAAAACGGAACAACGGCGAATGCGGAGGCTGGGGTCTCGGCGATGACGCGTCTGGAGACGTGGATTACACGAATCTGAGAGAAAACACAGTCGTTTGGGCTGTCAATGTTCCAGGGGAAAGCCCATGGGTCGCCTCGGAATGCGATGAGCTAGCCAGTGCGCGACTGCGTTCTTGCTCCCGGAGCAATACTTACCAGTCCCTCGGATACGACCAGCGGATTCCTCTTCTGCACACTCCGTGATATCAGCAACTCACCCGCATAAGTTCCCCATTCAGGGTGCTCCTCATCTTGGAGTACAGGCCAAGGTGAGCAGTACGATGGAGGGATATTTGGTCATCCTCATTACCGCCTGCAGATCTATGACAGTGCTTGTGCACAACAGCTCAAATCCACTGACATAGTCACTCTGGTGGGGTTAATGACAATGGAACCGTGCGTTGCCGACCAACTCTGTTTAGCATTCTAATTTGACCGTCTTCCTCAAAGCCTTGCGGTCGAAATAGAATCTTCGGACGGGCTGCAGTGGTCCCGACTCTACATGTGCTTTTCATTAGACCGCTTGCCCCCACACTCATTCCGCGTTCATACCCATTCTTGTCCATCTCGAACTCGCAGCCGCTGCGGCAGGAACTGATCGAATGGATTGGCAACGAGGGCCTGGGTGGGGACCTGGATGCTGCCGAGTGGGTGCTGCTATGTATCATAGCCAGAGTGTACGCACATCCTCTCGGGACTCGGGGGAAAATTGACTTGGGACAGTCAGTCCCGAACACCACCGCTCCTCCCTCCTTCACTCGTTCTCTCGCAGTTCCCGGCGCCAAATGGTTCAACAGGACGTCCCAGGCTAGCGAGAATTCTTTCGAATTTAGTCCCGCTTTTCCTTGAACTCGATCTCTCACTTGATATGCTCAACACGACAGCGTTCTATCCCGAGTCGAAAAACGAAGACCTCCACAGTGGCCGGTTGCAGGTTGCGCGGGGGACCACATATCTCATCACAGAAAGTGATGTGTCGGAGGGCGCTGTGCTCGACCGTGGGCTGCGGAACATCCGTGCAGTGCAGGACGCGATGTCGACACAAACACTGGACTACGTTTTTCCTTTCAGCTCCTTCTCTTTCAACACAGACTTGATCTTCATTGTTGTGTCCGAAGGCAAAAAGAGCGCCTTTTTTGAGGTAAGATATTCCACACTGACCGCGTTTCGTCTTGGCTCATACCGTACAGACCCACATCAATGTTCCGCTACGTCCTCCATCCAAGGCTTCGCTCTACGGGGACGTCACGGTGATGCCTAGCGAAAGAAGTTGGCCGACTTCAGAAGCTGGATCGGCGGAGCGCGGATTGGGAATGTGACTATTGATGATAGGGTCGCAGAGGTTTGTTTGATGCTACACTTGTACGAATGCCTCCGCTGACTGGATGTAAGTATATCCAGGAAGATTTCGTGGCAGAGCGAAAGTCAGGCGCGTCGACAGTAACCTCAGACGGCCTGATCCACAGAATGACAGTCGCAAGGTGAATAGTCTAGATTGATTGATTTCCTAGCAAAGCCTCTCTAAGCGTTTCTCAGGTTACTGACCTTATCGAGGCACGAGCCTAACATCTCGATTGAGGTCTGGAATCGGGCCAAAGAGCTGGAGGAGAATAGAATTGCCAGGCTTATGACTCTTGGGGAAAAGATGAGATGATGTATTTCAGCTACTCTGCGGACGGCCGAGCTGGTTTTTTCCTGCTTCCATCCAGATTGTGCCCAGCTCGTGCACGACTGCAACCAGCACATCTGCACCATCGCTGGATCTTGACCACTCGCTTCGATGTAGTATTTGATCTTGGGTTCCGTCCCACTCGTTCTGATATAAGCTTCAGCACTGAATGCTATCCCTTTCAGAACCGACCCACCGGATTGTGATAACGAGCTGATTGGTTGCTTTTGAACCTGCCCTGAACTGAATCATGTGACCAGATGACACTGGCAAGGAAGACTTGAAGTCAGACGGGAAAGTGTATCCAGTGGTCAGGTCAACGATACGAGTGATAGCCATGCCGGTAATAGCCGTGGGATATGATGGCTTTGCGCTTTCAGGTCCAGACGGCTCGCTGGTGAAATGTCGCAGACGCCAAAAGATGCTGTCGATGGTCTTGGGGTTTTTGCAGATGAAATAACTGTTGCTCGTCTGTCGGACGGTCATCAAACGCTGTCGTAGACATGCACACACGGCGCACTTGCCTGAAAATATCCATAACGCTGATACAGGCCGTCCAGATATGATTTGACAGTCGCGCCCTGGCTCGCGAGAGAGGCCACAAGCTCTGCAAACATCACCTGGACGATCAAGTCAACCATAAGAGCTAGGTATCTCCTGGAGACCAGACTCACGGTGGCAGCCACACCATCTTTGTCTCGTACCTGTGAATCGAACATGTAACCGATCGCTTCCTCGTACCCGAACGGAACATCAAATCCCTCGGCGACCAAATTCAGCGCTGTGTTGCCGATGAATTTGAACCCTGCAAATTCATTCAGATCGAATCCAGCTGCGCGAAACCCCGCTAACCCGTAAGACACTCCACAAATTTGAATCCGTCTTTTTCCGCCATCGCCTCGATCATCTTTGAGCTGACTGTCGATGCGACCATCGCGAGTCTGTCTACTGGCTTGCCCGCAGCTTTGTACTGCTCTAACACTCGCGAGGCGAAAATCGTTCCTAGCTGGTCGCCCGTGAAAACGCACCATTTTTCGTCCGAACTTCCACCGATGTCAAAAACAACAACACGGGCATATGGTCAGTACTCACCCTCTTTCTGCAGCACAAAAACGGTCCGAGTCGGGATCCTGCGAAAGAACATAGGTCGCGCCATGGCTTTCAGCAGTCTTTAATGCAAGGTTCTTCGAAACGGGTCAGCTGAATATTTATGCGTGTATGGTGTGATTGCACCAGAGCGCCTGTGTTCAATCGTCAACTTCAGAACGCATGGCATGACTTGGCGTCAGACCGACCTTTCTCTTCCGGATTGGGAAATGCCACAGTCGGAAACTCGGGGTCAGGCCGTTGCTGCTCCGCCACGGGAATATACAGCCCGAACCCGAACTGCTGGAAAGCCCTCGAGACAAATGCGTCGCTGACACCATGCATCGATGTGTTCACGAATTTCGTTCGCAGCTGTTCGTTCAACGACCTGGGTGGGTCCGTGAATGAAGTCCTGGCCTGGCTTTCAAGACACACAGACCTCGTATGATTCAAGGCGGACAACGCCTCGAAATACCCGTTTTTCATCTCCTCCGTGCGGTCGAGGCAGAGATCCGATGACAAGAGCGATTCGTCTTTCCAAGTGAGGGGCGTCAGGTTAGCTTGGATCGCGGCCGAGATTCCCACATCATGCGGGCCGATGATCTGAACTGCGTTCTCCCAGTAGACTTTGTATCCGTTGTCATCCTCGGACTCTTTCAGAACTCCACACAGGATGCAGAGAAAAATGAGCAAGAACCTTGGGGTTGTGGCTGGCCGTGATCATGACACCGCAAGCCGCGCCCAATGCATGGACACTGAACGGGACTCTGGAAACATCGACTGACGTCCAAGCTGCATAAACGCAACAACGCACAAAGGGGTGTGCGCTAAACCACGGTGCAGATAGGCCTTGAATCCTTTATTAATGAACACCGAAGCAGTCAGGTGGGCCCAGCGCTCAGAGTTGTATCGATGGTCGTGCCCGATGACAATCCCGCGCGAAGCCGCGTTCGCCACTTTCTGGGAGACGTACGCGCATAAACCCTGCGTAACAAGTATGAGAAGTTGGGTGCTGAGATCTCTAGTTGATAGATACCTGGGAAGCCTGGATCACAATCAGGTCTAAGCTGATCAGCGAAGATGGCGAAGGGGTGCAGCTCACTGACCATTCATGCACGCCCACCCAGCAGCCATCCGCCCTCTTAGCCCTGCAGAGTGCGTCAATATAACCTATTCTTCTCATAGTCCACGGAAACAGACCAGCGGTCCCAAATTCTATTCTTGTCCGCATGCACTGCTCAAGAGCGTCTGTGTTTCCACTCTGGGATAACATTCGGACCTCTTCTTTCGTTGTTTCATTCTCGTAGGCATGTTAGGAAGGGGGATTTTTGGTCGCGGTTCGTGGACCTACTTGATCAAGTCGCAACCATTCAGCAACAAGAGCATTGAGGGTTTCATCGGACATGATGGTAGAACGGAGACCCGTACGTTATCTTATCTGATCATTACAAAACAAACATTCATTTTCATATCTCAAGTAGTAGTACAGTTTAGAGGACGCGCTCCTTCATGCCAACGCCCTCGGCTTCCAGCCTCTCGCGGAGGATCTCACACATTTCCTTCGAATAAGGTGCCTGCACGCCAGGCGCGCCGATGACACCATCGAGAACCAACTGGGTGGCAATACCGCACGGAAGCCCGACGAGGAGAGCCATGGCGGAGTAGCCGCCGGGAGCCGAAGATCCGTAAGCCTCCAGGGTCGAGGTCAGGGTTTGCTGGCAAGAGTGAGTAGGCGTCAGACAGAAAAAATAGAATGAGATACCTCCGTGCCGTCGGCCCACTGAACACCGAACTTGTGTTGGAGCATGACGAGGTCCCGCTCACCGGTATCGTACTTCATCAGTGCCTCCAGTCGAGCACAAAGGGTGTCGAGCAGGTTACCAGCGCGGACGGTCGCTTTCTCGGCCGAGAACAGACCGATCCAGCGCAGACCAGAGATGATCCGCTCTGCCTCGGACTCTGATGGGAACTGGCAGACTTGCTTGACCTTTTCGACCAGAGTCCTGTCAATACCAATTGGCTGAGCCTCCAAGTTCCGTGGAAGGATGGATCTTACTTACGCCTCATCGTTGCTGTTTGCACCGCTGGCCAACTTGGTCGCTTCACGCCACTCGATTCCCTCCACCAGCCATGGCTTGGCCGCAGGGTCGAGCCAGTTCAGGTCCACCAGAGACTTGATGAACTGCGGGAACCCCTGGTACCGGAGAGTCCCACGAATAACAGTCTGTGCCTCGGGAATGTTGTAGAACTTCTGGAACGGCAACGAGTCTCGGTTGGGATAAGCCACAAACGCAAAGGCAGGGGAAATATAGTAAGGCTTGGCGTGGCTCATGAGCTCAGATCCAGGGATGTTGGTTGCCTCCCCGGCTGACAGAATAGAGGCCGAGTTAAGCAAAGCGAGAAGGACCCCGCGGGATGACCAGGAGAACTTGTAGCCGAGTGGGTTATCGGCTGTTTCCGGAGCCGGAAGACCACCGCAGTAGGACAAGAAGCTCTTGATCTGGATAGTGCAAATGGTGAGCGTGGAAAGTCAAATGAACACTTGCCGTACCTTGCCGCCCTTCTCGTGGACTTCCTCGATGGTCTTGACCGCATACAGGTGATCGATGCCAGGATCGAGACCGATCTCGTTGAGCACGATGATTCCCGCAGCACGGGCTGCGGCATCAAGCTCTCGCATCGCCGGAGACACGTAGGAAGTAGTCACAACGTGGGTTTTGCCTTTGATGGCGGCTTTGATGACATCGGCATGGAAAGTGTAGGGGATGAGCGAGATGACCAGATCGTGAGAAGCGACAGCCGATTCGAGAGCAGCTGTGTCCGAAACATCGAGAGAAATTGCGGAGGTTGAAGGAAGTCCCTCAGCAAGAGCCTCGGCAGAGGCCAGCGTTCGGCAAGCTGGAGGTGTTCTTAGTATGAGACTTTTGCGTTACCACTGGCTAATAACGTACCAACAGTGACTTCATTCGAAGGTTCACGCGAGAGGTATTCGGCGCAAGGGCGGGCTACGAAACCACTGCCGAGTAGCAAAACTTTTTTGCCCTGCTTGCCCGCGGCCTGGAAAGTCGCTGTTTTAGCTGCCCGACCAAATACAGGCCTCACGTCCTTGTCTTCGTGCAGCACGGACCGGCCGAACTCAGGCAAAACGAACGCTGCGCTATGCACTGCTCGGTTGTAGTACCGTGTTCCCTCGACATCACGCAGAGGCACACTGAGGTCTCGGGACGCGTCCTTGGTGGCGACGATGAAGCCAATTTGGCCAGAAGGATAAGTAGGAATGGTGGTGAACGCATAATCCGACACAGGGAAGATGCTCTTGGTCATGGTGCGGAGCTCTTTGATCAGAGCAAGGTGCAGCCATAGACATTCTCCTTGGGTGGAGATGCTTCCTCCAGGAGCAAGTGCGTCGTGCAGAAGCTGGAAGTAAGGCTTCTCGAAGAGCGACTGCGCAGGCCCGACTGGGTCGGAAGAGTCGGTTACGATGACATCGTACGTAGCCTCGTTCTCCGCCAGGAACTTGAAACCGTCGCCGATGTGGACGGTGACCCGAGGAGACTCGAGCAAAGCAGACATGTGGGGGAGGAATTGCTTCGACACGCGCACAACAGCTTCATCGATGTCGCAGAGCACGACCTGCTCTACATGGGGGTGTCGCAGGGCCTCGCGGACCACACCACCATCGCCTCCTCCGATGACCAGCACCTTCTTGGGGTTGGGATGACTAGCCAAAGGAATGTGGGCGATCATTTCCTGGTAGCTGTTTTGGGGGCAAGTAAATTGGTAACTGTTCAGACAACGCGGCTGAGTCTGACTGACGAGAATTCATCGCGTTCCGTGCACTGAATGACACCATCGAGTACAAGAACGTTTCCGAAAGTCTCAGACTCGAAAACGAGGACATCCTGGTAGAGGGATTTCTCCACATGCAGAATTTTGTTGACTTTGAGCGTCATAGCCTGACCCTGCCATTGCGACGAGATCTCCCGGAACCATCCATCTACTCAGCAGTTCAGTGCTAATTTCAGAGAGGATAGCGAAAGAGATCGACCATAGATTGAGGGGTGCGTCAAGGGTGCCATCGATGTAAAAGTTGAGAGGCGAAGGGAAATTTTCGCTTGACTCGGGATCGGCGCTTATCGCGGCTTGATAAGATCAGATTACAACATCATTTTATTTTCAATCTAAGCGTTGGCCAAGACCTCCGGTGCGATACGTTGCTCTACAGTCTGCAATTTATCAACCCACTCTCCGAGAGTTTTTGCCAATGTCCCAATTTGGTCCCGCGAAAGAACGCGCGGTTGAACCCAAGTGATCTGAGCCTTCTGATCCACCTGGTCAATGGATCCTCGAATGAGTTTCAAGCTTCAAAGCCGTCAGAACACTGGGAGAAGAAGGCCGATGTGGAATACCTCAAGGCTTTCATCACCAGATGCTCCACCTCGTCGATGGGTAACCGTGTCTCTTCGGCAATGGTTTGAAAAGTCATAGTTCGTTTGTTAGCAGCGCGTTTGAAAACGCTCTCAATCAGTGCCATTAAGCAGATTTTTTGGCGTAAGAATGCGTAATTCTCTTGCAGAATGGGCTGAGAAAGAATATGAGGTCAAAACAAGCCAAAGCGCGTATATTGACTCACCTCTTTGGGAAATAGAGGTGCCAGTGCTTCAAATTTGCCGATGTTTCCCTCATTGAATGTGAAAAGTAATCTCTTTATCCACTCGTGAGGTGTCCCATCAAGAGAATTCAGGATAGGATGCATCAGCTGCAAGTCGAATATCAGTGGGGCATTTCAAACGAGGATACTGCCACTTACCAGTTCGCCAAAGTTGTAAATCGTATCTCCGAGAAAGGCGGAGATGCCTAAATCATGCGCGCGGGACAACCTATCTTCAGGAGACATGTCCGTCTCTAGATTTGGCACACATGCGAGGAACAGAAGAGAGTTGCGATAGTACGGAGCGTATTCGGCTTTAGCCTACACGCATCGCATTAACACAGTCAAGATATGTTGGTGACCACAAACCTTGTAGTAATCTCCAGCGATTTGATAGTATGCTGCGTTGACGCCGTTTTCGACATCTTCTAGCTTGTCCAAGACCGCCCAAGCCTTGTCCATGTCTGCTTTCGTCCCCTCCAGATCACCATATAGCAGTTTCGCGTGCGCGATCGTGGCTAGCAACAAGACGTGGGCTTCTTCGGACTTGATATTGGAATGAACAGAAGTGATGCGCGACAAGAGAGATGTGAGGAAGGTCAAGTGCGTCTGAGGGTCTGAGAAGATAATGCGATTGAGAGATGATCAGACAATAAACGGAGCGCGACATACTATCAATCTCCTTCGAAACCTTCACTCCCATCTCCACTAGTCGGAGCTGGTTGATCCTCGACTCGAAATCTCTCACAAACTGCTCGAACACGGCTACACGATGAGGCCCGGACGATGGGACATCGAAGAACGCGAATAGTTTCAGGGTCAATTGGTGCCAGAGTCTTTGAGGGTGATAGGTTCATCAGGGGGGCTACTAATGTGAATGAAATCACGTACTTTTTGGTGTACAGAGTTCGGAAACTCTCGATGAAAGGGTGCAACTCTGGTGGCATTGACGACACAGCAGAGGTGGTGAACTGATCCAAGTCGAATTTGAAAGGTTTGGCATCAACGGCCATGGTAGTAGCTGAGGTTGAGGTCGACATGACAGTTGGAGCAATGAAGCGGGAGACGCGAAAGCCTACGCGTATGTTTGTCAATACCAAATAATGATGTCGATTTGACCACTTGCCAATAATGATCGACTTCAACTCACCGAGCAAAATCGTGCGTCCTTCTCGTCAAGCACATCCACCCATTTATTAGGTTCACTGGTGACCCTCCAGTTCCGCGCGTTTGGGGGGCTTTTCGTTGCCTTTGGAGGCACCTTTTACCTTGCGAAGCAGATCGTCAATTCCCGGAGAGATGCAGATCATCGTCGTGAAGTGCTAGCAATGCAAGAGGGAGAAAAGAGGAATGGGGCATAACTCCAAAGCGCAGAATATCTCTTCCGGCTTCTCCGTTACTCGAGACCTGTCGTATCGTGCAATGTCTTTTGTATACGGCTGCCACGACAACGATGGTGTATATGCATTGGATATTCGACGTGCAACAATCACAGAAATAAAGACGGCCGGATCCAACCAAATCGTTCATCCACTGGGCACCGTTCTCTGGGTGGAAGGAGAGGTCCGCGCAATATCGCTCAGAGGAGGTAGTCTGATTTTGAAAGACGGCGTGGTCGGGGGTACGACAGGCGTCGGTTCCGCAGATACGGGTTGCCCTTTGTCCTTCGCTTTCCCTTTCCCTTTCGATCCCTGGGGCCTCTCAGTCCTGGACTTTTTCGTGGATTCGGATGGCCTAGTTTCATCATCGAGGTTGTGGTCTTCGGTTGGCTCCTCCCTCTCCTTACGTTTGCGGCTAGGCTTGACTGTTTCTTTGGGCGTCTCTTGATCGGCCGCTTTTCGTCGGACAGTCCGCCCTCGGGAAGAGGGCTGGGAAATGTCAGGTAGGGTATTACTGGTATGATAGCCAAGTGCAGACCTTGGAAACAGGTGACTCAGACGGCTGCCCGGCAGAATAAAAGCCATTCTCGTGCTCTTCTGTCTCTGTTTTGACACGAATAGATAGCGGCCCAAATGGGTCGTCGAGACTGGACTCCTGATGGCAGTATCGGCAATTGACCATTGATAACATTCGTCGCTGCGCACCTTGGAAGAGATGCTGACGACTGAGTCTGCCTTCCTCCCGCGAGAACGCAATTCCCGCGTATTTGCGGTCGGTGTTACGGATGAATGCAGTCCATTTGCAACTCGTTTTCGTTTTGCAGAAATATTGGAAGGTCCTGCCTCTTGAGAAGCTCCGTTAAGTGCCTTGGATGCCGTGCGCTGTGATCGCCACGCGTGGGTTTGAAGGACCTCGGTCCGGTAAAAACACGTACCTTGAGAGCTCCGGTCCGCACTGGCTTACTCGTCACAGGCGCGCTCGTCTGCTGAAATACACGGGGGACAATTTGGGCCAAAGATGGGTCATGGATCGCTAGCTGAAAATTGCAGAGCATCTGTCCCAGAGATCAGATGGCACGGAGACGAAGGGCTAGGGCACATACTTGCGCAGCTTTCAGATCATCGGCAGAATGGGAGGAATGGCCGTTGTCCAGAGTGAGAGGCTCGTCCGCGTCGGCTAGAGAGCTCAGTGAGGTGAGTGGCGAGGACAGTCCAGATTCAGCTTGTTCTCCATCTCTTGTATTCGGGTGAGTGACACAAGCCAAGACGAGGATATTGTGCGCACCTTTCTGGATTGCTATTCAAGCCGCTCACTTTATTCCAAAAGTCCAACACCACAATTCGCTCCGGGACTCGATATCGACGTCCGTTTATCAGGACCTCGTCGACTTGCACGTCCTTAATTTGAGCGGAGACTGCCTGAGGATGGATGATGTCCACAACTCCGTTGTTGGGTTGACCGGGTTTTGTTATTTCTATGGGCGCGGCTTGCTTGGGTATACGAAGTTTCGGAAGCTGTGTTTGAAGGAGAGATGAATGCCAATAAACATTGACGACAGCCTGAGAACTTGCCAGAACGCGGTCAGAGTGGTTCGGACACATCCACTTCTTGTTGATGGGAGGCATTGCCGGCAAAGGTGGGTCAAGACAATCAAGATGCCAGTGGAGGTCGCAAAAGTCACATGACAGAATACTCTTCCATAGTTCGCCGTTGGCAGGCAGTCCGGTGGGAGACCGGCGAGACCGGATTGCCGTGGATGATTCCGGAGCGAGGTCAACCGGAAGCGCGGAAGAGTTACATTTGAAGCACAAGACAGGGCCTCCATTCTTGTCGCGTAAGCGATGTGCATCGCGGTCGTCAACCAGTCCGAAGCGGCTTGATCAACGGTGTAAGAATAATGGCGCAAGCGCATGAGAATCATACTTTGGACGAGGCTGGCGGATGACAGAGGTGTCAACATAGGTTCCCTTCGGACCTGTGCCCACTGCAATAATTGAGATCGATTCCACGTGCTCCTCTCAGAAGGCAAACAGACGGACCATCTTTAAAGAAAGTGCGAATGTCTTCAGGAAGCTGATACTCGGTGGGAATTGTCGTCTGGACGAGGTGAATCAGTGGAGAAAACAGCCCTGGTGGAGGTCTTCGTGGAGGATGCTGACACATCATACTCAGCTTGGGAATCGGGGTCAGACCGTCAAAAAAACCACGCACCTTGCGGATAACGCAAGCGGGACAAAACCAGTGACTATCGCCCTCGTCGATGTTTTGCATTGGCGGATTCAGGCACCAAAGATGAAAAGCACGAGGGCAACCGTCGCAGTAAACCAATGCACCGTGAGAGCGACATGAGGAACAATGGTCTTCGTTGACCTAACACAAATGGCCTGTGAAGTCAGGAAAAAGACACTAGTGGTATGCACACACCTGTCGTGAGGATGCCAGCTCTGGCGGGTCCAAAAATTCCCCATTCGGTTCTTCCTTGACGCGCACGGAGAGACTCGTGTCCTTGGCTTTGCCCTTGCCCTTGGATTTGCCCTTGGATTTGAGTTGTCGGACCGTTCCACTGCTCTCGGATTCCGGGACATTGGGGGCGGAAGTTGAACGGGATGAAGAGGGGTCGTCATCGGGGGGCATCATGGACAGGTCCAAGGTGGCTGATATCGGCTGGGGGGCCGTCGAGCTTCCTGCTTCTGGCTGAGTTGGCTCAGCGACAATCAACGCAGTAGCAGTTCCGTTCTGGTTTCGTGCGGATGCGCGCTGAGCCCTCCCGGTTACAGCACTGCGGCAGGGTGGAGCAGAGACAAAGAAGAAAAAAGCGGACATGTCAGCTCATGAGCCTCTCTGTGCAACGTAGAGGACGCACCTTCGCTTCCCGTTCAAATTACGAGCCTCCTCCTGCCCAACGATAGTGCCGTGTCCGATGCCAGAATAAGATGAACCTGGATCCGTAGGGTGGAGATACGAATACACAAGCTTCTTGGGATCGCGTTTCTGGGTCGCTTGTTGCTGGACAGAGAGCAAGGAGGGCGGCCCCGGTAGGATTTCTGTTGCCAGAGTTGAATCGCCTTCGAGGTGAGGCGGCTGGTGAACGGGAACCCCAGGTAGGTTGCGGATATAGGCATCCAAGGGTAAGCTACTGGTGGCTGCCATCTTGGAGAACAAGGCGGTACAAGGAGAGATCAACCTCAGCAAGTATTGTGCCAATGAGCGGGATGAACCAACAGTACGCCAGGTTGCACCTGGATGATTGTCGTCACAAGTCAAGAAGCGATTACAAAACCGAGATTTCTGCAACGCGGCGCTCAATTATTTAACACAAGTCAACTGTATGCTACAGACACGCTATGTAGACCAAGGAAGTGTGGAACACTCTCGGCGGAAGATTAAACGCAAAAAACAAGAACTTTTTCGGATAAACAGGAAAGCAACTTCAACGACTCCGGAAATCTTGCCTCCTTCAAATTGTGGTCAAAGACCGCTCAAACAAAGCGAATGTCATGTTCTACGACATTTCGGGTCAGGAATGAGACACCAAGACACTGAACGAGCGAAGGCTTGGAGGAACTTCACATCGCGCAGAGCCGCCAGGTGGAAGAAGCCGTCATGCCCAAGCCAGAAGATGGGCGAGATTTCGCCGATTGAGAATGATGCGTGTAAGGAGTCATCGAACCGATACCATGAGACTGGCGACTCTTGGCCGGGAGTTAGATGCTGACCAGTTACAGAGCTCAGACTCAGAATCAGCCCCAGAGCCGAGCTGATCTCTGGGAGAGGTTTGAGAACGATCGCAGATGAGTACGACGTATGTCTGATGTTCGAAGTTTGCTCAAGAAAAATTCGTCACTTTCATGACACAAGCAGTGGAAAATTTGAGGATCAAGGCAGAGTATGAGTGTGAGAGCAGTCACTGGCAGGTATTCAGGTTTGAGTTGTTGAATCGAAGTGAGCTAATCAGATGCAAATACTTCATGACCAAATCCCTACGTGTTGCCTTCATCCACCCCGACCTGGGAATCGGTACTCGACCTGAAAGCCGTGTTTTACTCTCACTTATTGTGTATCAGGTGGTGCAGAAAGACTGGTAGTTGACGCTGCAGTTGGCTTGCAGGCGCTTGGACATGATCTTACCATATACACATCCCATCACGACCGCGACCATTGTTTCGAGGAGACGAGAAATGGTGACTCACGTTGCCTCTGGACTTGGGGCGCGCGTATTGACACCTCATTAGGTGACCTTCAAGTCCGTCACGTCGTTTCCCCTTTCCCTCGGTCCTTGAAGGGTAAATTTCACATCGTTTTCGCCCATGCCCGCCAATTGCACTTGACACTCCACCTGCTATGGCCTTGGGCACCCAAATATGATGTCTACTTTGTCGACCAGCTCTCGACGTGTGTTCCCTTTCTACGCGCTTTTGGCCAGACGCCCGTCGTCTTCTACTGCCACTTTCCGGACAAATTACTTGCGAATGGAGAGTTTGTTGAGGGTAATTTCAAGAAGAAAGGTACTGGACTCATGAAAAGAATATACCGTTATCCCATGGACTGGTTGGAAGAAGTCACGACGCGTAAGTGCCAATCGTCGCGTAGTGTCATGCTGATATCCTTATACATGACCAGGTCAAGCGGATATTATCCTCTCCAATTCCAATTTCACTGCGCGCGTGTTCCAAACCTTCTTCCCCACAATTCGCCAAACCCCTCGGACCGTTTACCCCGGCATCAACATCTCAGCATATGAGACTTCGGTGGACGCGTCTCATCCAGACATCGTAGCCGTCAGCAGGTAATCCCGAGCAAAATGATTAAAAACAAGAATCTCAGCAGTGTTTCTAGCTCGAAGCCGACACTACTGTCTCTCAATCGGTTCGAGAAGAAGAAGAACATAGCACTTGCAATCGAGGCCTTTGCGAAGGTGCGACAGCGGAAAGGCATGTCAACGATGCGTCTGGTGCTCGCGGGGGGCTATGATCCACGTGTCGAGGAAAACATACAAACGCTGGTCTCATTGATAGACCTCGCAAGGAGACACTCTCTGACCTTCAACGTCATCACGCCAGCCGCGTCTTCACTCAAGATCCCTCCATTCAACACGAAACCCCAAGATCCAGATGTGCTGTTTCTCCTCAGTTTCTCTATGGAGCAGCGTACCGCGCTCCTCACGGCTGGCTCGACCATGGCATTGCTCTACACGCCGACGAACGAGCACTTTGGGATTGTGCCTGTGGAGGCGATGTGTTGTGGGTTGGCTGTTCTTGCGTGCAACAGCGGTGGCCCGACCGAGAGTATTCTGGCAGCGCCTGCTGAGGAGCGAACTGGTTGGCTCTGTGCACCTGATTCTGACATATGGTCCGAGGCGCTGGAAGATATCTTGGAGATGTCTGAGGAGGACCGTCAAGCACTCAGTCTTCGGGCGAAGCAGCGGGCGCGCGCTGTATTCGGGATGGATGCCATGGCATCAAGCCTAGACCAGGCCCTAGCTGAAGCCGTGGCGATGGGTCCACCCGCAACCATGCTTCGGGTTTGGTCGTTGGTGCTTGTTGGATTTCTGATTGCCTACGTATATTCTGCGTATTTTGCCTCGTATTAAGTGGAACAGAATTGAAGACATTGTCTGTGTTTAACTCGACACTCAGTTTTGTTCGACAGTTTTCACCGCGGTCTCTCTTTCCATCTCCCTTTTTTCCTTCTTCTCGATGTCACATGCCCACAGTGCAGCGCCGACCGTAGATGTGAGCGCAAAAATGGGGCCGATCACAGGCACCAGACCAAGAGCGATCGCAGACGCCCCAAATCCAGTATAGGCACCTTGCCGCTTGACTACAAACGCTTGTCGTGCAGCTGAGTTCATCCCCTTGGCCTGGAAATACCGCGAATGATAAGCGGGCCCGGTCTTGGCACCTGTTTCTCGAATCAGCAGCGCACTGAGCATCAGACGGGTTCCAACAGACCGTTATACAAAACGAACAAGACCGTGCCCACCATTGGGACCAGATTGAGGGGTAGGGATACTACGTAGCGTACCAACCCTTCTCGACTGAATCGAGCCAACGGCTTGCTGACACTCTTGACCACATCCTGCACAAAGCCGCGGTTCTTCGATGCGTCCACATAGACCAGACTGACTCCCTTCGAGCGCAGGACAGCGTTGACTAGCCAGACTCCCGGTCAGACTCGGATGGGTGGTCACATCGGACGAGACGTACACAGCTGGTCCTGAGCTCTATTCAAGTAGAATGTCTTGGACACGAACATGATGACGACATAAGTCTCGCCTGCTGCGCGTCAGTTTCGGGAGACGAAGCCGAAGAATGAGCTGCTACCCAAGACCATCAACGCGGCTGGAATGAAAGCGAGAGGACCCGTGAATATCGCACAGAACGCGAGCTGGGGGAGGTAGGTGAATGTGAACATGCCCACAGTGATCAAGGCAGCGGTGGTGGTGATCTTCCAAACCACAGGAAACATGGCTTGGTACAAAGAGCTATGGGAGAGGCAATAGACGATGCCGTCGAGAGGGTACCACCAGCCGCCGCTAGCAATGACGTCCCAGACTAGGTGAGCGTCGTCCTTCAGAGTCAATACGAGCCGCTGGGCCACGGTCTGGAAGAATGAGTCTGTACGAGCAGGGACGTCGGTATTGGAGTTCATGGTTGAGAGAGTACTACGTAGGAATAGTATGCCATGGATGATGGAAGCGCGTGCAAGACGATCACAATGATGTCACTAAGGACTGTTAATGGACGAAAATAATATTTGGTTCTGGATGCGCTGCTCTAGTACACTATGCATGAGCCTGGATTGGCTGACTTCCTTTTTCTGATGCGACAAAAGACCTGGTGCATTGAGCCATTGTGACAGAGCTGTATTATGGTGTCAAAATAAAATGAGAGTAAAGCAGAGAGACTGAGACGCACGCTCGAGAAATAGGATCTGTCTGATAGAAATTGGCGATTACCCGGCCCAGATTCTGTCCAGTGGGCGCCTTTTTACCGATCGCGCTTAGAGAAGCGATACCGGCTTTGGCGATTTCAGGAGACGTAGTTTCCAGTGTTTCCCAGCGGACCAACGAAGGCGAGATAGCCCACATCCGGTCTCGCACGCCGATCACATCGTCGTAAGGCAGGTCAACACCGACAACCTCGGCAAGGGCCCGCAGAATCTTCCAGTCCTCACGGGCAGCGCCTGGCGGAGGAACTGCTGCTCGGCCGAGCTGGCTACGGCCCTCGGTGTTGATCCACGTCGCACTCTTCTCCGTATATGCGCATCCCGGCAGGCACACGTCAGCGAGTGCAGCACCGCGGTCACCGTGATGACCTTGGTAGACGACGAAAGCATCGGCAGGAATGGACGCAGGATCAACTTCATCGGCGTTCAGCAGATAGATGAACTTAGGCTTGGCAGAGGCTGCAGAGCGAGATGGGACGAAGCCGACTTCATAAGCAGCAGGACGCGAGGCAACCTGGCATAGTATACATTACACAATAGTTCCAGACGGGACAAGTTTACTCACACGTTGGAGAACATTGAACCCATTCCAGTCGTCACGGACCAGTCGTTTACCGGCGGAAGAAATGTGTCGAGCAAGCAGACCGTAGATGGCCTCACCGTCGGCATGCTCAGCGATCGAGCTGCCGACAATGATCATCGGGCGTTCGGCCTTGGTCCAGCGGGTTGCGAATTCACTCTTGGTCTTTCCAGAGAGGAAGGCATCAAGAGCTTTAGCATCTTCACCAAGGTGTTCATGTCCATATGTAGTATCCGCGTCAGCTCCGATCAGGCCCACAACCAATTCACTGTGCAGCCAGCTCTTTCGTATCCGAGAGTTGAGAACAGCAGCTTCATGTCGCGGGTTGGTCCCAACGAGGAGAATAGCATCAGCCTGTTCGACACCTGGAATGGTGCTGTTGAAAGAGTAGTTGGAACGGATGTCGACACCGTGTACAGGGGAGGAATCGCCGGATTTACCGCTGAGGTCGCTGGCGAGGTTGTCCGAGCCGAGGCGATTCATGACGTCCTTGAGGACGACTAATGACTCCGTATCGGCGAAGTGACCGGCAACAGCCTTGATCTCGTTTCCTTGGGCACCTGTGCGCTTCAATCCCTCGGCAATGGCAGCCAAAGCATCAGGCCACGATGCGGCAACGAACCGGTTGTCGGGGCCTTTGACCAAGGGAGTAGTGAGACGCTGGAACCGCAGACCATCATAGGCATAACGAGTCTTGTCGCTGATCCACTCCTCGTTAACGTCATCGTTTGTGCGCGGTTGGATGCGCATGACCTGCACACCTCGCGAGTCAACACGAATGTTGCTCCCGAGGGCATCCATCACATCAATGCTCTCCGTGTTCTTCAGCTCCCACGGGCGGGCGTGGAAAGCATACGGCTTGCTGGTCAGCGCACCAACGGGACAAAGGTCGATAATGTTGCCCGACAGCTCCGAGTTCATCATCTTCTCCACGTACATGCCAATCTGTAGATCATTTCCTCGACCGCTCGTTCCGAGGTCCTCCACGCCGGCAACTTCGTTCGCAAAGCGTACGCAACGTGTGCACTGAATGCAGCGGTTCATCGAGGTCTTGACGATGGGCCCAAGGTCCTTGTTGGAGACGGCGCGCTTGCCAGTGATTTCGTGGAATCGGGTGCGGTCGGAACCGTACCGGACCGACTGGTCTTGGAGATCACATTCACCTCCTTGGTCGCAGATTGGGCAGTCCAAAGGATGGTTTGCAAGCAAGAACTCCATCACACCCTCCCGGGCCGCATGGACAAGCGGGGTGTTCGTGAAGACGACAGCGCCAGGCATCGCGGGGGCCGCACTGCGGCATTGATGAGCGAGGACTTAAGCAGCAAAACAAAGCACACACCAGGAAGCTACAGGTTTCGGCGAGCGCTGAACCTCGACAAGACACATCCTAGATAGATTTGAGAAAAATTTGAGATGGGGTACGGTCCATCGGGACATACCGACAATTGCCAGCTATAGCAAGCCTGAATCGAGTCAGTTAACTGTCAGTCAGGACTGGATAATTTACCTGTCGTGGTAACAAAATCTGGTGGACGGATAAGCAGCGAAAGGGCCGTTGGGAGTAAGGGGCGTACCTGGGTATCGGAGAACCTGCCGCCTCACATGCCTGGATGAGGGCAGAGCCTGTTTGCGCAATTGAAGGACCAAGGCAAAGAGGACTAAGAAAAAACGCACCCTGAGGAACCGTTACCTCTTTGCCATCGACAGTGAGCGTGATGTCGGCCTGACGCGCGGACGTGGAGGCGATAGTTCTTCGGTCTGGTTGAAGATGAAGTGAGCTAGGGCGGTGTATAAAAATGTGGAAGACTGACGCGCAACGGCGAGGAGTGGTGTAGAGGAAGGTCTAGAGACGGAGGAGACGAGTCTGAGCATCGGCGCTGCTCGGGCTGCTGGACGAGCGCTCTGCTAGTGTTTCGTGCTTGTCGCCAGCGGCCAAGTGGTGTGTCTGGACACGTGATGTGAAGGACCAATCATAGCCACGCGATTCCATGATGCTTGCAAATCTCCGAGATCCGGAGGTAAACACAATCCGGACGCGGTACAGATGATATTGATTTATGTAGGAGAGGTATGTGGTAAATAGTAACGTGAACAGATGCTGGATTAAACGAATCGTCTCTAAGAAATATCTTGTCGTTCTGGGTCGTGCTTCATAATCATCACCGACAAAATCCAAGTCATTATTCAAGCAGTAGTTGCAGGCGTAATAGGTGCAGCCCGAGCCGGTTCGGTAGGAGCAGTAGCAGCTGGAGTTGAAGAAGCGGGAGCAGGGGCAGGGGCGGTGACCGGAACTTGAGCTGGACCTGGGGCGGGAGCGGGAGCGGGAGATGGGACTGGAGCTGGAGCTGCAACTGGAATTGGAACTGGAGCTGGAACGGAGGCCGGAACGGGAGCTGTAGCAGGGTCCGCTGGAGCTGGAACGGGCTCTGAGATGGGCTGTGGCTTGATAGTGGATGGGATCAAGGCGACTGGTAGCAGCCAGGTCGCGGTCAGAGCAACACCGAGACCTAGTCCAGCTTATGAGACATCATCCACCGCGACGACCTCTCTCTACGCACCTTGATCATAAGACTTGACTGTACTCCAGATCCAGGCAATAAACGTGCCCACGTAACCGACATACGGTCCAAGCTTCTGAATCAAAAGGAAAATGGGCAGGAGAGGTGCTGGCACGATCGAGGCACTGATATTGGCTAGGAACCACGTCAACGCAGCGGTAATCGTCGCTGCAATCTGGACAGCCTCGGCTTCGTCCGCAGACAGCACCGTCATCACAGGTTCGGGCAGATACCTGTTGCATTAATGGGTAAGTGGGGAAACACAACGAGCTCAGGCTACGCACAGTCGATATCCCCACCATGTGGCTTGGAAAGAGATCTAACAGACGGTCAGACAACCCAAAGCGCGCAGAGAAGAGGGAAACGTACATTGATCGTGGACGGCACAAAAACCTGGACGCGTTTTACCTTCGTTGGGGGTTGCACTTTGACTAAGCCGACCGTGTAATTCCACATAGCATTCATACGGGTTTCCCACAAAGTCTCCTGCTTGTGAACAGGCACTTCAATAATTCTGATATGCGCCAGTTCGACTGTGGATCCTTCCGCGGGATGTAAAGGGGAATATAACATCACATCGCCTGAGATCTCAGCACCACTGTCTGGGTCGACGCCGGCTCCAGGCGCGACCACTTTGGGAGCCTGGAGAGCGTCCAAAGCAGACCAAACGCTCTTCCGTCCTTCTTGAACCGAACCATTCATGAAGACCGGGTCGGAAAGTAGCTGGACTAGCTGAGGGTCTTTGACATGCACCGCGCTGCGAGGGACGACGGGGCAACCCTCTTTGTCCACGGGAGGAGGATCAGACTTGACAGGCGGGGCCTTCGTTCCAGCGGGAAGAGCAATGATGAGAGTACGAATGTGTGCAGCGAGAGAAACAGGCTCGGCAGGGGTGGGCATCTGCATGGCACCGACTACACTTTCGACAAGGAATTCTTCGTCAGCTTCCTCCTGTTGGAGTGCGGTCACTGGCTCGCCAGCTTCCACGGCGGGCTCGGAAGGCGGCGCGACTTCAGCGATTGCATCGAACTGCTTGGGCTTCTTGAGCTTCCCGCCCAGTTTTTTGATGCGCTGGAGCGGGCTCATTCTCGCCTTGGCGGAGAGGGTTGGACTAGCGACGCGCCGAATGGCGACGCCAGGAATTTCGTCGAGTTGTGTGTCGTTGGTGAGAGAGCTCATGGTGGTGAAGAAACAAGCAGGAGATGATACTGTTTCAAATGTGGATACTTGGCGTGTCCTGACAGGGGCTCATTTAGACGCGTCTACCAAATTAGGAAATGATTCATTTGAGGCACCGACGGAACAATAAGCTACACTTTCTACGAGTACTCCATCTTTGCTGCAGCCGAGGTTAGGATCTGGGGAACATACTCACGAGGATTAGCTTACTTTCATGCTTCTTGGCTTCTCCGACTTTTCGCGCAGCTTTCGCCAGGTCCTCTTGGATCATGTAATCCCTGCATTCAAGTGAGGACAAGAGACGTTGAAGAGGAAGAGAGAAACCCACCGATCATCTCGAATTGCGAACATCCCAGCTTCAGTCACGACATTTCTCAAATCTGCGCCGTTGAACGTGTCGGAAAGCTGATGTTGCATAAATGAGTGCATAAAAGTGTCGCACTCCCTGCCGTACCTTGACGATCGCTTCATAATCAATCTCGCCGTTCTTGTTGACGGGTGCAGCGTGGATTTTCAAGATCTCGAGTCGGGCTTGCTCGTTGGGAAGAGGAACTTCGATCTTCTGTCCAACCGGCCTGGACGCAGAAGTGCAGGGTCTAGCGTATCCGGTCGATTGGTGGCCATGATTAGCTTAGTCTTCCCAAGCGAGTCAAATCCATCCATTTGGTTGAGTAACTGGGGATGTTTCAATTCTCTTATAGGCAAATACCATGAAAAGTCGCGCACCTCCATCAGTGTCCGCTGAATTTCACGATCCGCACTGGAGCCTTCTGAGAATCGACGGCCGCCAATCGCATCAATTTCGTCCATGAAAATGACACAAGGCTCATGCTCCCGAGCATATCCAAACATTTCCCGGACAACACGCGCACTCTCGCCAATGTACTTATCGACAATGGCAGAAGATACGACCTTGAGGAAGTTCGTTTGAAGAGTTGCTGCTACTGCACGTGCCAGAAGCGTCTTTCCAGTACCAGGAGGACCGTACAGCAATACACCTTTGGGAGGCTTAATGCCCACGCGAAGAAACAGTTCGGGATTGAGAAGCGGCAATTCGATTATCTGTGACGAGCCGTCAAATTCTGCACGCATTCCTGCAGTAGCGGTATGCAACGCAACGCACCTCCCGTAGCTCTCGCACTTGCTCTCCCAAACCACCGATCCCTGCAAATGTTGCTCCTCCCGGGTCTTCCAAGCTCATTTTATAAACCATAGGATCGACTTCTCGAGGCAGTATACGAACGATGGTCAGTGTTGTCATGTCGAGTGCAACACGAGTGCCGGCCTTCAGTTTGGCCACAGGGAGAGTGGGTCGATAAGATACGACGTAACGCGGTCCAGACGAGGCCTTGACAATGACTGCAGAACTAAGGAGCATGAATGGATTGCTGCACAGCACCCACATCGTTCGTCGTCCAATTGCTTCATGACCTCGCCGATAATTTGACCGATGGATTGCACGGCCTTGATATCTTCCTCAGTTTTGTCGTAGGCTTTCCCCAAGTCTTTGAGTGAGAAGCGCACTGTCCTGAGGTGAGCGTATTAGACTGAAATAAAGATCTGCGCGTACAGTTTTTGAGACTGTCACTGCTATTCTCGTGCGTGCGCATCTTCTGCAAAGGACTGTCAGCTAGGACGAACAGCAGCACAAAACGCGTACGCGCCTCGCGGTATGACTTCAACGCATTCTGTCTCCGCTCGTCCATAGCGCCGGAGGATGTGGAGGCTTGTCCGTCCATGATGAATGTTAGACTCTTAGAGAGATGGACGCGCTTACGCGTCACTGGGCTGATGATGCACAGCCAAACATCGGCGATCTAAATTTTGCCACCTTTCACACACATGTAAAATGTCCTCGACATTAGGAAAACGAAAAGAACGCGACGAAGAGACTCATGGGTCGGTCTGACGCGGAAATCAAGCCCGGAGATGCTGACTGTCTCCAGCTCTACTCTTTTTGTCTCCAACCTTCCCTACTCTGCAACTTCGACCGACTTGCAGACACTTTTCTCCGACATCGCACCAGTCCGCTCTGCATTCGTGGTAACAGAACAAGGGACGGGCGTCTCAAAAGGGGTTGGATATGTTTCGTTTACCTTGAAAGAAGACGCACAAGCAGCGTTCGACACCATATCGAATGACGGTCTCAATATCGCAAGCCGAGCTTTACGAGTCCAATGGGCTGAGTCTAAGGTACGTCTCGATCGTACTCAAATTGCACATCCTCAAGAATCAGGTTCTATAGCCCCGAGAACGCAAAGATCAGATCAAGTCCGACGCTAAACCTCGTCCCAAAGCCCCGAATCCCAAGGCTCAAGTCCCTCGAGATCCTCTGGCCATACGGACGGTCATCGTGTCGGGCCTCCCCACCGGGGTAGACTCCAAGATCCTTTGGAAGAAATTCAGAAAGTCCTCGGGAGCTGAATCCATAGAGTGGCCTGTCAAATCGGAGGAGGGAAAGGAGGACAGCGGCTCTGGTGTGTACCGAGAGGATTGTGTCCTCACCCTAGCCAACTGAATGCATTTTAAAGCAACCATACTCTTCTCGTCGCCTGCTGATGCTCTAAACGCAGTTGCAAAACTACACGCACACGTCTTCAAAGGAAATCTGCTCTCTGCTGCCCTAAAAAAACGAATGGACTCGCTTTCGAAAGCTCCTGCTGTTCCAGGAAAGACTTCTGCTACAAAAGCTCAACCTAGCCACGCGAGCCGGTTGATCGTTCGCAATATCCCCTTCAACGCAACAGAGCAAGATCTGCGGGCCGTTTTCCTTCCGTATGGGCCTGTGTACTCGATTCACATTCCTACAGAAGAGTCCAAGGGGAAGGGTCCCGACACCGACCCGCCCGCTCGGCCGCGCACCAAGGGATATGCTTTTGTATGGATGCTGAGCAAGAAGGATGCCGAAAAGGCTATGGACAAGTGCAACGGAATGACGATTCGCGCTGGATTGGCCGAGGGATTGGTTTCGGACAAGCAGAAGAAGAAGAAGGTGCGGCGCATCGAGTCGAAGATGATGAATGCAGGCAAAGCTGAGGGTCCCGAAAACGACAATGAAGAGGAGGAAGACCATAAACTGGCCATGGAACGCGTCATCGCGGTTGACTGGGTCTTGAGTAAGGACAAGTGGAAGGAGGCCAAGGCACAATTGGAGGCGGAAGCCGAAGATGTTGAGATGGAGGATTTGTCTAGCGACGGCAGCAGCGAAGACGACAGTGAGGATGACAGCGACAGTGAGGACAGCCATGTCGGTGTGCACGCCGGCGATTCGGACGATGGGGACAGCGACGATAGTATCGACGATGAAGACGAAGATGGCGAGAATAAACCGGTGAAGCCACAGCTTCCGCCCCCCGAGGAAGGCACCACATTATTTGTCAGAAATGTGCCTTTTTCTGCGACAGACGACGAGCTGCGCATATTGTGGGTGGTCTTGATGACCTAGCTGAATCCCCTTGTGCTGAGATCTCACCCTAGATTCCGAACGTACGGTCCTCTGCGCTACGCTCGAATAACAGTCGACCCCGAAACAGGTCGCTCTCGTGGAACCGGATTTGCCTGTTTCTGGAATAAAGCCGACGCAGACAAGGTTGTCGAGCAGAGTGATATGTTGCGTGCAGAGACAACTGGGTCCTCCACACTAGCCAAGAAGAATCCTTTTTCCATGCCATCCATCCTGACCGCCGACCCCTCATCGTCTCTTGCGCAGAGCCTTGTGCTGCAAGGACGAACGTTGGATGTTGTTCGTGCTGTAACACGTGATGTCGCTGGGAAGTTGAAGGAGGACGGTGAGAGACAACGCCAAAAAGCAGATAAGCGCAACATGTATCTTCTGCGCGAAGGAGGTCAGTTGGCTCCTTTGTTTCCGTTTCCAGGACTCAGTCTGAACATGTGCAGTCATCCTACCCAATACTCCTGCCGAGGAAACACTATCAGCAGCTGATCTGGAACGTCGAACGACTTCATATAACACTCGGCGTGCTCTGCTCAAATCCAATCCTGCGCTTTTCATCTCCAAAACACGACTGAGCATCCGGCAAATCCCAATATTCGTGACAGAACGTGTCCTGAAGCGGCTGGCCATTCATGCTACCCGGGCTTTCCAGGACGACGTGAAAAGCGGGTCTCGGCAAGCCCTGACCACGGATGAGCTGGCGGAAGACGACACCGAGGCGGAAAACATGCCGAAAGCTGGCAAGCTGTCCAAGAAGGCGCAGCTGAGCATGCGGACGGGAGTGCGGCAGGCGAAGATTGTGCGTCAGACCGACCGCGTCGACCCCGTGACGGGCAAGGGCCGAAGCAGGGGCTACGGCTTCGTCGAGATGAACAAACATACTGATGCGCTACGGGTCTTGAGATGGGCCAACAACAACCCGGCTGCCGGGCCGTTGTTCGAGACATGGTGGGCCGAAGAGCTGCAGGATCTGATCAAGACGGAAAAGGCCAAAGAAGCGAGCGAGCGCGACTCAGGGCGACTGAAGAGATTGGAGGATGACCTGGCCAAGGGCAGCGGCAAGAAAGCCAAGGGAACTCTGATCGTCGAGTTCTCGATCGAGAATGTGACCACAATCCATCGACGCAACACTATACAGAAGGATCGTGCCTCGGTAGGTTGCAGATGCTGATCCGAAAGCAGGTGCTGATTGATATAACAGAAACCTGCGCAAAAGCCGGCACCAGAAGAGCCACCCGCCAAGAAACAGCGAGTGGCGGCGAAGCCGCAGACAGAAAATCCGCCCAAGCTTGGCTCGAGCATGGGGGCACTGATTGGCAGAAAGCGGAAAGAGAGGAAAAGCGGAAAGAAGTAGATTTCGATGTTTGCCAACCGATTGTTATACAGAAATTTGTCTATGCTCCCCCTCCCCGCCCATGCCGACATACCAATCCTTTCCAGCTGTCGTCGCCGATATATATCCTGCGCGGATAGTAAAGTCACCGAAACGCTCTCCGTCCAGCCTTTCCAATGCGTAGCGCTTGATCATGGGCCGTAAGATGGCGAGTATCTCTTGCTCTGTGACCGTTTCTGGCGACGGTGGTTCGTGAAATGCCACTGCCAAAGGATGGAGAGTACATACCTCGGTAGATTTTGTTCATACGCTGGCCGTAGTACCCTCCGCCCAGCAGCATCGAGTACGTCTTTGGAGCTTTGCCGATAAAGGCCACCTCTGGGAGCACGGTGAATAAGAGTGAATGATATAGACAGGGGAGACTTGCCGGCAACGTAAGGGCGCGCACACCCATTGGGACAGCCGGTCATCCGCATCACGATGTCATCGTTGCGCAACCCATTCTCTTCACAGATCGCCTCGACTTTGTCAATGAGAATCGGCAGATACCGCTCAGATTCAGCCATGGCCAGTCCTGTGCAGCATGAGACACGTCACATCGATGGCTTGCACTGTATTCGCGTACCACAAGTTGGGAAAGCCACGCATGCTGACGAAGCCAAACGGAGGCCAGAGTATTCGAGGTTGTCCATCTTGTATTCCGCGAGCAGACGCTTTATTTCTGGGAGATCCTGTGGGCGGATATCCGAGATGCACAGATGCTGGTTCGTCGTCAGACGGAATGTGCCACGATGGATCTTGGCGATCTCCCGCAGCCCGGTCTTGAAGTTGCGTCCCGGCTCGTCTTGGACTCGGCCGTTTTCGATGAACATCATGAAGTGATGGTCCCCGTTCTCGCCCACTGCCCAGCCGTAATCGTCGACGTTACGATCAAAGCTGTATGGCCGGGCCGCCGACAGAGAATACCCAAGCAACAGCTCCACCTCGGCTTTGAACGCATCGAGGCCCATGCGATCCACGGTGTACTTGAGACGTGCGTTCTTGCGGCTAGTAACAAGTCAGACAGAGAAGCGAATGCGCAACTGTGTAGCTCACTCGGCCCGGTTTCCGTTGTCTCGCTGAACGAGCATGATCTTCTCCGCGACAAATTTGCCCTGCTCGACAGTGCAGAAGCCGATTACATCTCCGATGCGAGGATATGTCTTCTTGTTTCCGTGCGTGACACCCATGCCGCCACCAATCGTCACATTGAATCCGCAGAGCTCGCCCTGGGCATCCACAATGGCAATGAAGCCCACATCGTTCGTAAACACATCCGTGTCGTTGGTGGGCGGCACTGCCACAGCGATTTTGAACTGTCTCCCGTTTAGCACAGACGACATGCATCACCGACTGCTCACCTTTCGTGGGAGGTAGAACTCGCCATACAGAGGCTCAACATCCTTGAGTGCCTCACCGGCAACCAGCTTTTTGTCCAGCCATATCTCGTGATATGCGCTCGTCCGGGGAATAAGGTGCTCGCTGACTGCGCGGGCAAACTCGAAGACATCTTGATGCAGCTTGGACATCGTCGGGATGGACGAACACGTGACATTTCTGTAAATGAGTACTGAGCACTTGGCGCACCACGGCCTCCAGTCAGCTCACCTGTTGACATCGCCGCATGCAGCAAGAGTGTCGAGCAAGGCCCGATTGATGTCCTGGATTGCGGGCTTCAGGTGCCGTTTGATCACCCCATGGAACTGGAATGTCTGGCGGGTGGTGATCTTGAAAGTGCCGCAGCCATGCTCGTCAGCAATTTGATCCATCTGAAGCCACTGGTCTGGCTTGCAGACACCCCCAGGCATTCGGACACGAATCATGAAGCTGAACGCCGGTTCGACACCCTGAGCCTGCCGCTCATCCCGGATGTCCCGATCGTCTTGCTGGTAGATGCCGTGGAACTTGGTCAACTGGCCGTCACTGGGTGCCAGAGCCCCCGTGGTCTTGTCCCCCAGTCCCTCGAGGATCGTGCCTCTCAGATAGCGGGAGGCGGCCTTGATATGCTCGTTGGTGATAGGCTCTGGCTCGGCTTCGGTGACCTCGACGGCATCAACGCCGAGCGCCTTCCAGATGAGCGGTTCCCAGATCTTGTAACCGGTCTGAGGGCCATCGGCATCTTGGTCGTCACCAAGGCCCAGCGCGGCGAAACGCGCGGCCCCTAGCTTCTCAAGGCGCGCATCGAGATCCTTTCCAGGCTTGTTGTAGTAATGCGCATCTTCCGCTCGGGGCCAGTAGTGGCTATCCCCCATCGCAAAGACTGAGAACAACACGCCGGAGAGCGACTGCTCTCCGCGAGCAACCGCAGCGTTCAGAGCCTTGAAGAAAGTGCGGGCATTCTGAGGCGGCTCGCCCTGCCCGGCAGTCGAAGTCACGATGGCAACGTACTGCTCCTTGGCCAGGCTTTCCAGCGTAAAGGAGTCCAAGATCGCGAGAGTGGTCGACAAGCCCCGTGACTTGCCTCGATTGGCCAGACGCTTCGCGACCTTCTCAGCCGCACCCCCGTCAGACGCGTACAGCACAAGAAGCGGGGGCGCGTCGAGAGCAGACAGCAGCTCGCTGTAAGACTGCTGCGCCTTCTTCTTCCGTGCCTCCTTCACATTTTCTCCGAGACTGCTCACAAGATCGCTGGCCAGCTGGGGCTTGGACCGGACGAGCTGCGAAAGGTGGTTCTGTCGATCGAGGAATTGCTGGAGGTCGTTCTTGACAGCATCGGAATCGAGCGAGAATGGCTCCGCACCCGCCACCTCTTTGCTCGGGTCCCACCGGTAGAGCGGCCAGTAGCCGGTGTCGACTGCGACCTTGGTCTCTTTGAGCACATCCAGTGCAGAGGCTCCCTCGTCCGAGTAAGGAAGATAGGCCAACACCACACTCGGCCCGGGGAACCGGTCCGCCTCAATCAAAGACTGCAACACCTGCGAGTAGGACGAGTACACGGCCACGCTGGCGACATAGACGTCGCCGTGATTCATCGCATAAAGGCCCACGTCGTGCTTGCGGCGGGCCGGATCAGCCGAGTTCCGCGCTGAATACGGAAGTGTGTCGAGGACGAGGACGTTCACATTCAATCCCGATGCAATAGCATGATGCAGCCCAGACGCGCCGAGATCATATGACCAAGCATCGGAACCGATGATCCAACGCGACACCGACGCAAAATGGGTACGGAGCGAAAGAATTTGTGCAGCCGCAGGATGGATAATGGGGCTGTTTTCGAGGGCCTGGACGATGCCATCACCCAGCTTGCGGCTCTTTGAGGGGTCATCCTTGCACAAAATCCATTGCGCAAGTAGATTGTGCACGTCCGCGTCTAGTCCTTTGACTTGCATGAGACTCTTAACCGCTCCAATAAGCTCGCCCCGCTGTTCCAACTGTCCTCTGACACGTCCAAGAGCGAATTCAGGGCTCGTTGCGATCTCACCCTGGGAGGGAACGAGCGAAGGCGAGTTGGAAATCTCCAATCGTTCATCAAAGACATGTCCGAGGATTTTGGTGTAGGAAAGCTCATGGCTTGGCACGTGAGGGACGACCGTCCCCAGTGCCGGCGAAGCCGGACTGGGACCGAGCTGCAGCCGAGTCCCCGTCGCGGGAGGTGTCTCCAAGAACTTGACGACGTCCGCTTCTGACACAGCTGAAGCATCTCCGAAAACGCCTGATTCTATCACAGGACGTTGTTCCCGCTCTTGCAAAGCCGTAAGGATGTCCAGGTAGAGAGGGGTCCATTTCATCGACCAACGATGGATCTGCTCGAGCACTATGACGCGGGTGACCGACTCCGGGATGGCACCGAGGAGACGTCCTGCAGGCAAGGGATTGAGCAATGCGATAGTGACGAAAGACACACCCTCGACGGTCGCTTTCAAGTCCGTCAAGCCCAACAAAAAGACCACTGTATGCGGATCCGACGCCCCCCGTGTAAGTAATGGCTTCAGGGGTCTGCGCACGAGTGAAAGTGTTGACAGGGCAGCGCTTTCATACGCCTTGAATAGCGGTTGCACGGATTCCAGTTCATGATTGGCGTTGGCTCCGTTCACAGCACTCGCTGGGGGCGATGGGCTGACAAGAAACGCAGAAATCTTGTCCTCCGCGGCTTCTTCGATTTCGGACCGATCCGTCGAATCATAGACGTGAACCACCAGTTTGTGCTCCGTTCGCGCAAGGCGGGATGCGAGGAGGGCGTTGTCGTGCGCTTGCTGCGCAGACGAGGAAATGATGAAGTAGGGAACAGCGGGCCGGATGAGAAGTGCGTCAGACAAGTCGGCATTTGCGCACAGATGGATTACGACAGGCAAGCCCGCGATTTCTGCGAGATGCGGCACCAGATGCGATACGATCTTGGGCGTCGCAGGTGCACTCAGAGACACGAGCCGTGCGTTAGCTGCGTGCCGGATGAGCGCGGCGCTCGGGTCTGCACCAACAGGCAAGGGAACAACCGTTGGTGGATCAGATTTACGCAGACCGACGAAAGTCGGTCCTTGGAAGGTCAACAAGACGTCTGAGGAGAGATATGCAATGCGAGCAACTGACGACATGTCGGGCAGGAAGCAAGGCCTGAGCCTGGCTCATACTTATTTGAAAATTTGCGTGATCAAGCACACCATACTTGCTACTTATTTTGTGTGCATCATCTGTATGGGGTATGTTTGTGGGCCAGGATCCAGCGTTCCCCGTGCACTCCCGTCTCAGTTTTATGTCCCAGACTATCTTGGAATGGCTCCAAGTACTCTTGCTGATAAGTTTATAGACAAGACGAGACAGCGTAGTGTAGACCTGCAGAATTTGCTGTTATAAGACTCACATACTTACTACCTCGGCCGGTCTCGATGTTTATCACATCACATTACTGGTCGGACACTGGCATGTCAGCAGCACGGAAGAATGCGGATACGGGAGGAGGCGGATGAATACGGAGGCGGATCTAGATCGTGGAAGAGATGGAAAGAGACCTTTCCCGATGAGTGCTTGCTGCGATCGCAACAAGTCGGGACGATAACAATCTGGAAATTGGGCGCGCGAACTTATGATGGAGAACCTTTCGGTAGAAGCAAGCACACTCTGCAGATGAACATAGATAGACCGTACATCGAGCACGAAACTTGCAGCTGATATTCTAGTAGGCAAAGGGAATCTGCTTATGCAATAAGATTGAAAGCCTGCCTGAAAAGGGCCTCTCCGCATTCTGAATGGGATCTCTAGGCATGCCATGCACCAGGTGGACGAGTACCAAGTGAAACGAGAGCGAAAACTCAAGGCCAGCTCACTGACTCGCCGCGAATGACAGTATATCCGTTACCTCGTAACGTGGCGGATGAACCGATCCACCACCACCATCAGACCGCCTAGAGCTGACTGTTCTTCCTCACAACCTTGTCACTGATGCTCACTGCACAATTCAAGGTAAGCAGTGTTTTTACAGATTTGAAGGATAAGGAACACGGCGTAACCCTTAGGCATCGGGGGTCTCTCCGCCCACTCTCGATGCCATGGCGGCCTGGCCAGCTGCTGTTGCCGCTAAACGCGACCTCTTCCGTTCCGCCTCTGTGTCTGATGAGCTGCCTGAGCCAGAACGGGATCTCAAGGGTACCAACCTGCTTCCTTCTCTCTCTCTATCTCAGCGACGATCGTTTCAATTTGTGCAAGATCAAGATTCTGAAGCCAGGATTTTGAGAGGAATGAATGAATGGACTGTCAAATCATACGGACCGTGACTTTTCCATAACTCTCCATGACGGCAATTTCGATATTCTTTGCACCAGTTTGAACCACCTCGAGCAGAGATTTGATGGTCAACTTGATAGTCTCCTCCCGGCTCAGATCGTCCTTATGGTTCTTCTCCAGAAATTCGCGCACGGTTTTCGAGGATCGACCAATAGCGTTAGCCTGACAGGCAGCTTGAGCCAATGATTCGTCGTCTTTGATACGACAAACCTTCCAAGCACTATAGATGCCACTGGGCTCCGTCTGATACAAACGCGGTCTTGTGTCGTTAGGGTCAAAGCCGACAATGAGGGTGGAGATTCCGAACGGCCGGACACCGCCTGATTGTGTGTATCTCTATTCTTCTGTATTAGTCGGGAAGCATATCGAGCGAACTCGCTCCCACCTGCTTGATTCCAGCGATATGCTTGGTGATATATTCCACGGTGACCGGATCTTCGACAGTCAAACGGTGGCTCTGGCATTCTATGCGCGCTTTGTCGATCAGGACACGCCCATCAGCAGTGAGTCCTGAGTAAGAACATTGAGCCCAAGAGAGAGACCGGGAAGAAGATCCGCACCAGCGAAAGCAAGACAGATATGATCATCCAACATGACTACTTTCCGTACTGTTCGAGGATCTTGAAGCTGCAGTACAGACTTCTTCTCCACACCCAGAACAACGACATCCGCTCCGCGCACACCGACCTGAGAGAATTCACACCAAATTCGGTGCATCGATGATACAACGCACAGCACATGTACCTTTCCGAACTGCTTCACCCGCGTATTCGACCTGCAACGCCCCAAACGCGCGGTCAGCGAGGTTCTGCTGGCGTCAGATAGAGTGCAGACCTGGAAAAGATGGCCATCGGGAGAGAAGACAGTGAGAGCTGGTCATAATGAGCCCATGCATTCACTTATTAGAACGTGTGTGTAGTTACCGCGATCGTAGGACCGGGACATTCTGTTGGTGAGTGAAGTAGAGCAGGATTATGAGCTTGATTGCGACGCGCGTCAAGTCACGTAGCTGTCACCGCCAACCGTGTCACAGACGAAGGCTGTGCACCCACATCTGGAGTCGAGAGGGTCTGCGTGCCCATGCTAACGATCTACAAGGCCACTCCAGTCGCGCTGCCAGGCTGATTTCGATGCTTCAGCTTCTGTGACAAATGGTACAGGCTCGAGCTTTTGAACTATTATCTAGTGCTTTTTCCAATAAGGGTCCTAGTATCTAACCGTTACTAGATGCACGTCGAGGCAGACTGATTAGAACATTACGAGTACATTATCAATAGTAATACGTGAGCGATTGACATTAGCGTATTTCGAGACGCTCGTGCTCGGCGAGATTCGTCATGATCATTTCTCCGCTTCCAGTCGGAAAGTGATTATGTTGCTGTGCTGACCCATCACATCACCGTCCCTCTCCATTTCCCGTCATGGGCCTTTTCAACCGCAAGACAAATCGAGGGGATGAGAGCGACGAGACCACTGAGGTGAAGAAGGAGAAGGGTGGCTGGAGACGCCCAGCGAGTGCGCGTCCCGCAACAGCCCTCCTCTATCCGTTCTTACATCGTCTCCAGACACCGCTTTCAAACAGCAACGACTGAAGGCATGGCAGCTCATTCTGACCCCGAAGACCGTTCTACCTACCCTTTTCATCATCGCCATCGTCTTCGCACCTATTGGTGGTCTTCTCATATGGGGCTCCTCCATGGTCTCAGAAATTGTCCTCGACTATACCCAATGTGAAAACCTCACCCCCTCCTCGGCGAATGGCTCCCTTTCCTTTTCTACCATGCCCTCTAGTCAATACTCTTACAAGCTCCGGGCGGCGGATGCGGGGAAGAACATTGTTCCCCCGACTTATGCTTTCTTGGACAACACCAACAACGCATCGGTGACGGATCCGCTGGACAAGAAACAGTGCATTATACAATTCAACATTCCCGCCGACATCGATCCCAGTGTGTTTTTTATTACAAGCTCACGAACTTCTATCAAAACCACCGGCGCTACGTAAAGAGTCTGAACTCGGACCAACTCAAGGGCAAGTTCGAGAGCAACAGTACTCTGTCAGGCGGTGATTGCAAGCCATTGGATCTCCTTAATGGGAAAGCTATATATCCTTGCGGGCTGATCGCCAACTCCATCTTTAATGGTGCGTTTGATGACGAAGTTGAATACCTCCCACCTAACCCGCAATCCAGACACCTTCACGAGCCCGGTTCTTCAGAATCCTGGATCGAATGTGTCCTCGACAACCTATGAGTTTTCTGCTAAAGGCATCGCATGGCCTGGTGAAGCCCAAAAGTACACTAGCAACCCTGTTGGGCCGGGCGGATACAATTCTTACGATGACATCGTTCCTCCTCCTAACTGGCAACTTCGCTATCCCACGTACAACGCATCAAACATGCCTGACTTGAAGAACGACGAGCGTTTCCAGAACTGGATGCGCACTGCTGGTCTCCCGACGTTCACGAAATTGTATGGTCGTAATGACAACGACAAAATGACGGTGGGCACATATCAGATCATCGTGGGCCTCAGTGAGTCTTCTTCTCCCTGCTAGAGCCAGCGAACCGAGATTCTATAGACTTCCCTGTTCTTCCGTACAAGGGCACTAAGTCTATCGTCATCTCGACTGTGTCATGGATCGGGGGAAGAATGCGTTCTTGGGTTGGGCGTATGTGGGTGCTGCCGCCGTGTTCATTCTGCTAGCCATCGCCGGAACTGCTCGCCATCTCATCAAGCCACGGTAAGACGAAACAAAGCTACTGTGGTCCTGCCTTTCTAAATCCATGTTATAGACGACTTGGTGATATGTCACTGCTCTCCTGGAACCGATGATGCCTGGATGCCCTAGATCACGACTGACCCGTAATAACATGTATCACCGACTGGACTGCCATCTAATACTATTTATTGTATCGCAAGCGCTTGTGGTGAAGTGTACCCGATTCCTTGGCAGCTAATGATACTGTTCGTTCCCTGCTGAGTGACATTGAATCTCGCCCCAGTCAGTTGTTCTGCGACCCAAATCGCAGTCCTACAAAGAGAGCATCAGTTTTCATCTTGAGACGACAGAGGCCGACCTAGTGTGTAGCGTCAATTCGCCGCAACGGACTTTCGACTCTCCATCAGCGAGCGCCATGAGAATTATGATCTGGTCTTGTAGCCATTCATCGACACAGGCTGCGGAGTCGAGGCCCCTTAGAAGCTCTTCTGTCGCTTCTTTCGCGACGTCTTCCGGTCCTTTCTGCTTGGATCCAACACAGCTTCCACCAATAATGCCGCCTCCATCTAATTCGGCCCAGAGAACCAGTCCGCTGCCTGCTCCCACGGTGTTTTCGTTCTTTTCACGTCTGCTGACAACCTCGACGGGTACTGGAGTGGACGCGCCCTGCGAAAATCCTCGGGCGGCTAAGCAGGCCACGGCCGCATCGGCGATGCGCGTCCCGATTTGCCCTGGGAGTCCCGCAAAGTGCGCGATGCCTCCGATTCGGGTGACGGATCCTCGCTCCAGGACACTTGCGCTTGTAAGCTCATGTGCGGAGTGATTTTCACATCGATTTGTCCTCCTCCCCTGCAGAGGAGTATAAGTTCGCGCCCCTCTGAGAGGACTCACGCCACTTACTTGGGAAAGTACCCGCGACGGCGGATGTCCAGATCGGCGTTCAAGCCAAAGTGACGTCGGGCAAAGGGGAGGAATACGTGTTGGATGTAATCCGCCTGGGGTGCACCAGTAGCGTTCGTTCCACCTTTCAAAGTCAGCGTCGAGGCCTCCGGGGCGAAGAGCAGCAAGGGCAACGAGATCTGGAGGAGCAGAGTGGCTGCTCCTGCAGTGATGGGATCCTGCGAAACGTCAGAACTCTGAGGATAGAGCAGGTTAGTTAGCAAACGAACGGCAGCATATTGCCCGGCTGCGATGTGTTTGGGAACAAAGTCGACTTGCGAAGACCCATTTTTTGCGCCTGTCACGTCAGCAGACGCAATCTCAGCTGCAAGTAATATTCCTGAGTACACTCGTTCAGCGATGCTACAAAACATCTCCTGGAGAAGATGTGCACCTGTGCGGTGCTGGTTCTTGAGGCCGGGCGGTCTTCTACCATTGCGAACCTTTTGGATGGTGATAGGTTTTCGCAGAAGAGCAGACAGAGATATCGAGTTCCTTAGGATCTGGCCTGGAATTTGATCAGGACTTCGACTGGAGCAACAACCCTGACGGTGAGCCGTACCACCACCCTCGAGCACACTCCCGTCAATGATCAGATTCGCCATGGGCGCAGACTGGGTGGATCTGAGAGTCTTATGTTCAGAGCCCTGGAGCTATAGTTTAAGGCGGCAAATGACTCGATTCCAGTCGAATGAGCGCCGCGGTCATACTTAGTTGAACTTTTGATTCCAAGGAGTCAATGGATGATCGGCGATTATTGCCGAAGTAATCCATCCGGCCAAATATGGAGGACAGCCACCATCAACCTGTTGACAGGTCACTGCCGTCATCGCTAATGTTGGGACTTGGAAGCCACGGTGGAGCTGTTGTTCGAGCTGAGAAAAGCTTGGCTCTCGACCATGTCCACCGCTGGCCCGCGTCTCATCTCTCATGATTCAGATGTCAGCACCAGGGAATCTCCTGGACAATCAAGCAGCCAAACCAACCTGGGCAGATCGGCTACGGCTCTCAGGCGGAGAAGACCTGCAGGCATTGGCTCAGAACCTGGCACCAATCCTCGTGGAGACGAATCCGAAGAATTCAGTCAAAAATGTGCAATACAAGTCACGGACTACTCTCCTGAGCACGTTGAAGTCACTACCATGTCCAACCTGGAGTTTGTCGATCTAATGAAGCAACCGGAAGCCAAGCCCGACTCGCGCCCGCCTTCTTTGAGATGGATCAATATCGGTGGCATAAGCTGGGATGTCATTAGTGCCATGGCTCTCAAATATGGCGCGTGACTTACTTCAAGTTTCTGTCGCTACTGGCTCACTCGAACTGTAGACTTGCATGCCCTAGCGCTCGAGGATATACTGCACGAGCAAGGTCACAATCAATCCAAGAGTGATTATTACCGACAGCATCTCTTTCTTCGTGTTGTTTGCCATACATTGGGCCGGGAAGGCGACATCCAGCCGGATGCGCAACCAACCTCGGAATATGCGAGAAATTCTCGTCTCAACGATGCTGAACGCACAGCTGGAATATACAAAATAAGCGCAGGTTCACCCGCTTGTCCAGTCTCAGTGGCTTCCATCTTTCGGTCAGACGCATGCTTCTCATGTGACAACACAACAGCACTTACTACTTGCAGCCTCGACAACAACAGATTCTCAAGATAGCTTCACTGAAGAAAGGCGATCGAGTGGTTGTCCATCACGAGCCCATGTTCATATTTCTTCTTCGGGAAGGTGAGGCAGCTCATGCTAGATAACAACGGAGCTCATGTCGTCTCAAGGAACTGTGATCTCCATCCGGCCAAGTCCTAGCCTCGAGTTCACAGAGGCTGTGACGGAACGGATCCAGCGGCAGGACTCTGGGATGCGCACGTCGGCTGATCCGGCCCTAGTGGTCCAGGCGCTACTCGATCTGAGTTGGTTTTCTCTGCACCTTTTCCATTCAGTCTCAAATTAGGATGATGCAGTCGTCGATCGCATCTTGCAGGTGATGGACGAATATCAAGATAAGATCCACGAGCTTGAACGCCAAATCCTGATGAAGCCGGGAATGTCCTCAGTCAGGAGCTGTGAGTCGGCTCGTTCATTGCACGATCAAATTTAAACCGGAAATTAGTGCACATCCTTTCCGGGGACTTGATTTTACACAAACGTACGCTGGAGCCAATCCGGTCTATGATATATGGCCTCCGACAGTACGACCAGGACCGGTGTGCTGCACTAGGACTGGGTGCCGATATGCCTGCGAATGCGCATCACCGTAGCTCCGAAAATCGTGAACGAGATTCAGCACTGGTCGCCGTCTCTCACAATACTGTCACACAGGGTTACATGAGTTATAAAGCCAAGATTTATCTGGTCAGTCGTATGTTTGGGCCGGGAAGCATGCCTAAAACAGGGATTCAGGCCGATGTTTATGACCATATGGACTTTGTGCTCACAAGTCTCGACATGTTTGCCGGAATTTCCGAAAATCTAATCAACTATGCATTCAATGTGTGTTCGTCGTCTGGGCTGTGAATTTGAGCTGATCTTTCTCGGAGATGGCCTCGTACGAAATGAACCAAGTGATGCGCCGTCTCACTCTGGCGACGATCATCTTCCTGCCGCTCACCCTCCTCACGGGCTACTTCGTTCGTGCTCTGGTCACTTTTGATGACGCGCCGCCTCACATCCGCTGCAGGGGATGAACTTCACGCAAATGTGGTCAATAAACAACAACAGCGATGTCTTGTAAGCTCCTCTGTTCGAACGCGATCAGACTCTCATGGCCTGTACCAGCTTCTGGATTATTGCGCTGCCTGTGATGGGAGTGATCGTGCCGATGTTCTTATACCCGGACATTAAACAGCTCGTCCATTATGTCCAGAAACTGATGGCTGCGCGTCGGGTCGTATTGATGGAGGAGCGAGCAGCGCGAAGTCGTAGCGTAGTTTACGATCAATCACTGTCGGGTTAGGGTCAGATCACGTCGCCTGCGCATGATTTCTTGAGACTGTCATGGCCGAACGCAAGGAAATCGATGCTTTCTTCAGTTTCCTCGCCACCTTCGACCTTGTTCGCCCAGTATCGACTCTGGAAGACCTGAGCGATGGTGCAGCTCTGTTCGAAGTACTCACCCTCGTGTGCGCCAATCCTGCTCCGCTGCAACGTCGTTTGTGCTGCTGATACCACGCGTCTTCCAGCGATGCGGATTACTTCCGCCAGTCTACGCGGCCCTCGGCCCTTCCGTCCGACAACTGGGTCCTTCGATTCAGCTCCCTCAAACGATTATATCGTCTCATGACACAGTACCTCACCGAGGTTCTGCAGAAGCCTACCAGCGGACTTGATGTTCCGGACCTCCAAGCCGTGGCTAAAGACCACTCCCCAACTCACATTCTCGCCATGTGCCGCCTGACGCTGGCCATTGGTGTTCAATGCGAGCAGAACAAGCAGTTCATAGACAAGATTCAGGGCCTGACCGAAAGCGACCAGCATTATCTCATGAAGGCGATCGAGCAAGTACGTCAAACTCGGACCTGACACTCACATCTACTTAATCTGCCATAGGTTATGGCGCGGATCAGCACTTCTGGAGATAGTGGGGAGGCAAGTATCACAGAGTGCGTCCCATGTCAATCACCGCTTCCGATGCTCAATCTCATCCTAGAGACGATCATTACTACCAACTGCAATCTGAGCGAAGCAATATCCTATTGGAGAAGGAAACACTAGAAAAGGTGTACCAGAATCTGTTAGAGGAGCACCGAACGTTACAGACAAGCTACGACGACATGGCATCCGAAAAAGAGGACGCGTTGGCGCAGCTGAAGAACGTTCGTAGCGAAGCCGACTCGAGGAGAAACGACAAGGGAGATGGCATGTTGCGTGGTGAGATCGATCGACTTCGTTCGGAGCTGTGCGTGATCTGAGGCTCCTCTAAACCGTCATTCCTAACGAAATGCAGGCAGAAAAGCGAGGACAATCTTGCGACTGCGGAAACTGAGCTGGATAAGCAAGCCCATATTGTTACCGACCTCACAAAGCAGAACGAGGATTTGTTGGCTCGAGCGGAAGAAGCCGGACGACTGAAAGACCAGGTCGACGAGTAAATTAGCTTCCTTGCCCTCTCAACGTCTGCTGAATCTTATTAAGGTACCGGCACACAGCAGACAGGCTCCAGAAGCAGGAGAATGTTATGGAAAAGTATAAGAAGAAATTGCAAGAGAGTGCAGAATTGCGGCAAAACGTTAAGGTCTGCTGCTTTTCATCCAGTAACCTTTCCGCCGCAGGCTGACACTCTAATTCAGGCTCTCACCAAGCAAAACTCAGACTTGGTAGACAAGAATGCTGCACTGGAGGAAGAGTACCGGAAGGTCGCAGCCTTCAAGCCCTTGATGGAGTCGTACAAAAGCCAAATTTCGGAAATGGAGTCAAAGCACTCAGCTCGAGCTCAGGAGCTAGATACCGTTCGATTTGAATTGAGCGAAGTCAAAAACAAACTCAAAATCGAGACGAGCGAACGGGCCCGGGATGCGGAGACCCTTGAACTCTACCAGGAACGAGTACGCGAATTGGAGCTGAGTTCGCAGCGCCCGGTCAGCAAACGCAAGCCAGAAGCTAGCGGTGCAGACGAGTACATCGAACCCGAATCACTGGGCGAATCTCTCGGACAGACGGAAATCGATGAGGATGAATCTGTACAAGGACTTGGCGGGGAACTGGACGATGCCATCGCGGGGACGACCATGACAGATCTGAAGCTGCAGATTCGGAAACTCAAGCGGGAGCTCGAAACCACGCGGCAGAGCGAGGCTGACGCGAGTCGCATCCTTGTCTTGGAGAATCTCCTGGAAGATGCCAATCGCATGAAGACAAGATACGAGGGCGACTATCTCGCTGCACACCGTGAAAAGCTTGTGCTCCAGCGTGACCTCGACGAGATTCGCAGCGGAAAATCGATGGGCGATGGGTACGTTGTGTTTCAGCCTGTCACGCGAGAATGGCGTTCACACTCAGTAGTGCCGAGGCTGCCATCGCCTTGCGGCAGAGGCTGAATGAAGCTGTCGATGAACTGGACACTCTTCGAAAAGACCACACGGAGCTGCAAGTTCAATTCGACACCCAAAGCCGAGAGTTGACCATCTGCAAATCCGACTGTGAGTCGCGCAGTGTTTACGATTCAGTTTCAACTGACTGGTTGTTAGTGACCTTGGTGAACAAGGATCAGTTGGATATTCTCAACACGCTTCGGGACTCTGTCAATGAGGACAAGGCCACCTTGGAGTCACATGTCGAACGACTGAAGCAGCAGAATAAGGAGCTCAGCGAAAAGAATAGGATGCAGCTCGAGCAGGTCAATGGTCTGCTTTTGGAGAAAGTCAATCTCCAGAGCGAGGGCATCGGCCACCGCGAGAAGGCCCTGCAGCGAGAGCGGGACTTTGGGTATATTCTTTCGCTTGTTCCGTTCCATGGCACCACCTCATCGTTTATCCAGCGACCTGCGGGCTACACTGTCTGGAAAGGACCTCCCCGAAGACATCAAGACCCGGCTGCTGGCTCTGCACGAGGAGAACGTAAACCTGAAGGAGTCGAACAAGACTGCGCAGGCTCAACTAGTGAAAGCGCGCACGTTCATCAAGGAGCAAGATAAACTGTTCAAAGAGCAACATGCGACGCAGGCACTTTCTGCGGCGCCAGGCACATTCGAAGAAGCCGAAACGAGTTTCCGTTCGCAGATACGGATCCTCGAGGAGGATCTGACGCGCCAGAAACGGCTGATGAGCGACTCTGTCAAGAGATACAGGCGCGAGCAGGAGCTGATGCTGGGCGTGGTCCACGCGATGGGCATGAAGACCGCGCGCAATCAGTTGGCCGCCCCGCACCCAACGAGCTGGGCAGCTTCGCAACGCAGGATGGTGCGTGATTTTCGCGGGCTCTTTGTCGCGTTGCAAACATACATTGACTGACCTGGGCTTTTTCAGCTGAGCCCTACCCTTTCTCGGTGATACATACACTATATCCTAGATTACATCGCATTCGTCTTATACCTGGAGTCCTCACCATTTGTGCATTATGTAGCAAGCATGTATCATCTTCGTAACCTTCAGAACGACATGGGGTTGTCCACCCGCCACACTGGGGGGTTGGCGCCCGTCGGCGCAACCTGGCCTTCCGACTCCACAGGCTCCGAGGACGCTCGGATGTTGGCTGGCTTGACCCCGAGTGTGGAGCAGAGGGCACGATATCGCGACTGTATCTGCCGGGAGAGTCTGAGAATGTCGAGCTCCGATGACGGATCGGCAGCAGACGGATTCACGCGTGGGAACTGGCTGATGAGTTCGAGGAGATGCTGGATGTGGCGGACCGCGCGGCTGGCTGGAGTTGAGGGTCAGGTCCCTCACGAGACACATCCGATACGCACTCGTCGCCCCGATCCAGCGTCCGATAGATCGAGAGCCATGTGCGGGCAAAGCCATCGTAGAACGCGAGCTCCTCCCACATCTCAAATCCCTTTTCACGTCCGAGAGCGCGTCCCTCGATGAGGCCGTGGATGCGGCCGTGTGCGTGGCCATCTTCGTAGCCTGAATCATAGAAGCTGATATGGTAGCTCGGCAACCTAGCATGGCACGGAAAAGGTCTAGCGAACAGACGTTTGCTCCAGGTCTACAAGTGCCTCCAAGTCAAAATCTTCGGCCATGGGAGATAAGATAAAAAAGGGAGGTATTGCACAGCCTCCGTTCGATGATTGAGGAAAGGTCATAGAGTACTCAGTGTCTACTCAGTCGTCGTCGTCGTAGCTATAGTCAGAGTCTGAATCATAGTCTCCGTAGTCCTCGTATTCATTATCCACATATCCCTCCCCGTCATTCCCTAAATATTCTTCGAAATCGTAACCCTCACTGTCGTCTGACAGACTGCGATGGTCCGAATACGAATCGGAGTCAGACCCAGCGTCCGAAGGCTCGATGATATATGCCGCTTCAGGGACTGCAAAGGCACTAGGCGCAGACCGTTCGAGTTGCGACCAGTGGCTGTCCCCATCGCTGTCGAACACACCGGGGCCGTATCCCGAGCGATGGGAATATCCATAACGATCACTGGAATGGTGGGACGAGGCCCGACGTTGCGCAATTGTCGATGGCGGCGAGTAGTGGCTCCGCGTATGCGTCGATGACGACGGATACAAGTCTGGCGAGGAGTCCGGCCCGCGTCGCGTCGAGAAGGAACTGCTGCCGTCGTGCTGCTGCGGCTGGACGGCCCACGAGCGATGAGAGGCTGGCGAATGCGGCGATGCTTGCGGGTGCGCGCGACCGTGGCCAGAGTCTCGACTATGCACCGAAGGCGTGTGCGAGCTTGATCGGCGGCTCGAGATTTCCTCGATGTACGCGCCACTGTATTCGCGGTCCGAAGCGTCGCCCGAGGCATGTGTATCGTAAGGGTAGGAGTATGTGCGCCAGGCCTGGCCGGGAGCACGCGCTAGTCGCGAGGCATACTGAGCGGGAGGTGCGTAGGGAGAGCGCGAGTTGAGCGGCGTATCAGGAAGTGGACGCGAGCCCAGATTGAGGTTTGCATAGCCGCTGGTCGGTACGTTGCCAGCACGTCCTGCACTGGAGGTCCTACTAGTCTCGCGCCGGGCGGCAGGCGCGTAATTCGAATTGGGATAGTAGCCAGAGCCGGAAACTCTGTCGCTGTGGTCGAACACTGCTTGCAGATTGCGTCGGTCCTCGGCCCAAGGCTCCCCATACTTGTAGCCATGAGAAAGCAGGTCGCGGAAGGAGAGTCTGCGATGCACGGCCGCGTCGGTATGATGAGGCTTGAGTGTTCAAGACGGATTGCTCTGATGCATACCTTTGGCCGGACATGTAAGATAGAATGCGTATATCAGCAAAAACTCAGCCCAAGAAGCTGGAGGTAGGAAGGTATTGCCAAGTGGTGGTATCAGGTCGTACATGCGGATGCAGCAAGAGACAGCAAAACTCATCGGATCATTCGGCCGACACAAATACAAGCACTGTAAGGCAATCTACTTACAACCCAGCTATATTGCCAGCCACGGCCTCGACCTTGCCCTTCAGCCTTAGGGCCTCTCTGACAACGAGATCGTTCTCATCCTCGCCACACTCGAGGATGAAGGTGGCGGTCTCGGACGCGAAGGGCAGCAGCTTCCCCCCATGCACATCCCAGACTTGGCTTGCCGCCGCCAGCGCGAAGACCCTGACACGGAAGTCGTCGGAGCGAGTGTGCATGAGCAAGTCCAGATTGAGAGACTTGAGCAACGCGTCGTCGGTGATGCTGTCCGCCGAGGCAACGAGCGACTCGGTGAGCAGGGCTTTGGCCTCGGCCGTTGTGCAGGTCGGCAGTTGGCGGACGAGGACCGGGGTGGTCAGCCTCAGCTTATCGTCACGCCAGAAAGCTGAAGAAAGATGAAAGAAGCGCATAGAATCGAAGAAAGGCACGCACAGCCGTCGTCTGAGTTCAGACTCTTCACCATCACATCGAGGACCGCCTTCCACAGCTCAGGATCCGCTCCGGCTTCCAGAGTGTCCACGAACGGTTGGACGAGCAGCGCCATATATGGGTTCATCAGCCCCTTGAAGTAGTCCAGCAACGCAGAGTACACGCTGCAGAATGTGATCTTGCGAGCGACATTCTCGCCCTCGACAAACGCCCAATCGTACATCTTGCGGAACAGCGGGCGGAAAGAGGCCTCGTTGAGTTTGACCACAAGCTCGATGAACGCCTCCGTGACCTCTGTTTCTGCGTCGCTCTGGTGCTTGGAGATAGAAAACGCGTCGAGGAAGGTCTTGAACAGACCCCGCACATTGTCCTGCACGGCCGGCCGCAAGCCACCGCGCAGACATCTCTTGAGGAGGTCAAAGTACCCGACCAGAGACTGCGGAGAGTCTTTTACTCTAGCCCACATGCTCTCCAAGGCACTGATGAGCACAGCCGTCGGGGCGCGTTTCGCCAGTGCCTTCATGAGCGGCGCTAACGCAGCTGACGGGGAGTCAACGTACAACTGTGCGACCTGCGTGAGCTCGGACACGCCCCAGAAGGAGGGTATCGAGGTCAATAGACCGTGCAATACGGCAAGAGCCTCGGGGACCACCGCCTCGTGCAGCAGCGCCGTGCATTGGAACACGACCTCGCGGAAGAAAGGGATGATCCGGGGACCCAACTTCGTCCTGAAAGCAGAATCAAGATGAAAGCTGACAGCAAATTCATGACCACGCACGACAAAGGCACCAACACACCCATCGCGTCTTTGGTCATCCTCCTCGCCTTGATAGCAGCCAACACAGCCGGCACCGCAGCCGTCAATGCTCCTTCCTCGCCACTGTGGAGGGTGCCGCCGATGGCCTTCAGCGCCCGGTAACATGACCCCGCCATCTTCCCATCTGGATGGAGCACCAGCAGCTTTTGCGTCTCTACAACAATCGCATTGATATGGGCAGAAATCTTTGCCCTCGTCGAATCTGCGATCGTTGGCAGTCGCTCCGCCAGCAGATCCAAGCCGCCGGCTTGCACCTGGGCGTCAGAAGATAGCAGGATACGGACGATCGAGACAACGAAGTCCACCGCAGACATGCTCGCGAGAGACTTGTGCAATGCCGAGCGAGCCGCTTGCGCAACATCGCTGTCGGTGCGGGTGGTCGCTAGCGCAATGAGCAACGAGACCAGGTCGCTGATCGATCCGCCGTCAGGAGCAGCTGCTTCTGCAGGGGGACAACTCTTGATGGCTGATCCGACGAAAACAACCAGGGCCTGGGCACGTCGGTTGAATGTCGATGCAGTAGGCTGGAGCTGGTTATCGTCGCTGAGGTACGGTTAGCGGGACACGTGACACCGCCCAATGTAAACCGGCTCACGGAGAGGTATCCAACAGACACGGCTCGAGATTCTCGGGATCGGCCGCTCGTGCGAGTAGTCTCTGTGATTCTCGGAGCATTTCCGTGAGAACCTGAACGCTGTCAAAAACCAAACTTTCGACAATATGAGAGTGCGCACAAAGATTTGGAGCTCGACTGGCTGTCGGTGGATGACAGAAATGGGTAAGGCCAAAGTGTTCTGCAGCTCATCGTGGTTTTGCCGAATTACGCGAGCGCCGAGCTTTTCAACAAGCAGCATGCACAGTGGGGGCAGGAAATCCGACACGCCCAGGACACTCGTAAGATGACCAAAGAAGCTAGAAAGCGTTGAATGGAGTGGTTAATCGCACAGCACAGTCTACGCACTGTGTCCTGCGATGTCGCGGAATGTGATTTGACGCATCGGTAAACACTCTGACAAAGTCTCGGGCAGCAATATAGAGCTCTAATCTCGAGGGCTGCGACTTTTTGAGGGAGGCGACCATCACCGGGACGATGCTGTCGATTGTCTGTCGCTCCCAGTCAGTTGCATCATGCGAACACATGAGCGCCACGCACTTTCTGGACCACTTTGAAGCTGTACGAGTCGTCACGGTGGAACACATTTGAGCCCATGAAGGTGAAAACAGGCATCACATTTTGCAGAGCCGATTCAGGAGCCAGACGGGCCAGAGTAGCCATGAGCAGCAATGCTTGGTTCGATGTTTGCGGGTTATCGGCAACTGGCAGCGTGTCAGACACAATGCACAGAATCACGGGGAGCGAACGAACCGCGGATAAGCTCAACCAGAATATCAAGATGGATGGAGGAAGATAGAGTCTGCAGCAAATCAGACGCGTCCTGCTTGGGAAACGAATCGCAGCCCACAGCAATCTTCTCTGCCGAGCGCTCGATAGCAGACATCAGTGACTGCTCGATGTAGCTGACGTCGACATCAGCCGGCGCGTTGGATTGCACGACATGATGTAACGTCTCCAGCAGTCGGGACACGAGATCAAGGGACCCGGGCAGAGCCATGTCAGCCAAAACCTCTGCAAGAAGACTGAGCCGGGCAAAGCTGTCGTCTGGCACTCTGGAGGCGTGTAAGACGACAGTCTGAACTGGCGCAAAGGAACACACTCTGATAGCTTGGCACGTTTGCTGGCACGAGGACTTGAGCTGGCGTCTGGTCGGATGTTTCCGAGCAGATGCATGCTGACTGCAATATCGCTGAGAGCAGTGGCAACAAGAGTCTTTGCAGACAGGTACTGCACAGCTGGTCAGAATCATAGCATAGACCTGGAGGACAATGACTGGCCATATCCGCATCTTTAACTCCCGCAGTCAAAACAACTTCACACAGTGCCACTTTCCTCTCCAGAGTGAGTTGACTGACTAGCTTCTCCAGGTTTCCTAACAGCACTTGACGGCAGGAAGAGGGTGAAGCAGACTTGAAACAATATTCCAACAACGGAACAAAGACGTCTATCCACGTCTTGTTCTTGACATCATTCAAGATTGAAACGGTCGAAGTGTCGAACGAAGCGATAACGAGTGAAGCGAGCCGTTCCTCCAAGCTGCCGTGACTCGCGGCTGAGATGAGTGGCGTCAGAACAGTGCTCTTTGAGGCATCCGACACATTTTGAAGGACCTCCAAAAGCACGACGCGCATGGATGTCAGCGGGACAGCAACAACATGGGACAGAAGATAGCACAGTATATGCTGTTTGTATCTGATAAGCTAGATCAGATCAGATCAAATCACATGGCACGCGACACGCACTCCGCATCCTTTTTCGCGTCGCTCTTTGCTCTGGTGAGGTGCTGAGCATGAAGAACTTTTATAGAATGGAAGTCCAGGGCGATATGCTCTCTATGGTCGGTGAGTGCGTTGAGGTAGCGGCCGAGCTCTGCTGCAGACACGTATTGAAGGCTGGCTTGACCCGGGGTCAGCAGTAAGAGGTGACGGGAGTCCGGCTACTGACCTTCTGTAGTCCCGTAGATTGCATCGAATGCATAGACTGCAGAGAACTTGGCTTCGTTGGCCATGCGCTGCAACAGGGCAATGCATTCTGAAGCGGCCTCCCGAACTTGTCTCGTCTTGCTGGACAAGCACACGACCAAAGCAGGCAGAATCGTCTGAAAATCAACAGCATCCGATTCCTCACTGTGGGCTTGCAGGAATGCAGCGGCATGGCGTAGAGCCAGAAGGCAAATCCAGCTCTCATTGTTGTTTTCTGCCATCGTCCACAGGCCTGACAAGAATGCCAAGGAATCATCCTTGAGGGTGGCGAAGAGTTCCGAGAGCAATCCTATGCTGAGGAGAGGCGTCGCCGCAGTCGAGTTGGCAATCCTGTAGACGGATCGCTGTAGTTGCACGTGAGGATCCTGTCCTTTTGTTCAGTCACTGTTCAGTCACAGATTGCAAGCGGTTCACCGAAGGCCCAAACCAGTCAGGGACTCGTCCGGCCTGTTTGGGAACAGAAGCTACGAAGGCCAGAATAGATATCTGTAGCCAACTTGTCGTCGTCTTACTGGTGAGCTTGTGCACGACCATCTTTCCGATTACAGCTTGGCTGAGATACTATGATGGGTGTCAGAACTCGCCAAGTGAAAAAGCATCGGACTGACCTGGATCAGGCCTTGTGATCCCAGCAGGGATGCGTCAACATCTGGAAGTTGTTGCAAATTAACGGCCTCGAAAGCCTGGCTCGCGGCATCCAGCAAACGTTCGCCAGAGAGTTGCTCGAGCAGAGCTCGCATAATTAGCAAGGCCAGGACCCGCACGTTGGGGTCAGCGTCATGCGCCTTACGGACGAGCGCACTCAAGTGCGTGGCATAACGGTCCGAGTTGAGTATGTTTTCTGATAAATTAGCTGAAGGCGTCGAGTGGGATTCAAGAAGCGAACACACCAGCGATTCTGCGCCTCGTCGAGTCATTGATATGCGCCATCTTGTTGCTGTCGTCGCCGTCCATGTTGGTCACACAACCAATCAACAGCTCGTGCCGGATAGCCGGATTCTGCGAGATGACTTCCCAGACGAGCTCGGCGGTATGCTGCCTGGTCTTGGAGAACAACAAAAACGGAAAGATGATCTGATGGAACACATCCTCCTTCGACTCGGATGTGGCTTTGGCACAGAAATGGGTCGCCAAAAAACCAAGGTGAAGGCGAAGGATATGACGTCTGATCTTTTGGCCGCTGCCGAAGGACAAAGAAAGTCCATCGATGTAGCGTTTTGGTTCATGGAGGAAGATAGGGAGCAGGGAAACCGGATCAGAATACAGAGCTGTAAGCACGATGACACTTGTGTCTTGGACGCGAGCAATAAGAGCGTCGCGCACGGATTCCTTCGATCAAAATGTTGGTTGGCTGGGATACAGGACACAGAGGCACGCACCGTGAGATTCTGCCTGGCGCTTTTCAGCAGCTCCTTGACGCCAGCTGCACGAGCATGCTCGTCTGAATTCATCGAAGCGACCACACTCGTGCCTTCGGATGTAGCGAGCCGTGCAAGAGGCCCTGAAATTGCCAACGACACAACGAACTCGTTGAGCGTTGCTTGTAGATCGGGTTGCGCCGTGGAAAGCTCAGCAACCACTTGTTCGAAACATTCTGGATGTATCTGCTTGATCTTTGGCAAGATGCTGCCCAACAGTGTGTTGTTCGTCGCAAGAATATCGTCCTCTGAAACAGCCGCGCGCAGGAGAACTGCAGTCAGATGCTTGATGACGCCCACAAGAGCCGTGGGCGACCCAATGATGTATTCGAGAAACGGCGGCAATGCCTCGTCCTCAATGCTGCATCACCGTCACAAGGGGAAAGAACGCTCAGAGATGATGGGCGACGCACTGTTTGCATGCACTCGTGAGTAGGGGAGCGTACAGACTCTCCGCCCCTGCATATTTCTCTGCGATCCGAAGTTCTTGTGCGATGTTTCTACCGGAAGATGAGTAGAGATCCGGGAATGTACGATTGCTCCCACTGACGGCAACCGGAGAACATTCTTCGCAGTTCCATCCGTGAAGGAATCCAACTGCTCCTGAGCTTCGCATACAGCCACCAGTGTATTCACAAACTGGCGGGTGGAAACACGCTTCGCGCAACCAGCCATAGCGCCGATGGTGGTCTTCAAAGCAGTTGCGGTTAACTGACAGACTTGAGTCAAGGCAGCGATCAAGATATAGCTTCCAAGAACAGCATCTCTTGGGGCCTCGAATTTGGAAGATAGTGGCTCGAGGAAAGCGGACAAAAGAAGCGCCAAAGTCCCCTCGTCCAGCGATTTAGCTCGTTTGAGATAATCGTGGACTGTTGCAGCATTAAACGCGAGGAGAGTGTGGTGGGAGTAGCCGCCTTTGAGCGCTGAGGGGAGAAGGTTGACCACAAAGTGGGTTGCATCCGCGTTCTTCAGCATCTCTGTGACCAGAGCGGGCCGCTGGATGTTTTGAGCCGCTGCCTTGAAGGGCAAAAGGAATATCCATGTTGAGTTCGGCCTATATCACGGTCAGATTGAATGAATATAGAGTGATGCATGAGCCTCACTTGATGTGTAGGATAGATAGCATCTTGGCAAAATGCGGAGACTCATGGTATGGCAGAAACAATGCCAGAATAGATTCGACATTGAACTCGTGGATCCTGGGGCAGTCTTGGGAATACACGAGAAGTATAGACTGTAAAATCATACCTGAACCTCCTCACAAGCCACTCCAAAGCTCTGCCAGTGGGCGCCTCGATCAGATACGGTCCTAGCAGCGGTAAAAACCTTGCAATCACGGCGTCCAACTCTGCGGTCTGTGACATAGGAAGGAGCGTCCTATCCGTCTGCCTAGACGAGTCCGAAAATAAAGGCCCCTCGAATTCTCGAAACACATCGTTCAATGTGCATAGCTGCAGAAATGCGTTGGTGCCCACGGCGTAGATGGAATCGAGGTCATGTTGGTCCGCATCACGCCCAGTGAAGAGGTAAGACTCGGTAGGTTTTCGTTTCGTTCGTTCTACGAGGAGAGATGCGTTAAGAGATGCGCCCTTCGCTAGTTGGGCTGCAAGACTCGACAACACCATCGGGGTCGCGGTCGCAAAATTTTGACGGATCACATCTACGATCAAATCTTGTTTGTCCCGCACAGCCACCGTCAAACAAGACTGACGCGTCCTGCAATAGTTCCAAGCTACCATGTCTGACCACAGTGACGACGTTCTTCCGATCCCCAATCTCGTTCTTGCGCAGAACCTCTTTACGCTCTCTAATGCGTCTCTATCTCGATATCACGACGATGCTCGGAAGTCTCTTCTCGCAGGCATCAAAGCTGATGAAATGGGCCCGTGGTACCGTTCTTTGACCCAGGCGCCGTCGCCCAGCTCTCCTGTCGAACCGATGGCTTCATCCTCATCGACACCTTCACCGTCGATCACTCTTGACGCGGCTCTCCTGGAGGAATTGGAGAAGAAGAACAATGCCGAACTTGAGAAACTAGACGAACGGCTCAAACTTGCCCAAGAAACCGAGGGGGAGTCTGAGATCAGTGATGCACTGCGCGCGCGCGCCAACTATCTGACCAAGATTGGAGACCAGGTGAGCTCGTACGTTGTGAACGTAGGCAGAGGCAATGCTCAAGTGTACACCAGGACGCGTCCACCGCACAACTCCTCGCGTTTGAGAAGACCCCCGGTCTCGGATCCCGTATAGATATCTCTCTCACCCTCATTCGCATCGCGTTTTTCTGGGGAAACAGAGAGGATATCACGAAATATCTGGCGAAAGCGGAAACGTTTGTCGGAAGTCTCTCAAGATGTAGATCGGCCACTCACAATATTGCAGACTTGTAGAAGAAGGTGGCGATTGGGATCGGAGAAACCGACTGAAGGTCTATCGGGGCCTTTACATGCTGTCGATCCGGCAGTTTGTACGCTGTTCGCTTGATGCCGATTTCACCCCATGTTTACATCTTGGCAGAAGAGCGGCGGCGACCTTTTCATCGATGCGCTTTCGACCTTCACTGCAACTGAGCTTATAAGCTACAACGACTTTGTCGGCATGACTATGATTGCAGGCGTCTTGGGTCTCAACCGAGTCGAGCTTAAGAAAAAGGCTAGGCTTTCTGTCAGATCCACGAACCACTACTCATGTTCCTCCAGATTATCGGGGCCTCCGAAGTTGCGCAAGCGTTGCCTGAAATGCCACTGCTTGGGGAGCTGGTGAATAGTCTCTACAGCTGTCACTATGACAGGTTCTTCGTTGCTTTAGGTGACATGTTCTGTACGGCTTCTGCCAACGGGAAACTGATCAGATTTCTCGGATGTCACAGCCGAGCTGGAACAGACCCATCTGTTACCCTCACGAATTCTCGCACCACATGCACGGTTTTACGTACGTGAAGCTCGAATCCTGGCCTACACCCAGTTACTCGAGAGTTACCGGAGTTTGACGCTCGAGAGTCTCGCCGGAGCATTCGGTGTCAGCGTGGAATTCATTGATAAGTGCGTGCTTTTCCCCGTCGCTTTGGATCCAGTCTCACGTGACCGTTCACCAGTGAGCTTTCCCGATTCATTGCTGCTGGGAGGTTACATTGTACGATCGACAAAGTGCACGGGACAGTCGAGACGACACGCCCTCTGAAGAAGACAGCACAATACGACACGGTGGTGAAGCAGGGTGACATCTTGCTGAACCAGGTCCAGCGACTGTGCAAAGTGTTGTACTAGGCAAATTCTAGTGACATTGTACTCAAGGAGATTGTACATTCATTTTGTGACAAATAAAAAGGTCATAAGCGAATGGAATGCTAGAGAAAGGTCGTAAGAGGTTCCTAGAATAAAGAAACAAGTCGTGGCGTGTATAAATAGCACAGAAAGGAGCAAAAACAGAGTAGGAAGCTGAAATGAAAATCAGCCTTCTCTCAAAAACCACCTAAACATCCGTCTTCCTCGTCCCTGAAGCTTGAGCCAGTCAGAGACCGACAGAGAGAGGACACAGAGCGATCGCCCTTTTCCTTCTTGTCCTTGCGCGCTTTCTTTTCCTTCGCTTTGCTACCGGGCGGGGAGTTGATTGAGAGCGGCTGGAAGTGACTTGCTGGGGAAGGGGATCGAACTTGATTGCGAAAGTGATCGGCGTGGGAGAACGAGCCCGGAAGATCTTCTTCCTCATAGCCGTCTTCGTCCAGCTCTGAATGAGACCGAGGATGGGGCGTGTGAGATCGACGAGGCGATCGCCGGCGTTTACGTTCAACGGGGGACGCCGAAGGCGGAGACTCGACGAAGGAAGGCGACGAGTGATTATAGGCAGGAAACGGCGCCGAAAGAGGCGGCATGCCGAGCAGCGGATTTGTGTACTTTTGACCAGCTGGAGATATATTAATAAATGTCCCAGGGCGTGATGGAATTACGCACTCAAGTCCGCAAACCCCGCTGTCTCCGGTGGAGGACTTATGAAACCGTCGCTTTCATCACTCTCCGAACTGAGATCGGGGATCAAGGGAGGAACGGATGAAGGGTGGGGGAAGTAGAAATGACAGTCGGAGTGCGGGGGCGGGGACAGAGTAGGCTTTGAGGGGACGGCGGGGGATTGCGGTATTGGCGGAGGAACGGGGAGCCCGATGTAAGGACTTGTCCTGGTGGGCGTCCGCTCAGGGTCACTCTCCTCGCCGTCGTCTTCATCTTCTTGATCTTCACTACTCCTACAGTCCAATGCCCGTGGATGCAAAGAGCGACCTTGGCTGTGAGTGTGCGGACCAGGCGCAACGAGTTTCTGCGTAGGTTTGCCTTCGTAGTAAGTTCGTCCGGGGCATCCACGTGCAGGGAGCGCACAAGCGTTGGGAGTGACGACGATAGGAGATCGGTCATATGCGCTGGAAGAATACGCACTGAAGGTACGCGTGAGGGACGGGGAAGGAGGAAAGTGAACAGTAGGGGGTTCAGGATGGGGACCGAAAACCGGAGAAGAAGGGATATGTTTGAGAATGGGGTGGGCTGTGCACGGCATCTTTGTGAAGATGCTACCGCCAAAGCTGGAGATTATGTCGATGGATCTATGAATGTGCGATAGCTGCTGCGCTGATGGATCCAGAGGAGCCTTCCAGATCTTATGTAGCCTCGAGGGTCCTGATTATAGAACCAAGAATGAAACTGGAGGCCAAGGAGCTACGAGAATCAGAGCAGCTGCCGGGGCTATAGCGAGAGAGATATACGGGCCATGGTAGTAAGCAAAGAAAACGGGTTTTGTTTCTCTTTGTTGCCCGGGGGATCAGACAGGATCAACCTGTCACGCGTCACACACATGGCATCGGGTCACGCAGGTGCGACAAACAAGGACCTGGAGTCATTCAAATTGTCAAGGACAGGTCCAATTTGCAATCGCACGTGTAATACACACTGGTTCCGATTTCATTTAGATTTAAACAACTGCACAAGGCGGGCCTGAAGTTTAACGAATGCAACCTGCATCGAAACAGCTTGCTGGCCTCGCGCTGCCTTTGTGTTCCCGGCATCCAACGTTCGTCCTCGTGCTGATTGCAGTCTGGATTGGACAGCAGATTCCAGACGGGCATTGCGGCGATTTCGCCGTTCCCGTGCAACTTGCCGTGGCCAGTTTGCAATCGGTGCGGCAGCGGTGGCCGGCGGCGTGACATCACTCGCTACTGCAAGGTAACATGCTGAGCGCTCGAGGTTGCCATCTGGCCCCTGCCTAACTTCTGACACACACGTCCTGATGTAGACGGTCGTTGTCGGTCCAGTAACATGCAAGCATTTGCACCCTCTCAAAGTAGACGGAAAAAATTATTAGTACCGATGATGTCCTCAATCAGATAAGATAAGATATTCAATCGAATCTTCTAGAGACTCGAATTCGACTCGGATCCTGAACATTCCGACCGACTCAGTCTCCGAAAAGCAGCTGACAGGTCCGGCGACGTCTTGCTCGCAAGATGACCAGCTGATTAATGCCTCGTCGCATAGCCGCGGTGTCAGAGCCTCGACCGGACGCGAGTCAAGCGAGTCAGCAGGTGCCCCGGTGGCGGTGCCAAACAACTCAATCCCCAACTTTCACCACCAAACCCATCTACATCCTCTGAACATGACCGACGTCGACTGGGACTCCAAGACTGTTATCGGCTCGAAGCGAACCGTCGCCAAAGTCACCAAGAACACCTCAGATCTGAACGCGGTGGGCTAAATCTCCGACGCTGTTGTGGCGCGTGCTGATGATGGCCGCGTCATAGGCTCGACGAGCAGGGGCAGTAGTCGCCACCGACAAGAAGGGAACATCTGGAGGAAACAAAGCTCACCAGGGCACTGATCACCAGAAGATCGCCAAACTTGACCGGGACAACGAAGTCGCACCACCCGCCAAAGTTTCTGCCTCTGTTGGACGAGTGCGTATAATGTGATTCCATATCCAATCCCGGGAGCCAACTTGTTTCAAAGGCCATGCAAGACGCTCGAATGGAGCTCAAACTCTCTCAGAAGGACGTTGCCCAGAAGGTCAATGAGAAACCCTCTGTCCTGTCTGATTACGAATCGGGCAAGGCAATTCCTAATCCTCAAATCCTGGGGAAACTAGAGCGAGTTCTGGGTGTCAAACTGCGTGGTATGTCCTTCCATCTCTCTCATCGTCGGCTATCGTCTGAACGGTGGCCTGCAGGCTCTGACATCGGGAAGAAACTCGAAACGAAGAAGTCATCCGCATAATTGATCCCTTGCCTTGCTGTTGTCGCTTCTGCCCGCCGCCACTTGTAGATTATGTCCTAGACAGTTGGAATCGCATTCATTCAGTACAGCCGGGCAACAGAGATGAAGTGTGTACAGATATACAGCTAAGGCTACAGATATAAGGTCATTCATGCTGGTTGTTCTCCGTCCTGTGCGCCATACGTAATATAATCTGCGCTCTCACAGGCTTTGTACTCTTTCATAAGCTCTTCGCAAGTGGCCCTGGCGGGGATTCAGAATAGAAATGCGGAGCAGAGCTGGCGTACCTAGCATCATCGAATTCGTCCAAACTGTTCTCGAAAATCCGTTCCTTCTTGTACTGCTCAAGGAACGCATTCTTCCGGCGCAGTTTGTCGAATTGATCGAGCATTTGCTTGAAAAGCTGAGGCCTGTCTCAGTGCCTAATTTCGACGGATGAGACTTGAACGTACCGAGGCAATACTGGTGTGGTTAGCGAGCATTAATCCACTGACTCGGTGGTTGGACGCAACGTAAGGGGACCTCCTAGTCAACGCGACTTGGATCGAAGCAGGCCCCCAGGGTATGAAATTGGCCAATTGTCGCTCTCTGATCCGCAGGAGAGATTGATGGACCTAATCTCTTGTCAGATTCCAGTTGTCCATCACAGGAGAACCTACGTCTGTGGGGTCAACATCCCCCTGGATGATGTTCAATATTGAGATATAGCAAGCTGTTTTGCTGGGTCTCGTTGAGACCATACGATTCTTGGGCTGTAGCAATCGACGCATGACATCAAGCACCGTAGTTCGCCTGATGGGCTTGGCCTAATGCAGGTCAGTAAACACAAGCCTCATGGGCCAGAGCAGCACGCGCCTTGTCGATTTGGTCGCTAGTGAAAGGCGTATAGGAGGTCATCAGGAAATGGCATCGTGGAGTTGGTATCAAAGACGCGATAATTCCAACGAGGTCGTTGTTCATGTACCCGGGGTATCGGAGTGTTTGAGTGCTGGCTGCCATCACCGTCGCAACCTGAAAACATTGAGGCACGGATAGACACGTTGGGAATACGCCGAACCAACTGGTTAGTCTGATCGAAGGTGGGGGTTTGCACATGTAAACGGTCGGCAGATATGCGAGACAACGCGCCGTTGTCGAGGACGACCACAGAGTCAGCGTGATTGACAAGTCTTTTCAGAGTCAACATCGAATTGTACGGCTGTACAACAACATCTCCCTCATGTGCATTCGGGAAGACGCTATAGGTCTGGATCAACTTCTTCGGGAATTTGTCGTTTAATCGTTCCAAAAGGAATGAGCCTAGGCCAGACCCTGTTCCTCCTGCAATGGAGTGCATGGCCATGAATCCCTGAAACCTCGTTTTTGATGATCAATGCTGTACAGATGAAATGAACACACCTCTAACGAATCGCTTCCTTCAGCTTCACGGTCGATCATTTCCATAACATCCTCATAGATGCGCTCCCCCCATGCGTGGCCTTGAGCCCAATTGTTTCCTGCTCCACCCCCATCTTTGGAAACGAAGATGTTCTCGGGATTGTAGAGATTGGCGTAGGGAGATGTGAGGATATTGTTGATCACCTATTACGGATGTTATCAGTAGCAGTGGAACGGGAAGTGAATGCGATCTACACACGCGAGGCTCGAGATCGACTAGGATTGCACGTGGAATATAGTGTTCATCGTCTGCTTGATAGAAAAACACGTCTTTTCGATCCCCTCCCTCTGTTGCCCACTCCTCCAAGATCCCTTCTTTGTTGATGCCATGCTCTGCGCATAACCGTTGCCAGAACACAGACCCCACTTCGAAAAGAGTCAAGATCTTGGGACTTCTAGTTCATTGGTTCGCGCTTACTTTGATTTCCGCATTGTCCCAACTGCAGGGTTACGATCTCCCGAGGCATGTTAGCCTAGACCACGAAGCGACGCGTGCAAGTTGAGCAGGACAGTAAGGCCAAATATTTGAATCAAGGCAAGTTTTTGAGGGCAATCAAGGCCGTAGGTGAATGAAGGCTTTTGCAGTGCGGAGCAGTTTCGATTATGCAGTGAACTGAAGTGCAAGTCGCGAACGGGCGCGTCTGTCACGACGTGACAGACCGTAACACAACTCATTTTCCACACGCCATGTCGCAGCGCATAGGCAATGTAAACTCGTACAATTGTTGGCCGCCTGACTTTCTCTGAATGTAACTTTCTAGACCACTCTTGCGTATGCCCGAGTCTGGCATCATGTCGACGCGAGTGACCGTGTGCTAGGAAAACTGGCTGAACGTATTGCTCTGGTGTTGATGGGCAAGCACAAACCAATCTACGATCCCGGAGGTATTGTCTTCGCGTACTGTTTCATTCGAGACTTTGACCCGAAACCAGTTGACTGCGGCGACTATGTGCTTGTGACCAATTCGAGGAAAGTATTGGTTACTGGCCGGAAGAGTGAACAACTGCTGTACCGCAAGCACTCTATGTATCCGGGCGCGTTGAAGGAGACTCCTTACAAGGACATGATGGAAAAGAATCCTGACGAGGTGTGTTGGGCTCTTCACTGTCTCTTCCATTCAGCTCATGTCCCTCGAAGATCATTCGGCATGCCGTTTCCGGCATGTTACCCAAAAACAAGCTTCGGGAACGGAGGTTGGAAAGATTGCGTATATTTCCGTCGTACCATATGGGCAAAATGGGCGCCAATGTGCTGCGGAGCTGGGACGACGGGACGTTGCCACCAGATTGGGACCCCAGTGTCCCCACTACAACGATGACATTACAGCAGAGGTTCAGCCAAGGCTTTGAACAAAAGGCCTGAGGTTGGGATCTTCTCTGCACCTAGACTCTTATAGTAATCGATGCTCTGTTTTCTACAAATCCTCATAGGTCGTTTCCAAATGGAGGACTACTAAATAGAACTTGGTAGTCCGCGCTATAATTAGTCTGCTAACAATCCCAACACAACCAAATAACGCGTACTTGACTTCGATCCAAACCCCGCTTCCATTCGCGTTCTTCATTATGCCTCCCAAAGCCTCTGGCTCTAAGCCAGTCAACGGCAAATCTGCTGAAGGACCTAAGCAAAAGAGTCTCATGACATGGTTTGCAAAACCACAACCCAAGAAGGAATCAAACGCATCCAAAATGCCACTGCCTCCAAAGACGCCTCAGTCTAAAAGTCCCAGCCTTTCTAGGCTGAACTCCTCTGTTCCCGTGTCAGACTCTTCCCCAGGACTCGACAGCGCAAAGGAAACGCCTCCAACCAGCGACATCATTGACATAGACATGCTATCCTCAGAGGACGAGCAACGCGTCCGAACGACGACCGTGAGTGTTTTGTCGCGTGCTCAGCCCAAACTCACAGCTCCCTTAGAGGAAACGAAAGATCGTCTACGAGGAATCGGACGATGAACGTTCGTTGACAGAGCGTTCAGCTCCCGCGGGATCTTCACCGACAAATGCTAAGCAATGTGAGTTGTATTATTTCGTTGGCACAGAGAGTTAAAGGATGAACCGGTCACTTCAGTGAACAAAAAACCTCGTCTTTCTGCCCTCTTGTCTGACGACGAGGACGACGAGGTTGCGCAGAGCGCGTCGAGCTCCTTCTCTAACCGCATCAGTCGTTTCAAGAAATCACCTGTCAAAAAGGGTATATGTCTTCCATTGCGTAGCAATGTCGATAACTCATGTCGGATCGCTCACTTTCAGGACGCAAATCGCGTTCCGCTGCGTCTGAAGACGACGACGATTTCGTTGTGTCCGACTCTGATATGGACGCGAGGTCAATCAAGTCTTCCAAATCGACGTCGTCTCTTTCCCGTCGTTCTGCGACCTCAGACGATGATGAAGATGACGATGCATTTGACTCTGAGCCTGTGAAGAAGCCTGCAGCCAAGCCCAAAGGGCGTGCCAAAACAATCACCAAAAACGTAACGGCTGGCGGCGGTTCCTTCTTGACGGCTGCTGAACGGCAGGAGCTCGAGAGAAAGAATGAGAAGAAGGAAGCGGAGAGCCCGTATTCATTTTTGCAAGATGTCAAAGACGTGCGCTCCCGGCTCTCTTCTTGTCGATATCTTACACGCTCGCAGAAAGACGGCAATCGACCGGACAGTCCCAACTATGACCCTAGAACATTGTATGTTCCGCGCAAGGCCTGGGACGACTTTTCTCCGTTCGAAAAACAGGTATGCAAGGTTATCCTGGGGTTCGTCGAGTTGATGGGTGTTGGCGATTTAGTTTTGGGAAATCAAGCAGAACCATTACGATACTGTGCGTTCGTCTTTACTGGCGCTGCTTTCAATAACCGCTCACTGCATACGAAGATTCTGTTTTTCCAAAAAGGGTGAGTTTAGAATCTTGTTGGTTCGTCGCAGGCACTCAACACTTTCGCTAGAAAATTCCTCGAAGTATGCTGGCCTCTTTCTGCGATGGCCGGTTCTCACTCCAGAACAGCTGTATGAAGATGACGCTCGGATCGGGCATCAGCAGTTTGATCTCAAGCTGACTTCGCGCGTCAAGATGTCCATGGTGTGGAAGGCGAGGTTGAACCACTGTTCCAATCTCACGTTTTCCAGGTCGGGGTTCCAGAGTCCTCCTTTGACTTCTGGGCTGCGTGAGTCTCCGACTCGTTGCATGATCGTCTGCTTATCTCATGTTTGCAGGAAATTCCTTGCGAAAGGTCTGAATGTATATTTCTCACTAGATGAGTCGATACCAACCTGGCGCAGGATTCAAAGTTGGCAGGGTGGACCAAGCCGAAACGGCACTCGGTGCTGAAATGAGGGTGAAGGCAAACAAAGCCAAGAACGGCAAAGCAAAGGACAAGATCGTGCAACGGTGCGATCCAGTGCCCAGAGCGTAGTATTGGCGAACTGATCTTCTTCTACAGCGAACTCAAACAAGTCTATACTAACGGCACTCTCATTGATCCAAGCATGCTTACTGACGACCAAGCTGGGCACTTGATCTCGATCCGCGAGGTCTTCGAGGAGGGTGTCGACACAAGCAGCACATTTGGCATTTCGGTTCTTGACTGCTCTACTTCGCAGTTCAATCTGAGCACGTTCGAAGACGACATATGTCGGACGAAGATGGAGACACTGATCAGGCAGCTGAAACCGAAGGAGCTGCTCTTTACCAAGGTATCAGCCCGTTGACGTGTCTGCGAGCTATGTCTGACCCCAGTTTCAGGGGAAGTTATCTGTGTCTACGACTCGACTGCTCAAATCTATCGTACCTTCGCTATGCATCTGGACTGGACTGCGAGATGTCGAGGGCTTCGACTACGAGCAGACCAAAGTAGAGCTTGTGAAGCTTTATCCTCAGGAAGAGGATGATGATGGCAATTCTGACGGTGATGAGCTGCCTGCGAGTGTGCCCGAGCCCATCCGGGCCATGTCCGGATCGCAGACTGCGATTGAATCGCTTGGAATGATGATTTGGTTAGTCGATCCCACAAGGACTGGCCAATGCTGATCCCAGTGTAGGTACCTGCGCCAGCTGAACATCGACAAGGACATTCTCAGCATGAAGAACTTCAACGTGTATGACCCTTTGAAACGAGGGCAAGGGCTTGTCCTCGACGGACAGAGTCTCGCCCACATCGAAGTTCTCCTGAACAACGAGGGCACTGAGGAAGGCACGCTGCTCAAGCTTTTGAACAGGGCGGTCACGCCCTTTGGTGAGTAGGATTGTTCGTGCGTGGGTCGTTGCACTGAACTTGATCAGGGAAACGTCTGTTCCGGATCTGGCTGTGTGTGCCGCTGAAAGAGATTTCGGACATCAACGCTCGGCTGGATGCCGTGCAAGATATCATGGACAATACAACAGATTTTGAAAAGGATTTCATGGACATCGCCAAAGGTCTTCCCGATCTGGAGCGGATTGTCTCGCGCATCCACGCCAAAAACTGCACAATTCGCGACTTTCTCAAAGTGCTCAATGCAAGTCGTCGGTGTCGTCCTTTCCTCGGATGCGATTGCTGACCTGGGCATGTTCAGGCCTTCAAGAAACTGAGTTATGGAATGGCACATCTGGGAGACATTGCAGAGAGCTTCAAGTCTAAAACGATCTTTGGGCTCGTACGCAGCGCACCCGATCTGATCCAGAACATCAAGAAGATACAAGCGATGTACGAAAAGCCGGAATCTGAAAAAGGCAAGTGGCCCGTTTTTGACGGATCCCCACGTCGTGCTGACGCTGGGTGAAGATGCGAGTGAACTAGTCCCTCAAGACGGGAAAGACGAAGTTTACGACGGAGTGATGGCCGAAATCAGGGAACTGGAGAACGAACTCGATGATGAGCTGAAGAACATGCAGAAGAAGATGAAAGGGAAACTGAGCTGGCACCACAGCTCGATTGGGACCAAGGACATCTACCTGGTTGAAACGGACGCGAAGCAGACGGGTGTGCCGAAGGAATGGACGAAGACGCAGTCCCTGAAGAACAAGACGCGGTGGGTCGTGCCCAGCATCCAGCCGACCGTGCGCAAGCTCAAAGAGGCCCGGGAAAACCGAAACACGGCCATCAAGGCGTTCCGGATGCGGTTGTTCGCCGAGTTTGACTCTGACCGGTCGCTGTGGTTGCGTGCGGTGCGGATCATGGCCGAGCTCGACTGCCTGTTCTCGCTCGCCAAGGCGTCGAGTGCGATCGGGGAGCCGCGGTGCCGCCCGGAATTCGTCGAGGGCGAATCTGCCTGGGTCGATTTCCGGCAGCTGAGGCATCCGACGCTGTGTATGAATGCCAAAGTGGAGTCCTTCATTCCGAACGACGTCAGACTGGGTGGCGAGATGGGGAATATCGCGCTGTTGACTGGTGGGTGTTTGAAACCGCGCCTTCGCATGTCATGCATGTGGCTCACTAGTACATTCCAGGACCCAACATGGCGTGAGCGATGCGGTTATGTGGGTGGTGTGACATGGCTGACCGGTTTATACAGCGGTAAATCAACAGTCATGAGGATGACCGCCACCGGTGTCGTGAGTCTGTGGTTGTGCTCGTCCCGCGACCGACCTGAACGCTGCTGTAGATCATGGCCCAACTGGGGATGCTTGTGCCGGCGCAGAGTGCTCGACTGTCGCCTGTAGACGCGATTCTGACTCGGATGGGCGCGTACGACAACATGTTTTCCAACGCCAGCACGTTCAAAGTCGAGCTCGACGAATGGTGCGTGGAGGCTGTTATCAACTCGCTGCAGCTAATCAACACGCTTGCAGCTGCAAGATCCTGCGGGACGCTACGCCCAAGTCGCTCGTCATTCTGGACGGTGGGTGGTTGCACTTGCTTTGGTGTTTCCTTTTTTTCTCACAACCAGTCTGACAGAGCTCGGACGAGGGACATCGACCTTTGTGAGCTTCATGCGACTGCATCCACGGCTTCTTGAGACTGATTCGTGCAGGACGGGATGGCCATCGCAGGTGCGGTGCTTCACCAGCTGGCCACCCACACACTGCCGCTGTCGATCTTCGCGACGCACTACAGCTCGCTGACAGACGACTTTACGTACCACCCGAACATCCGGCCGGTGTTCATGGAAACTGTCGTGGACGACGAGGAGAAGAAGATTCTGTTCCTGTACAAGCTGGTCGAAGGCGTGGCGGTGTTGTCCTTTGGCACGCACGTCGCGAATCTCGCGGGCGTGCCGATGAATGTCGTGCAGAGAGCGGACGCGGTGTCGTCCAAGTTCGCGGAGCAGTTCAAGGAAAAGATGCTTTCGCGGCGCCAGCGGACAGGGCGTATTCCGATCACGGCCCAGGCCGACTTTGCCTATCTGTTCGGCATCGCGACCGGCAAAGTTGCAATGCCGACGAACGGCAAAATGGTTTTGGCCGGGCTGAGGAAGACGATTCGGAGACTACAACAGTAGAATACGGGGAGTGTTTGTATATGTATATATGCAAAGTGATGATGATGGTGGTGATGGATGGCCTTGAGCCAGTGGGGTGTGTGCCTTGAGCTTCCTACGGATACAGTGATGTGATAAGTACCTACCTACCTAGATGATGATAATAAGAAAACAAGATAAAATAGATAAATACTTCAGTTCTTTCTTCGCGGCAGCTTCTTCAGCAGCCGCCCGCCCGGAGGCCCACTGCTCGTCGGCGCAGCACCCATCGTAAACAGCCCGCCGCCACCCGCAGGAGAAGCAGCAGCCGACCCAAAGCTGAACGGTCCACCCGGCGTGCTCGGCTGCGGCAATGTCGCAGACGTCGGCGCAGGCGAAGACGGCTGCGATCCAAACGAAAACGACGTCGCCAACGCCGGCGGCGGAGCGGAACTCCCCCCGCCGAACGAAAACGGCTGCTGGCCAAACGTCGCAGGGCTGCTCGGAGCAGACCCACCGGTCATGAACGGATTGCTGGCCGGCGCAGTGCTGCTGGTGCTGGTGTTGATGCTTGTGGCACTGTTGTTTCCGAACGTGAAACCGCTGCTTGGCGCAGGAGACCCAAACGAGAACGACCCAGCAGTCGAGGGCCGCGGTGGATCCGCAGCTGTGCTGTTGTTCCGTGCGAAAGAGAATGGACTCCCAGAATTCGGAGCAGACCCAAAGGACGTACTCGAAGGGAATGGATTCGACGATGACGACGTGAAAGAAAACGAATTTGTCGTAGGTGGCGCGGCCGGCTGGCTGAAGGAGCCCGAGAACGAAAACCCGCCAGCTGCCTTGGGCTCGACTTCCCTCGTCGGGCTCTCGTCCATATTGAATTCCTGAATATCGTTTCGCGGTGGTGTCAACGGTCTGGCGGGCGGCGCAACAGCTGCAGGTGATCCAAATGAAAACGTCGAAGACCCATCCGCAGTTGGAACTGCGGTATCGGGTTTGCTGAAGCTGAACATCCCGCTCGCGGGCTTAGTCTCCGACGCCCCGAATGAGAATCCACCCGTAGGCGCAGTGCTAGAGGACGACCCAAAGTTAAATGGACCCGTCGTTTTTGGCGCATCCTGCGCTGTTGGTGTAGCAGTCGGAGTAGGTCCAAACGAGAAGCCGGTGAACGGTTTAGGAGCCTCTGTCGACGCCGGTGCTGGTGTCGCTGCCTCTGATGGGGGATTCGTACTCAGGAAATTAAACGGGCTCTTAGAGGGTGGCGCCAGAGGAGCACCAAACGGATTAGACGGAGGATCAACAGCTGCCTGTACAGTCGGCTCAACCGTCAGCGGAGCAGCGACTGGCGTAGGCTCAGCAGTGGGCTGAACCATCGCCGGAACGGTAGTTTCCACAATCCTTTCGACAACAGGAGCTGGAATCGAAGCCGGAACAAGTGGTGAAGGTTCAGGCTGTGAAACAGGTACTGGCTGCGTAGTAGCGAATGAGAACGGTGTGCTCGCAGGCTTATTGAAGAATGATGGGATAGTAGGTGTGTCGACCTTTTCGGCGACCGGAAAAGCTGGTGCAAGGAGAGACGGTGCGCTTGCCTGTGGAGTGCCAAAAGCCGAGGCCGGAGATTCGACAGACGGGAGAACACCACTAGACAGCGAGAATGCCGGCGTTGGCTCACTGGTCTTTTTCTCATCGGAGGTCTCAACGTTCTTGGAAGGAGCCAAGAACGAGAACGGGCTCACTGGCTTCGGCTCATCCGTTGAGCTGAATGATGGAACTGATGGCACCACCGATGGAGCCTGGGAAAGCAGCTTGCTCGATGAGAAAAAGTTTGGCACCGAGGAAGGTGCATCATCGGACGAGGACGCTTCCACCACAGCAGGTTTCGGATCCGGCTGAGCGAAAGAGAATGAGGAAGACGCAGGCTTCTCCAGAGGAGTCGCAACCGCAGCAGGAGCCGCAACTACAGCAGGAGTCGGAATGTTGAATGAAAACGGTAAGGCTGCGATGGGTGGTTCCTTGACATCCTCTTCAGCCTGGACCGGGGCAGGGGTTGCTTCCTGAAGCAGACGTTGAGCACGGGTTGCAGAAGTTGGATCTTAAAAAGAAACACACCGGCTTCGCAAAGGAAAAGTTTGCAGGCATTTTGAAGGCCGGAAGTTTCGAGGCGGCCTCTTCCAATTCGAGACGTTCTTTCTGTCTTTCCTCATCTTCCTCGTCCATTCCATCGTCATCTTCGAACACGGCGGAAAACTTCTTGGCTGGACGAGCAGCAGGGCGCGAGATGTGATTCCGCGACGTCTTGGCACGTGCGACACGTAGAGAGGATCCGGTCTGCGCAGCACCACGCTGTTGCCAGTCATCAATGATGGGCGGAAGAGGTTCGTTCACATCGGGGACGGTCTTGCTGATGTCGACACTGGGTGGCTGTTTCATGTCACCTTCGTCCTGCTCAGCCTCAACTTCTTTCTGTCGCCGGGCCAGTAGTTTCCTCATTCCTCCCTCTCCAGCATAAGGCTTGGTGTCGTTGACCTTGCTTTTCTTTTCCTTCTCTTTGGGCTCGATGTCCAAGAAGCCGTAGCTGGAGCCGCGATCATCACCCATCAGCACAAGCGGGCGAGTCCGTTTCCGTCGGAAAAGGTCCGAAGGGTCATCAGTATGTGTGCTTGCCTGAGCACCCAGCCGACTGCGAGTTTGCAAAAGGGGAGTCTTGAAGCTATCCAATTCATGTAACGCCCGTTCAGCCGATATGCCCTGCTGCTCCGAAGATGCACTGGGACCAGAACCGAACAGCAAGCCACTGTGTTGCCTTGCGGGCGAACGAGTCTGTCAATGTGGTCAGATGGTCATTTAAGATCCGCTGCCGTTCATCAGATCACGTACACTGCGTCGAGAGTCTGCCAAAGAGCCCAATGTGGTCTGAACAGAGATCCGCTGAGATGGTGCTTCAAGAGGCCCACGTACAAACATCGGCTTCTTACTGAGCGAAGACATGGGTGGCGGTTCCGACGTTTCTCTCGGTAGCTGCGATGGCTGAGGTGTAATAGACGTGGGCCGACGAAGAGAGCTGTGTGAGGCCGGGATTGGCATTGACATCTCGCGGGGCATAGACGACGACGTCTTGCGCGGAAACATGGATTCCATCGAGACATCTCCGTCCGAGGGGAAATGCATTGATGCATCACGCGAAAGCGGCCTGGCAGTTGTATGCGGTGGATCGATCGACATGGTCCGTGAAAGGTTGCGAGTAAGACTTGCGATAAAGGGATTTATGGCGGGTCCAGACAGATTGACGGAGGTGGACCGCGCCAACGGAGGCGGGTTCTTGAACACAGACACCGGAGGATCCAAGTATCCAGGGTTCGATGGCGCATACGTTTCCGCCAATGGGGCTTCGGCACGATACTGCATTTGTCGATCAGGGCTAGTGACGCGCGGCCGCTTGGAGCGAGGCTCGGCGGCGTCATTTGGATCGCGGAGGGTAGGGCCATTCCCAGCGGGTACCGGATTTCGCCTTCTCTTCCCCTTGAGGTCCGGGGAGTCGTCAAAGTCCTCGGTGGTGGCAAACCAGTTCAACGGTGCCGTTACGATATTTTTAATCGTCCCAAACAAGCTTGAGTTCGTTCGAGCGAGAGGCCGGCGCTGAGCGCGATTGCTCGAAGCGGGCCGCCGACGACCAGCATTATGGGAAGAGGAAGAGGACATGGGTATCATCGCTGCACAACCTCAGGCAGCGAGGCGAGCGATGATTGTAAGGGCTCTCCAAGGGAGTCCAATATTTGCTTTGGTTTGGTCGCCATAAACATACATAAGCAGTGAAGTGATGTGCACAACGTCACGGCTCACTAGCTTAACTTGCGCAGGACCCTGGCGAGAAAGAGAAAGATTTCGGAAGGACCCTGGTACATATCCAAAAATGTCCGATCCTGATGCGCTCGATGGGTTGCCTCACATCGGCCCTGAAAGTTGCATGACAATTCTGAGGCGGACATATACCAAATGTCCGCACAAAATCCCACAGGCGTACCTTGGCACAACTAGGCGCTCCGATGCTAGATGCGTACGCACAGGCGGGATCTTTCTGGCCAATCTTCAGAAGCCACTGACCACCCCACCGACCACACAACTCTCGGCCTGGCCGGTGTCACAGGTTGTCACGAAGCACATTGGCACTTTAAGGCCCAAACATGTCCACAGGATCGATCAATGGTGCTGACATAATGCGGCCCCATCTGGACACTCCATTTCCAAAAAACACATGTACAGAAGCTGCAAAGATAGACCATTCCAATATTTTTGTCTGCACCTTAATGTCCTTTCCACAACTTCACCGGTACCGGTGGTGACCGACAAGTACTATAATTGACGTGGACAGATTCTCAGCTGGCTGTTGGCCGGAGGCATTCTTTCGGCCAAGTTGCCGCGTTGCCGACCCACATTAGACAGCAGAATCCCCCTTTGGGGAGCATTTTGGGGGCTAAAATCATGTGACTACCGGTGATCGGTGACGGGAGTTCTTTTCATTCATCTCAAGGGGCCTGGTGACTAAAGTCGCGATCGTGATACGGTGCAGTACGCCTGGATTCTATGCCCGCCCGCAACCAGTGAGGCTTCGCCAAGTCCTTCCTTCTAGTTCTCGGGTTCCCAAGTTCCATCAGTCATGATGTAAAAGCTGCCTTAACCACGACTTGCTCTCAGACTCCAACCCTTGCACCTCCTTAGAACTTCACACTGGATCCATACATCGAACCGCAAGTTCTATCGTCCGATAGGGACCACAGCGACTGGTTGAGACTGCAGGGTGGGATAGAGGCTGCTCCGACAGAATCACCGCCAAAGTTCTCCGGTCCTTGCCTCGTTTGACCGCTGGTGTTGACAATGTGGTAGCTATGAAGAGGCGAGGATACCAGTTGACCCAGTCAACTACACACTTTCACCGCAAGGGTACAACACGATGCTGGTTCTACCGCCGCCAGGTTTCCCTGACTCGCGTCCCGTGTACACGATCTCTGTCTCCCTCAATTGCTTGAATCCATCCTCCTTTATTACTACGATTCACAAGAGCGCCGGCCTCCACGTTGCAGCCGAGTTCGAGTATGTTGGTCATTCAACACTGACACCGCGTCTTATCGTTCTCAGAATGGGGAAATCGGCGATCCCTAGCACGGTCTGTGTGGGTGCAGTGCAAAAGAAGATCAAAGATGCTATCTATGGCAAAAGTCGGATGAACAGATGGGTTTGGAAGTTCCGACCAGACCGTTCGCAACATCTTCGGTGGGAACTGGTCGACGAAGTTACAGGATTATTCAATGTCCGTTCTCCTGTCCAATCCGACGCAAGGTCGGTGGTCTGAACAACTGGCAGTGTTATATGGCCTCGGAGAAATTCCCGTCACCCTACCATGCGAAGATAGCTCAATTCAAAGGCGCTTCCCTGAAGCCACAGGGAACCGAACCCACACCTCTCTCTAAACTACGGATATACCCGGTCGGTCAAGTACGTCTTCCCGTTTCTTGTAACAAACAGCATCTCAAGCAGTTGCAGGCATTGTTTGACGATATTCTGCTCTCCATCTTGATAATCGAGCGGCGGCGGCTTTCCCCGGGACAACTCAACGAGGCGTCCTCTGACTGGTAAATGCAATACAATTCACTATCACCAAAACAAAAATGATAAAATCACCGAATCGTTTCAAACATTTTGAATTGTGGATGCTTGAAGGGGAATGGATCCTCGTCAGTGCCCCCGTCACTTTCAGAGGATCAGTAGGACGCCCGTCAAGCGAGAAGGACGTACTCGACAGGGCCGAGGACTCGCAGGCCGCGAACATGCGTGTCTTTTCCACCCATGTGATTGGCGACGACGATTATCTGCAACAAATACGCATAGACCGGCTTCCTAGATGAACCATCAGTCCATGAGCCTGACACTGTCTGAGAGTCCCGCACAGCCCATCCCCGTCCTCGTTAGGCTCTGAAGAAACGTCGAATGTGATCCACCCGTCCGGTCGCTCGAATGTGATCATCCTGACATCCTGGAGGTCGCTATAGCCTGTGCCTGCTCTTATTGCAAGGGCGGAAGGCGTGTACGAGTCGTCTTGTGGATGGCTTAGATATATACAAAGCTTCTGGAAACAATGTATCAGAAAGACCAAGAGCGTGCAATTCAGTCCCCTGCGCACCTGGATGGCAACTTTTCGGGGAAACTCGATGGTCACAAAATGCGGTTGTGGTCCGTCCGAGCTGAGAGGCATGTGCTCACAGCGAATCAGCAAAGAGATCGAGCCACCACGCACTGCCAAAACGTTTCCGGGTCTCCGTCACAGAGACATTCGGCCCCGAATCCGAATTTGTAGGACGACACAGACCACTTGGCGCGCGAAGAGATGTCAGGCCAGGGCAGGTTTGGCGGTGTCTTGTTCGCTGACAGAGGCTGATTCGACGCGTTTCAGCAGAGATCGTTGACAGACCGGAAGGCATTACTTCTGCACGGCCTTCTACCGTCGCCATTCTGGTGCGGGGTGGTGGTGGTTCGATGACGAAGGTTTGAGGTTTAGAGCGGCAGACAGAGTGGCGAGGCGCGTGACCGCGATGATCTATGAAATGCGCATGCGGATCATCAAACTTCACCGCAAGAACTGTCAACCGATCTCTTCTGCACCGATTGTCTATAACTTGCAGTTTTCACATCGCCACATGAATGCCCAACTCACTTCAGAGGAATACCCACGCTATGGTCGTCAAATGATACTCGATGGATTTGGTCTTCCCGGCCAACTCAAACTAAAAAACGCGTCTGTGGCCGTGGTCGGAGCTGGAGGCTTGGGGTGCCCTGCCATCCAGTATCTGGCCGCAGCTGGTGTGGGTTTGTCGGATCTGACCAGAAAAATGCGCTATAATTGACCACTGCTCTAGGCCGCATATGTGTGATCGACCACGACGTAGTAGAAGTGTCCAATCTCCAACGGCAGATCCTCCACGATGATTCCACCGTTGGCATCCACAAGTCAGAGTCAGCCGCTCGAGCCATCGCAAGGTCTCTCCGAGTACTGAAAACTTCTCTCGCCTCTATAATGACCACGAATCAAGGATCAATCCGAACGTTGTGGCCGAAGCAGTGTGCGTTGGCCTCCTACCCGACAACGCGGCAGACATCCTTCGACCGCACGATGTGATTCTGGACTGTACAGACAATGCAGCCACACGCTATCTCTTATCAGACGTCGCAGTCGCGCTCAAGAAGCCACTCGTTAGTGGAGCGGCTCAAAAGTACGAGGGCCAATTGTCTATTTATAACCTCGGTGCAGATGGCCCTTGCTATCGATGCATCTTCCCTCGACCTCCAGCTCCTGGGCTTGTCGGAAGTTGCGAAGAGATGGGCATTCTCGGAGTCGTGACCGGGGTGATTGGCAATCTGCAAGCTCTCGAAACTATCAAGTTGTTAACTGGCATGCACGGTGCGCCGGTTTCCTTCCCCTGTATGGTCTATGCGAGCCTGAACCCAGATATGAAGCCATCCATGGTCCTTTTTTCTGCGCTCGGATCAGCCCAATTCCGAAGCATCAAGATGCGGTCTCGCAAGCCGAACTGTCCAGCGTGCGGCACGGCTGAGGAGAAGATCGGACAAATTCGTGAGATTGATTATGTCCAATTCTGTGGTGGGCCGGCGCCGGATTGGGAGCGGCGGGGTCTTGTTCCAGGCGATCCCGAGGACCGCGTTACTGTGCAGGTGTGATTGATGATCTGTTGATCAGCGAGGCCTCCAAGACAACTGTTCCTCAGGACTTTGCCCAACTTCTGTCCTCAGGCGGTGATATAACGGTCGTCGACGTGAGATCGCCGACAGAGTTTGGGATATGTTCTCTGCCTGGGTCTAAAAGTAGGTGCTGACAACTCATCTACAGGCAACGACTCATTTGTGTCCAGATATCCCGTTGACGGAGCTGCTCGCCAGCCCCCCAGAGTCGTTGACCGCTGAGGACAGCATCTACTTTGTCTGTCGACTGGGGAATGACTCTCAGCTTGCTGCAAGCAGCATCAGAGAACACGTCAAGCCTGGTGCAATAGTGAAAGACGTCGTAGGCGGACTACGAGCATGGACACAGCACATAGACTCGACATTCCCGGCCTATTGACGACGGAATAGACCATCAAAGATTTGAAGTTCAGAGCATCAGAGATCGTCAAACTAGTACGATGTTTAATTGGATCCCAAGTTTGTGTGAGACACGCCCATGTGAGCTGCACATTGCAAACTGTTCGTTTCACCGGCGAGGTGTACGTCCTCGTTTCGTTAAATCAGCACCCGCGATGAAGTGCGCGGGTATATAGAGTGCCTGCCAACAATTTGGTTGCTCATTCGAGCCATGCTCAACGCTGTCCTCCTCGTCACAAGCTGTGCGACTCTGGCCCTGGGTCAGACGGTTCCCTTCGTGGATCCTCGCTTGAACGGCGGTTCAATGTTGACCCTCCAAAACGAACCTCTGAATGTCCGTCGAACGAAGCGATGTCTCCAGGAAATGTATTGATTAGGATGCGCATTCTTAGATCATTGTCTCCGCCGCCAGCAGCCCGGACGCGCTCAGTCCTCGCGGAATCCTCAACTTCGGAAACGCGCTGGGCTAGTTCGTCGAAACCCATCGTCTCCATCTCCGTCGCCTTGCTGACCCAATCTCGCAAGTGGGGACGACTGCCTGCATATTCATCTCGGGGGGCCGCAAGCAGCCAATCTGGGCGATGGAAACAACTGGGTCAATCAGACGCAGATTATGGTAACAACTGATCCATAGCATCACGTCTCCGTCCATGTAACCGTTGCACAGCGCGAGGATTTCGGGCTTGCACTGGGAACATGCCTCGGCAAGTATCGGTTTTCCGAAATCCGTACGTGATGCTCATCTTTCGCAGAGACGCTGGTCGGCGGGAACCACTACCGGTGACACACTTCTGTCCAAGACTGGCCGCCGGATCGCTTACATGTCCCACAGCGCGTTCATTCAAAACGGCACGGGGGCTGACACCGGGGCCCTGTTCTTGGCGTCAGTGGTTCTGGAATATCAGGGGGGCCGGCTGCTGACTCTCCGACCTACCAAGAGCATCGAAAGAAGAACCAATTGCACAAGGCCACAATATCATCCCTGACGGGTACGACATTGGCCGGTACGAGCTTGTTCATATGACAGAAACCAATCGGCTCAGGCGTTTGTCCAGGGACCAAGTCGTCTCTGCAGCCACAGCCGGTGTGGTCTCGTTCGACGGGGTCCAGTATACCGTCAGTACCTCAACGCGCGCGCCTAGAATCCGACTGAGCGTAATTCAGACGACTGCAGAATACGTGACAGGCCTGCTTCCCGTCGGTGCTGCCGGGATCAACCACAGTACGCACACGAACGAAGACCAGTTCAGTTCAGCAACCATCTAATCTTATCTGGATCACAGATATCTCAATCGATGGCCGGGTGGCTGTGATGACCATTGAAGCGGTGGCGCATTCCCCCTTCTGTTCGAGCCACAGACCGTCTGATGTTTCTCCTAGAGCGTGATTGGTTCTGATTTGAACTGCAAAGGATCATCCCTGTGCTCGATTCTCTCTGCCTCAGACTGCTCTGCCGCTCAAGCCAAAATCAACAACTCGACAATCTACCGCACAGATGGGTACGTGATCTTTGAAGGAAGTTTTCCGGTCTACTTGACAAGCTCGCAGAACCGCCGCTCTGACCGGAGTCTGCTCTGGCCACTGCGGCATTTTCGTACAAGGAACGGACTGCAGATATTATGGGGACACCATGCTTCAAGGTAGGTAGATACACAATGAGCCTGTGGCCAATTCACGTGCTCACTGACGCACACAGCTGTCGCCGCGCTGCACGGAAACAGCTGCCAGAAATGTGGCTCGAAACGATTTGCAGATGGCTGCGAAATCACCATCAACTACGTCTCGTCCTGTTGATTATCGTATCTTATCGCATCTTATCAAATCACGTTTCATCTACCGCATCTCGACCAAGCGCGTGGTCCGAATCCGCGCTCACTGCCCAGGGCCGAGTCGACGACCTTCATCATAGCCAGGACCTTCTCGTCCTCCCAGATTCTCCCGACGAGCTGGATGCCCACGGGCAGACCCACCATCGACACCGGGTCGTAGATGGGCTTGCGCCCCGCGTAAAGCAGGCGCTCCACCATGGAGATGCCGGGCATCTTCGTCCACAGATCGGTCAGCTTGTCCTGCGCCGGATCGACCCGTGTGACGGGGATGGTTCCGACGGGCGAATTGACCACGTTGTAGAGCACAGTGCTGGACGCCAGCGCGAAGAGGGTCGAGAATGTGCTGAGAATGAATCAGATGTGGTCTCCAAACCATGCACGGTGACCAAGTAAGTACTCATGGGGAATTGCGGGCATCGCTTGGACCGGTGCTATCAGAGCGTCGAGAGCAAATTTGTCCCACACCTGCGATGTGATTAGCTTCAATTGGGGTGGTGATGCGTCAGACTGCGCGCTTACCTCCTTGTAGAACGTGCTGTTGTACTGGTTCCGACGAGCAATCCATTTGTACAGATCAAATACGGGCTTGGATCCTGTGCTGCGCAGTATCCCAGCAAACTTCGGATCCTGCAAAGCGTTTACGGGAGGTCAAATGCAGAAAGGAGCTACTCGCTCCCAGAAAATGCTCGACCACCCAGGCAAGAATCCGTCGGATGAAACCCGGCATCTTCGTTCCATGAGCTACAAGGAACAGAGTCGAATCCTGGCAGACGCTGAGCCAAGGTCTCCATGTGCTTGCAGTCCTAACTTTACCAGCGGATCCGATCCAACACCGGATAGCAGAGTCTTGTATCCGTCCGCCGAGGTTGCGCCAACAAAGACCTCGAATGGTTCACGCGCTGGAAAGCAAAAGATCAAAGACAAGGACACCCGAAATTACTCGTCGCTGACCATTCGGGACCTCAATCTCGATACATTCGTGGCCTTGCGCCCGCAGCGCGGCGACGGTCTCGAGGACGGCTCTCTTGGCAGCAGGAGACGACTTGAAGTAAAAGTCTGCACACAAATTCACACCTTGTGCAAGATTTGCGAGGATGGGCGCACCAGTGTAGTAGCCAAACCGCAGCTTCTCCGGCAGCGTCTGATCTCTGTATGGAATAGGCGCTACCGTGAGACTGCGCTGAGCCGCTCCAAACGCCAGGCGGCAGAACAGATCCAGGTCCGCCACAGAGCTGCGATGCGTCACCAAACCTGAGAAAGATCATCCAGCGAGGCCGTTCCACACACCGTGCCATTGGGCCTGGGACCGGAGTGATCCCTTCGGCACCAGGGAGCCCCGCTGCCGCTCGTCAACACGTGAGAACGTCACAACTCAGGTCGAAACGCGCACAAGCTCCAATATAGGAGACCCGCTGGAGACCAGGCTTGAAGGAGTAGATGCCTAGTCACGGTTCGTCAGTGGGCGAGTCGCAAACGCCCGTGCGTACGTACCGCAATAGGAGGCCGGAATGCGAAGACTGCCTCCGATGTCGCTGCCCACACCCAGCGGCGACCCGTCCATGGCAATCAACGCAGCCTCCCCGCCCGAGCTAATTAACACACATCACCATTCACGAACCCGCAAGCACGATCTCACTGGGCGCCGCACTCACCTGCCACCGGGTGTATGGCTCGCGTTATAAGGATTGGTAGTCCGGCCAAAGACAGGGTTAGTGCATTCGAACGAGAACATCGTCTGCGGAACATTGGTCTTGACGAACGGGATCCCCCCAGCGGACTTGAGTAGCGCCACAATCTTGCGAAGTAGGGTCAGTAGCTCAATAAACTCGAAGCTCAGCAGAGAAGCACACACATCCGCATCGGTCTCGGCCGGTTGGTTCAGACGCGCGCTAAATCCAATAGAGGAGTCGAAGCCGGCGATATCAACTGCGAGCGGTTTAGCATCCGCGCGTATGCAAGGACACACAGAAAGCGATGGCGCACATACATAAGTCTTTGATGCTGATGGGAACACCGTGCAACGGCCCTCGAAGCTGCTTCGTAGCTGCAAACTCGGCATCCAGCTCCCGCGCCTGCTGCTGCGCCTGTTGAAATAGGACTTGATTCTCGCTCAGCGCCGGGATGCAGTCTTGCACCGAGTAGACATGGTCGCTCACTTTCGGTCAAGCAATGGGTGGTCTTGTGAGCAGCCACAGCCTGTGCAATGAACACGTCGACCACGCGCGACGCCGTCCATTCTCCTCTAGAAATGCCCGCCACGATTTCGGTCGCGGTGGCGTTGAGGATCGCATCCGAGTCCTTCGAGTCAACGGCAGCCAGTGTCACATTTGCGATGAGGGCGTCCCGCTGCTGCAGCTTGGGGTCCACAATTCGGCGGAAGGACGAAGAAAAGGGCCACATCACACGGCTCCTGTGGTCTGGCCGTGGCCGTACAAGTGGGGTGGCAAGAGCAGAAAGTCGCTATCTTCGAAGAACTATTCACATGCCATATAAGGGGTCACACTGGTCATTTACCGAGGATAGGGATGCTCGGGCAGGTTCCACCCCGGACCGTCCGAGTGAGAGAGGGTTTCACAGTCGAACTCGATCGAATCAACGATACACAGCAGCTTATTTACTTGATTTACATAGGTCAATGTTCTTTTCCCCTCGAGTCCCAGTCATGGAACTCTCCCTGCCAATAGGCACTATGTATGAGGGAACTTGTGAGCGAATTCAGTGGAGGAAAGCAATCGGCCACATACGGAGGTAAATCCAAAACTGGCGGAGGCCCGGGCGGAGGAATATCCGCATAGTTTGCTGTAGGAGTCCGATCAAAAGAAGACACGATGCACACCGGCGAGTCGGATTGCATGTCGTTTCCGATGCCAGGGAAAGGGACAAGCAACCGGAAAGCATACTGTCACGGAGATGAGATTGGATGACGCCTTCACCGATCAGCGAATTAGGCACTCACATCCCAAGAGAGGATATCAGAGCTGAACGTCGGAGGGACAGGGAGGAAGGCCACCCCGTGCATGCGCGCCGTGCGACGCCAGATGCCCTTTCCCTGGTCCTGCTCGGACGGGATCCACTCAGGCGGATCTCGCTCCATCTCATGTTGCCGGCTCCCCGCCGTTGCTCCCGTCTGTCCCAGAAGGAGGACAGTCTCCGTGCAGCGGTCGCTCCTCGTCGCAGTGATCATTCGCACGTGGCGGATCAACGTGAGCTCGAGCTCCGAGAAGTTGCTTGGTGGTTCCGGAAACACCGGTTTCCCTGAGTGCGTCGGGCCTTGAGAGTGCTGCATAGGCTTGGTGTCGGTGGTGATCACAATCCGGAAAGGAATCTCCGTCGACATGGGCAGTGCAGGCAGAACAGGGAGAACCAGCTGGGCGCGCGAGATGAGTCGACATCAATATCGTTGAGAGGTCATACACACCGTGGTCTTGACTTGAGAATAAGACCCCCATATCCCACGGCGTATCTCAGTCCGATGTTCCACACCCTTCCAATCTCCAGACCATCCTGATATCAATAGTCTACGGAGATTGACAGCATCAGGCGTAGCGGCCGGGATGACGGGGAATATAGCGCCGATACGACGGTTGGATTTGAACAGTCCTGGGCGGTCTCCGACGACTTCGATACTAAACGAGATAATCCCTTTCTGCGAAGAACCATCGCAATGGAATGAAGGCGGCAGATTCGGGGGGAGTTGGAACCGGAAGGGCAGATGAAGCACATCGCTCGTAGGTTGCCGCCTGTCGTTACGAGTCCATAGTGTGGCATCCGAACGCAGCAGTTCCACTCGTCGGCGTTGCGTGTCGCGGTTCGTGAAGGAAGTGTTTCCTGACTGACGATGTTTCGTAACAGTGATTTCGACGTCTACATAGCCCAGCGCGATCAGCCGGGGAAGCATGTAACCGGGACCACCGATCACCTACAGATAGAACCTCTCAGCTTGACGCGGACGTTTTCGATACCATCTGCAGCTGCCCCGGCTACGTTTGAGTCGACATGACCTTCGAGACTCTCATCGCCGACTCGCACTCGCTCGGACAGGTGCAATTTCATAGAGCGGGAAGTCATGGAAAGGAGCTAAGCTTTCGGCTTGGAGCGCACATTCATCGAGCGCCATAATAGCGATGTTAGAGTTCTCGACAAGTATATTACACAGCCACCATCAACAACAGCCGCCTACCACCTCGGAGTGCATCTGCAGACTGATGTCCGTTACTTGAAACGCTGCCCCGACAAGGGAAGGTAGGTAGATAGATAGATTACCGACGCGGTCCCAACCGAGAACGGCCAGAGTCCGTACTACATACATGCGTCACGTGTATGCTACGGGTATCGAAGGATGGACAAAATGATAAATAGAGTCGTCCAGTTCGTGGCATGGTCATTAGAGTCATCACAGTAAGTAAGGAGTGTGTGTGTCAGATACAATACAGATGAATAAGGTGAGTACATAAAAGTGATTAAATACTTAGTGAGCGAGAGTGGGTATCCGGGACAGTCTCCGGGAAGAGGGTATCAGGCTATTTTCTTTCTCCCCGAGCTCTGTGGCGCTTGATGCCGGTTTGGAGACCTTTCTCGATGTCGGACTGACGGTTGATCCCACGACGGAAGGCCGAGGGCGCAAGGGAGGTCCCGTGATGCCACGCACTGGAGGAGGCTTGGACGTCGAAGCAAGACGCGTCGGCACCGGCTTCGGTTGGATTTTGGAGGTGTTTTCGCCGGATGGCTTGCGTTCACGACTGTGATCCAGTCCAGACTCGGAGGCGATAGACGACGGGCGGGAGATTCGGGTAGACTGCACCGACGAGTCTCGACGCACCATGGGTTTGACTCCGCTCCCAGCAATACTGCCGCTTGGTCTGTGAAGACTGGGCCGCCGTTTGAGCTGGAAAGCGGTTACACTCCACAAAGTCTCGAGATCGATAAGCAAGACACACCAGATCGAGCTCTTGCTGTTTCGAGTCCAGAGTCGCATTCAAGCCCGCCAAATCTTGCGTATGTTGCTCGCTCATCTGGGCGACGAGAACATCTTTGTCGATGGCCTGTTGCTCGAGTTCTCGGTTCCGATCTTCCAGCTCTTTGAACTTGAGTTGGAGGCGAGTGTTTTCTGCTTCCGATGACTGCTCCATCTGACGAATCTGCGCCTGGAGCTGCTCGATGTCCATGGCTGCTCTCCGCCTGTCTTCCGAGTCCTTGGCCGCTTCAGCATCACGAATCCGAATGGTTGCCTCCAACCGCGAGACAGAGTCTAATGCGTATTGACGCTCGTGCTGCAAATCCTGTGCTCGCTGCTCGAGTGACCTCGAACGCGATTCCTCTTCTCGGAGACGAGAATTCAGCTGAGATTCAGCTAAGCCGTCGGTCTAGAATGAAATAAAGAACAACATTACACACCTTCTCGACAGTATCCTTACCGACAGAAACGGTACTCAGTTCGTGTTGAAGCTCGGTGACTTTGCGTTCAGCCTTTCTCAACTCCAAGTCAGACGAGGTGCTTTTGTCCTGGATTTTCGACACTTGAAGTCGAAGGGAATCGCGTTCCATGGCCAGAGCACATTTTTGAGCCTCGACTGATTCCAAATTTCGTGCTGCCTTCTCCTCGCGCTCTTGGCCAGCAAGGAGTTGGACTTTGAAAGCAGCGAGCAGTTCAACTTGAGCATCCTTCATGGCAAGCTTTTCGACATCGTGTTGCTCCTTCTCCTCGGCCAGCTGCTTCTCCAGGGAGTCCACCATTCCTTTGAGATTGGCGTGCTGCCTCTGCAACTCTTCTTTCTCGCTCAGACTGCCCAAAGAGGCCCGAAGCATAGCAGCTTCCGTCCGTTTTTCACCGGCGAGTTTCTCAAGCCGCCGGATCTCGTCTCGAAGCACAGTCTCGGTGCGTTTCCAAGAGTCGCGGTCCCGCTCCAGGCCAGATATCTGACGATGCAACGCGCGTAAAGCTTCACCACTTGCCTCGTCCATCACGCTCCGTTCCATGCTCTCTTGACGAGAATGATCCACTTCGTCTTCTAACATCTGGCAAGTGCGCTCGAGCTCCATGGCCTTCTTTTTCCAGGCACGGAGGAATTTGCGTTTCTTCGCGTCCTCGGTTTCTGTTTCCGCTAGCTGCTTTTGTAGCACAGCCAAACTCTCGTCCCGAGCGCGCAGATCCGACTCGTACTGTCCACAAAGTTCGGTTTGCATATCTAGTTGCGCCTGCAGCGAGAAGATCATGCTTTCTTCCTTCGATGCCGTTCGCACGTGGCGCTTGCCGCCGTTGGGCGGTGTCGTTGGTATCATTGTCTGAGGCGTGTAGTATGTTTTCGCGTGCACACTGAAAGGATCAGGCTCCTGTCCCTTCGATCCAGGAGACTGGGGCGGTGTGTGCAGCAGAGACGAAAACGCACTATCGCTAAGAGAGCGACTTCGCAGTGAAGAACTTGTTCCCGAAACATCCGAAGTTTTGGACATCAGCGAAGATTTCCCACTCGATGAGCGCTTCGACTGGGATGGTTCTGGATAGAAGACCTGTTGCCCGAAGCTGAATGAGGCACTACGGTCGTGCGAGCGGACGTGTTCGTCGGCGAGATCTGTCGTCAAAACAGGTGATGCAGGCGCCGAGTCCTTATGAGGAGTCGACGTGAATACAGCGTCTGAATGGGGTTGCCGTCCAGAGGTGGACGAAGAAAAAGCATGAATGTCGTGGTTGTCGATAAAAGTCGTAATATGTGCAGGGGATGAAGCGGGGGAGTCGCGAACCTTCTCCATCGGAGCGAAGATTTGAGCAATCGTCGGTCGGTTACGGGACGACGGCAATCTTGGCATGGCCGTAAATGTCCCAACCGTCGGAGCATTCGATTGTCTCAAACTCCCTAGAAACACGTCTTCTGGCGGTGTAGATTGCGATATCGTGGGCCTGAGGTCCTGTACCCGAGCCAGCAAAGGAGTGTCGCGCTCGTTACTTGAAAAGAAGCGCACACTTTTGCCGGTGCCCGGCGTGTTGGGCTCGCGCAGGATGGAACGAACAGAGTCCTCTGTCCCTGAGGCAGAGTTCGAGGATGACGAGGACTCTTTCCGACGCGAGATAGTTCCAAGTGGAGAGGTTGGCCGAGGCTCTGGGGTGTGTGACCTGAGCGCGTCTAGGGACGGTCTACGCGTCAAAAGGTTGAAGGAGGCTCGGCGCAGAGCTTTCGATTTCGGCTTGGGAAGAACTTCCTGCGAGGCACGTCGAAGGAGGTCTTTCGGGGACTTCTCGGTGACGTTGAGCTGAGAGCCTGGAGAACATGTTACTGACATAGAGCGGGGATGCTGAGCAGGACTCACCACTGCCGGGCAGATTGAATGTGGACCTTACTTTCTTCGGAATACTCTGAAGCTTGAGAGGGGACGCTAGTTTCAGAGAACCGTCCTCTCTGTGTAGCTTCAGGCCGCCTTTGCGCCCGACAGTGCTTTTCAACGGAGAAGATGGGCCAGCCACGGCCTCCGTGGGGAAAGCGTAGTCTTCTGGCGGATCCACCTGGCCCTGCTTCGACTTCAGGATCTTGTTCCACATTATCGTCGCGCAGGCACAGGGTTAGAGGTCCGTGGAATGTCGTCACGGTGGGAAAGGGAGCAGTTCAACACATATCACGTGGCCGTGGACCCACGTGTTTGCCTATTCTTGTCCCCGCACAGCATGACATTGACAGGCCAAAGCCGACACCAACGTTCTCTTCTTCGTCCTAAGTCCATTCCAGTACCTCCCCTTGTATCGCCGGCCGAATCTTTGGACATTCTACAGCTTCAGACACGACATGTCAACGGCGCCCAAAGATGTTGAGGAAAGCGACCCTAAAGCTTTTCTCAACTCGTTCTTCATGATTCTTGCATCAGAAATTGGTGACAAGACTTTCCTCATTGCAGCCATTCTCGCCATGCGCCATCCGAGGATAGTCGTCTTTGCTGGAGCCTTTGGCTCTCTTGTTGTCATGTCCATGCTATCAGCGGAGATGGGACACATTCTTCCGACCCTCATTCCAAAGAAATGGACACAAGCTGCCGCCGCCGTGTTATTCTTTGTTTTCGGTGGCAAGATGCTGATGGAGGGGCGGGCTATGGCGGCTGGTAATGACAAAATACGCGAGGAGATGAAGGAAGCGGAGGAGGAGATCGACGATGACGACGGACAACCTGCTATACCTCTGGAGGACCTCGAAGGTGGAACGGCTCAACCGAGAAGCACGATATCAGAGAGCCGACCTCACTCGACTGCTGAAGGCATTCGGAACTTTTTCAGCTTCTTCTTAGGCCCTGTCTTTGTGCAAGCATTCATTCTCACTTTCCTCGGTGAGTGGGGGGATCGCAGTCAAATAGCCACGATTGCACTCGGAGCAGCCCATGTTAGTACAACCTAGTCGTCCTGATCAGTCACGCTCAGTTCTCCACAGAATGTATACATCGTTACTGCTGGTACTGTGATAGGCCATTCCTTGTGTACGGCTCTGGCGGTCGTTGGTGGCCGTTATGTTTCTACGAAGATATCTGTCAAGCATGGTGCGTGGTCTCAATTCCCAAGGTCCTTTCGCTCAACCTTGTATAGTCACTCTTGGCGGCGCTGTTCTGTTCCTCGTTTTCGGTGTCATCTACTTGTTCGAGGCATTCGGTAGGGACAGAAGCATGAACGAAATCGACATGACCATTCCCGGCGAAAACAGTCTCATATAGCTGACAACTCTCCTGCATTTGTCCAACAACCTAGAGCCTATTCAATAACTCTCCAGTGCGCTCGAAACTTGTATGTATATATATACGTACTTGTTCATCTAGCCGAGTACATACTGCAGATCAAAATCATAATCATTCTGGATTTGTGACGCGACTCGAAAGATCACGTCACGTGTGAACGCGTCACATATCACGGTAATTTAAAACTCTTTTGTTGCCCCCACACTCTGCTCCTACAGCAAGATGGATTCTCCTCGTGCTACCCGTCGCTCTACGCGACTCGCTGCGAGCAGCCTCAACTCACCAGCAACAACAATCTCCACCACCAATCCATCCTCGGCTTGCTCGACTGTGGCTGAGCCTATTGACACCCCTCCGACTTCAGGTGACGAGTCAGATGTTGAACTCCCTCTCCTGGCAGTGAAAGGAAAGGAGCGAGCTGCTAAACCCACAAGGCCGACAGCCAAGGGGAGAACCAACTCGCAGCAGGTTTTTGTAGAGATCGTACGGCCTACGAATGCTTCAGTCGGGCCCACTTCACAAGAACGTAAAGTGAGACATCGAATTCTTTCTAACAGGCCTTGAATCCTTATAATCATTCTGAAGGCTCCCGCGAAGGGCAAGGGAAAAGCCAGAGCAGCTCGTTCGCCTTCTCCTATCGACGATAATATAAGCGAGGTGGCCCTCGAGTACGACGAAGCGGCCGAGATTGAAGAATCTGAGGACAGTGGCTCAGAATTCATTGTGTCGGACATTGAGAGCGTTGGGAATGCTCTTCAGTCTGAGGGTGATGCTGACGAGAATCCTGACGAGGACGATGAGATAATGCTTGACGCTGCCATCCGGATCTCGCTACAAGCCAACAATACCGCCAGCTCTTCGTCATCCAGGTTGATATCCGCAAATCCTGCGGCTATTTTGCGAGCAGCAGCAGCCGAAGCACGGCTGACTCGATCTCAGCAGGGCGTCAGCGACGTCGTCGATGATTCTGCCATGGATGTTGACGAAAGTGATCTGTCCAGTGCTCCAGAGTCGGATGCCGATATACCAGCAGCGAAAAAGAAAGGAAAGGGGAAGAAGAAAGCAACCGCTCGCTCCTCACCAAAGCGGATGACGTTAAAAGAGATGCGGGCTGCTAGACGGATCAGCAAGCGAGAGAATCTCGCGGAAGAACGCGCGCTGAGGAAGGAGCTTGGGCGGCGTCTCACGCATGTTCGCACCTTTCTCTCCGCTCTCCCTGACCGGTCTGATTGCAATAGGCTGAGAAATCGACCATTGCCCTGCACAAGCACCATCCAGAGCTCAAAAACGTGTGGGGTGATCTTGCTTCCAAGATACCGGTCCCTGTGCCAGAGGAAGCGCAGCAGCCTTTAAACCTGAAGTTGACAATGCTTCCGTTCCAGCGCGAAAGTCTCCTGTGGATGAAAAAGCAAGAGCAAGGCGTCTGGAACGGAGGGATGCTTGCTGTGAGTCACTTGAATACACGCTACTAACCTGTATTGACCATCCAGGATGAAATGGGAATGGGCAAGACCATACAAATGATTGCTTTGCTAGTTTCAGACGATGCGAAGCCGAATCTTGTCGTCGCGTGAGTGTCTGCCCCAGCTTTACATAACTTTGCTAATAACCAATGTCTAGGCCCACTGTTGCCATTATGCAATGGAAGAACGAAAGTCAGTGCAATCTGCACCGCGACGGAGGCTTTGCTGATCACCTCCCAGTCTCGGCACACACCGACGGTCTGCGTGTCCTTGTCTGGCACGGAGCGGGCCGAGAGTCGAAAGTTAGCGAGCTGGAAAAATTCGACGTCGTTCTCACGACCTACTCTGTACTCGAGAGCTGCTTCCGGAAGCAGGAGCTGGGCTTCAAAAGAAAGGGCCACATCGTCAAAGAACGGTCTCCGTTGCATGCGGCCAAATGGGACAGAATCATTGTACATATCACTGCTCTCCTCCCGCATGCCAAGTTCACATTCTTCTCAGCTTGACGAGGCCCACAACATTAAGGAGCGCTCGACCAACACAGCAAAGGCAGCGTTCGAGCTGCAAGCCCGGGCTCGATGGTGCCTTTCGGGAACGCCCTTGCAAAATCGTGTTGGAGAGCTTTACAGTTTGGTCAGATTCCTCGGGGGTGACCCATTCAGCTTCTATTTCTGTGAGTGCAGGCCATGCGTCTGCTATGTCTGCTCAGCTCCCTTTGCAGGTAAAAAGTGTGAATGCAAGTCGCTGCATTGGAAGTTCTCCGACCGCAAATCTTGTGACGGTACGTTTGACTTTGCTCGTCCGCCTATCTTCGTGTATTCTGACACAATATCAGGCTGTGGTCACAGTCCCATGCAGCATGTCGGGTGCCCTCAACGATTGAATTTACTGACAACTGACTCCAACTTCAGACTTGTTTCTGGAACAACGAGATTCTCACCCCGATCCAAAAACACGCCATGGCCGGGCCTGGAGAAACTGCTTTCAAGAAACTCAAGATTCTTTTAGATCGGATGATGCTTCGACGCACCAAGTTACAACGGGCGGATGATCTTGGTCTTCCGCCACGTACTGTAATCGTCCGCCGTGATCATTTTAGTCCCGAGGAGAAGGAGCTATATATTTCCTTGTTCTCCGACGCAAAACGGCAGTTTAGCACCTATCTAGACGAGGGCACAGTCTTGAACAGTGCGGCATTCTTTCCTCAGCCTTTTACAATACATACTAACCAAGCATAGATTATTCGAACATCTTCAGTTTGTGAGTCCTTCAACTGAACGATGAAACGCACATGAATCGTGCGCAGGCTTACCCGAATGCGTCAAATGGCATGCCACCCGGATCTTGTACTGAGGAGTAAGACCAGCGCAGCAAAGTTTTTCAAGGACGAAGCGGACGAGTCCACTGTGTGTCGAATCTGCAATGATGTTGCCGAGGATGCGATTCAGTCAAAATGTCGCCACATTTTCGATCGCGAGTGCATCAAACAATATCTCGATACCGCAATGGAACATCAGGTCGAATTCATTTTTGCCGCCCTTGGTCTGTACTGATGATCAAGACAGCCAGATTGCCCAGTCTGCCATCTTCCTCTGACAATCGACCTCGACGCGCCTGCACTCGAGTTGGAGCAAAATCTGCCCAATGCGCGCCAAGGGATCCTAGGTCGACTCAACTTGGACAAATGGCGCTCGTCGACCAAGATCGAGGCACTGGTTGAAGAGCTGAGCAATCTGCGGACGAAGGATGCCACCACGAAAAGCCTTGTCTTTTCTCAATTTGTGAACTTCTTGGATCTCATTGCCTTCCGTCTGCAACGAGCCGGTTTCAAAATCTGTCGTCTTGAGGGCACAATGTCCCCGCAGGCCCGAGATGCGACAATCAAACACTTCAGTGAGTAATCTCGTCATTAGCCACAAGAGGTGTTTATGCGGCGTCTAGTGAATAACGTCGAGGTGACGGTCTTCCTCGTCAGTCTGAAAGCGGGCGGTGTTGCTCTGAATTTGACCGAGGCTTCGCGGGTCTATCTGATGGACAGTTGGTGGAATCCTGCTGTGAGAGCTTTGCTTCGAAGTTGGTTATTGCAGATGATCAACTTTTTGCAGGTTGAATTCCAGGCTATGGATCGTATCCACCGTCTGGGCCAGCGTAGGCCAGTGAAGGCAATCAAGCTCGTCGTTGAGGATTCTATCGAGAGTCGTATCGTTCAGCTGCAAGAAAAGAAGTCGGCAATGATCAACGCTACGCTCTCAACGGATGATGCAGTCAGTCTTTGAGCCTTACGGATGACACCCTCACTAACGGATCTCTCCTTACCCAGGCCATGGGACGTTTGACACCCGGAGATGTAAGTCGGTCTGCATATCTTCTGGCTGATGGCTGACTGTGACGACACTCAGCTGTCTTTCCTGTTCCGTCTCTGAGACCTGGCGATATCCCAGAAGCAAGGAAGCGTGTTGACGGATGTGACCGCATGCATGACCAATACAGATAGTAGAAATACAGTAGACATCATTTGTCTTTTCCAGAATCACTGACCCCGCGCTTGAATGGATTCCGGCTTTTCTTTTCGCCATCACTGGAGGAAGACCGCGCAGTGGAAAGCGCGGGAGGGGACAGGGTCGGCGACGAGTCCAGCGCCCCATTCTTGCGGAATGATGCCGCGTTGACGGCTTTCACAAAGTTCCTGCAGATACTGAACACCCCTGCTGACGCGAGCCACTGCGACTAGTACGCACCTTTGTGTGGCGTCCACGTAATCCTCTCTGTCGAAGCGCTTGGATGTCTTCACTTCCACGCCTTTGTCCGTGACGAGCACTGCAATTCGCGTCATATGTATCGTTATGCGGCCGTAGGCCTAAGGGGCGGAACGCTAACGCACTTCCTTTATTTTTTAGGCTATACAACGCGTTTAGCATCGCCGCAGTGGATGGAGGCCGCTGATTACTTACCCTTCCTTGGCAGACTCGATGCCCTGAGACACCGAGCGCACGAGCAGCAGCGCACCGTACACGATGCCCGCAAACACGGATATCGTCTGGCGCGAAGCTCGTCAGTTGGAATATTCCTCGGTATGACTGTGAGGTTCGCAGTATCTTACAGCAATGAGAGCGATGAGATCCAGCCTGGGGAGGTTCAGACTTGAATCACATGCACACGACCAGGTGCAGTGGAGTGGGCGCACCAGCTTGCCATCGCGTGATTGATGCTCGATTGAGATTGCGAGAGACGAGAGATGGATCAGACGAGCAGGCAGGTGGTACGAAGTGAGTTGGGATGTAGCCAACGAACGAGAAGAATAGAAGAAGGTTGGGCCCGTGATTTCACTTGATTGACAACGGAAGTCCTGAGATGCTGTGCAGAACGTCATCGAGCGTGCCAAACAGAGGACATCAAAGCATCTCCATAGAGTGAGTGAGTGGGACTACCTAAGGCTACAGGATTTAGTATTGTTCTCATGGATGGTAGTAGTACAGATGAGGTTTATGCGGGATGTGGGGGTGGGGGTAGCGGTGTCGTAATAAGTATGCTGTAAGCAGAGAGATTAAGTTACAAGTCTACTGCGTGCCATCAACTTGCGCGGCGCTGTTGGCCAGCTTTGTCTCGTCTCTGACCTGGCGCAGCGCGGCTTCGGGGACCATCGACCCTTCCGGATGAGGGGGCTTGAAGGTGCGCATCTGGATGTCCAGTTGCTCGTCGAAAACGGCCGCGCCGCAAGAGGCGGCGACGAAGCCCAGGAACGGGGGAGATGGGTTCAGCGGTCGGGTGCAGAACTCCGGGTGAGCTTGCAGGCCGACGAAAAACGGATGGCCCTTGAGCTCGAGGATTTGCATTCGCTCGCCCTTCTCGTCCTTGCCTATGAAGGACATCCCGCTTTCCTGCAATCTCTCGACCAGGTCCGGATTAACTTCATATCGATGCCGGTGACGCTCCCAGATTTCCGGTGCGCCTCCATACAACTTTCGGACGCTGGACCAAGTCTCCGAGCCGTCTTGGAACACGGTAGGCCGTAGTCCGAGACGCATCGTTCCGCCCATATGCGTCTTGGAGATCTCTGGCATAAAGATGATGAACGGGGAGGGCGGCTCGGCGACGAATTCAGTGGAAGTCGCATCTGGTGGGATGGGATGGGATTCGGTGCATTCAAAGAAAGGAGAAGCACACCTTTGACGCCTAAAACATTACGGGCCCACTCAACGACAGCAAGCTGGAAGCCAAGACATATGCCGAGGTACGGGATCTTGTACTCTCGGGCATGAGTGATCGCCAACAGCATGCCTTCTGTGCCACGTTCACCGAATCCACCGGGAACGAGAATTCCACTTGCGAGAGAGATGATCAGCCCCGATTCAGCAATTAGGCATTCGGCTTACTTTGCACCGACCACTGCACGCCAGGCATCGTGATACTGGGCAGGGTTTGTGCCCTGGACACCAAGCTCGAGATCAGACGATTCAACCCACTGCAAATAATGATTTATCAAGGCGCTGTACATAGTACTGATCGGGATTAGAACTCACGTTGATAACAAGTTTACGGTGAACTCGAAAAGCCGAGTGCTCCAACGCTTTCGTGACAGACATGTACGAGTCTTTCAGGTCAGTGTATTTGCCGACCAGAGCAATGGTAACAGTGTCGAACAATCGCTCTTGCCTGCATGCAGAGTCAAGCAGGGATTGATCGATCAGAACCCAATCCACACGCACCCAGTTGTCAAATCCTTCCAGCGTTTCTGGAGGGTCTCTCCCTTCAACGTCATCTCCTTCGGCAGTTTCAGCGAATCCAGGTTCAGTCTCTTGCGTAGATAATTGATGATCCCTTGTGATTGCAGGAGGAGGGGGACGTGGTAAACAGAAGACACGTCGTGGACCCCCAGCACTTGTTCTGGTGCGACGTGACAGAACATCGAGATTTTTTCTTTTGTTGCTGGCTGCAGAGGATCGGGGCCGAGTAAACGACAGGCGATCTAGATAGCAATGAGACAATTTCATGGCGGAGAAAACGTGAACGGACCAGGTCGGGGAGAAGACCAAGCCCTCGCAGCGAGTGGATCGTAGTTTGAGTCGGCTTGGTTTTCTGCTCGCCGTGCATATCTGGAACAAGCGAGACGTGGACTAGAGCGAAGTTTTCATGGCCGACGCGGAACTGAAATTGTCGCATGGCTTCGACGAACGGAGCAGACTCGATATCTCCGACGGTGCCTCCGAGCTACATTCTTCGTCAGCTCCATTTTTACAAGTGAAAAAAAGAACAGCGGCGAACCTCAACTATACAAACATCAGGTTCCTCGCCTGTGTCGTCGACAGGAATTTTAGCAACACGCTCGATCCAGTCTTGAATTCCATTGGTAACGTGTGGGACAATCTGTGTTCAATGTAAGGGTCCTAGCGAAAGGGAATCAACCTATGACATACCTGGACTGTTTTCCCCAGATATTCTCCTTTCCGCTGCGTCGCAAAACATGTTCATCTTGGTAACAGTCGCAAAACAGTGCACTGACTTCCTTCTCAATGACCTCCTTATAGATCTTTCCCGTAGTGATGTTGTTATCCCGGGAGAGCGTGACGTTGAGATACCGCTCATAGTTTCCGAGATCAAGATCGACCTCGCCGCCATCGTTCAACACATATACCTCTCCTACATTCGACATCAGCCACAAATCTTGAGATTGTGAAACCTCCATGTACCATGCTCAGTAGGTCGCATGGTTCCGGCATCGATGTTCATGTAAGGATCTATTTTGATCGCAGTGACTTTTAGGCCGGTGGTTTTGAGGAGGAGACCAGTGGAGGAGGCTGGCGAAGCGCCGTTACGTCAACATCAAGCTCCAGATCGCACAAAACGCGCACCGATAACGCCTTTCCCAATACCACTGATTACACCACCAGAAACGAGAATGTATTTCATCGTAGAAGAGGTGAGGACTCGTGGATGAAAAAAAGGGCGCGACGCGACAAGTCACACAGGAGTCACATGAATTTTTCTGATGGGTGGCTGCACAGCCTCTGCGATCAGCGTGCACCATCACTTGCTTCGGTCCAGTCCAGAGTCGGCGGCAGTCATGGCTTTCAAGCTCAGTCCGAGAATTGCTGATATCCTCCTGAAAGCCAGTTTCACCGTAGTGGGTGGTGTGGTGGGCTCAATGTATGCCACGCACCACCACCACAACAATTTGAAGGGCTTGAAGCAAGACCTAAGCGTTTTACACCCACCGGTAGTGGAATTCGCTCCCGGAGACAAGGCAGTAGAAATTTCGAACGACCCCTTAGTGAAGGAGATACTCAAGTATGGTAATCCGGGTGTGTGTGTATCACTTCTGACTGCCCGCTTCGCTCATGCGTTGCACAGGGCCAGTATCTGATGCTCTCGTCCGTAAAGCCTATGTCGCAGGCTACGACAGACGAATGCGCCACCCAGCATGGGTACGAGGCTCAAGATTTCTTGTTTCTGTGACTTTGACGCGTCCCAGACAGCTGAGCACATTACGGCGGCGTCTCTTCGGCCGGCGCCGGGAGAGAAACAAGGTGACCGGAAGGACTCGCAATTCATTGAAGACGAGGATCTGCCCATACCATTCCGTGCCCGACTTAAGGACTATTTCAGGAGTGGCTATGACCGGGGACATATGTAAGTGGTTTGACGCGTCAGGGCGCTACACGGAACTGACCGAATAGGGTGCCTGCCGCGGATGCTAAGTTCTCGCAGGTGAATTCCATCGGCTTTTGCACCACAGTCTCTTACTCATATGCGCTCAGGATGCCATGAACGAAACGTTCTTATTGTCGAACATGGCTCCGCAGGTTGGAGATGGTTTCAACCGCCATTGTACGACCTTCCCGAGCACTCATACGTGAGATGCTTACAATGATCCATCTACAGATTGGGCTTACCTCGAGGACTGGTGTCGACGACTTACGGGCTCTTTCTCCGATGTCTATGTATTCACCATTCCATTGTACCTCCCTCGGCAAGGGTCGGATGGTAAATGGCGTGTGGTACGGATGATCCCCAGCTGTGTGGCACCAGCTGACGATGGCCCAGACATATGAAGTCATCGGCTCCCCTCCGAACGTCGCAGTTCCGACTCACTTTGCCAAAGTAGTACTAGCTACGAAACCGAGCTCCCCGTCAACACCTGACACACTCGAAATATCTACCGGGGCTTTCGTTTTGCCCAACGCTGCTATTCCGGATGCGACGCCATTAGAGACTTTCTCAATGCCCAGTACGTATCTCTATCCTCTCTGTTTTCGTGTCGTTGAAGCCATCTGTTTGCAGTCGAGGCGGTTGAACATGCCGCAGGGCTTCTACTTTTCTCCAAAGCGGTCAAGGCAGCAGCCAAGCCTATCTGCACAACTTCAAAATGCGAACTCCTCATCCGCAAGTTTGACGAAGCACAAAAGCGACCTAATACGAAGCGTTCGAACTCGGCAGCGTTTTAACAAGTCAAACCCTTCATTACATAGTGATAATCAATGGTCTGAGAGCATGTCCTTTACACTTGCCCAATAATCCCCTCCCACCCGAGTTTCAATCTCCTGCTTGGTGACCCAGGCAAAGTTTTTGATTGAGTCTGCCGGCTTGACTTGCCCCGCCATGATGTGGGCCTTGTAGAAGAAAGTGATGTTCTGTGGGGAATGGAAATCAATTACTTCGTTTAATGGACGACGATGCAGACAAGCCTGTGGTGTAGACGGTGTGACTGCAGCAAGCTGAGGCTTGTGAATTCCTATGGGTTTGCGCGTTACAATCCAAGTGTCCATGGAATCTCCGCAGTTGGATGCCAATTCTCGTTGGGCAACCTATATGCGTTGGTGTTGTTCAAAGCGATCATGTGGACGACAAACCTCGTGCAGCATATCTCCCGACTTGGCCACGCCGTTGGGAAACTCCCAAATAAGCTTGCCATCCTCACCAATTCTCTGGACGAGCAGGTAGATGTTTCTTCGCCCTTTACGATCCAAACTACGGTAGTCGCGCGCCGTGTCAGAAGGATGCACTCGCGGCATGAGTTTATCATCGGAACGCTCCTGGAGCTCCATCTGCTCGATAGCGGCTTTCTCAGCGGCCTTAGCCTCTGCAGACATGTCGTCTTCCTTCGCAAAAGTGGGCCCCCAAGCGATTCTTTCTCGTTGCCGCTCCTCCGAATTAAATCGCGCTTCTAGCAGAGAGCCGGGCTTGAAGTAGAATTCGGAGGGAAAGGGGTTGTGGAGAGAGCGACGGATACGTTGTTGGTATGCGTAAAAAGCTCGTTCGAAGGGTGTAGGACTGGGGGTGAGAAACGGTGCGCGGTTGAGAATGACGGCTGTGTACAAGATAGGCTTGAGAGAGCTTCGAGACCGGGCGGATGAGGCAGGTACATCCGCTACGGTGGCGAGATTCCGAGAAAGCACGCCGTTCCAAGTCCGGCCAGCGCGTCTACATGACGGACCTGCAAGAGCCATTTTGGACTGAAATTTTACACGTGACCCCTTGATGGCCTGGTCGCTTGTCACAGGATTACCGCTTTCGTTCATCCGTCGACCATGTCCCTTTCCCTCGTTTCCAGTCAGTACCTAGATGAGAACTCGGCCAAGATTAGGACCAAGCCTGTACCGTGGGAGGTATATGCTCCGCCGCGTAGATACCTTCCCTGTGCTTTGATCACTTGCAGGGATACCAACGTGCAGACTTAATCACTACGGATGAGCTCTCTCTCATCAAGAAGGTCGATAGGCAGTCGAAGGCAAAGACTGAAGCACTCTTGCTTTCTGACGCTCAGAATTATGCCCTCTTGTATCTTCGACTCCTCAAGAAACTACAGAGAGTCGATACTATGCAGTGCATTCTTGTCCTCATCGGAGATGCCATTGCTGGTGCGTTCGAGCCACATTAACTGCGCAAGTTGATCCTCACCGTAATCGAAGATCACGATGAGCGCATACCTTTGTTCACTCGTGCAGTGGAGTCTGATCCCGAACTCCCCTACGGCCCATTGCTCAGGCAAGCCTTCGACAAACCAATTTATAGGTACCAGATTCTGACATCCACGCAGGGCCCTCGATACCCAAGATGAATTCGTACAACTCAAAGCCGCTCAAATTCTAACCGTGCTCTTGTGGTCGGCATCAAGTTTCCTAATGTTCAGACCTCTTGTACTGATGATATCATCAGCTCAGAATCCACTCTCTTGCAGGCATCACAACTTCACCCATTCCTTACTTTCCTTGCCGGGCTAGTTCAAGGCAACTCTCCGAGCAAATGCGATATCGCGGTACAATGTCTTGAAGCTCTGCTTGCTCGTCCGGAATGCAGGCAGGCTGTCTGGGCTATCCCCGGTGTGACAGCAGGGTAACCGCCAGCGAAAAATCTCGTTTGAGCTTCTTCTGAAGTTTCTTGCCAGCTTTGTTGAAATCCTGAAGCACAAGCCCGGTCCACAGATGACTTATCAGGTCGCTTTCTGTATCTGGCTGCTTTCTTTTGAGCAAGATGTTGCGGAGCAAATCAACAAGTGCGTTTTGTGCATTCTCTGTTCAGTCGATGTCGGGTCTTAACTCTGCTCCAGAAAGTATGACATCATTCCATTATTGATAGATGCCGCCAAGGCTGCTGTGAAGGAGAAAGTTATCAGGGTCATTGTCGCAACGTTCCGGGTAAAGCGACGTGTTCCTTCCGGTCCCCTTGCTGATGTCACATAGAACCTGGTTGTTAAAGCGCCCAGCGCGAATTTGCCCTCGATGCTTGTTGCTCAGTTGCTGCCATTCGTCAAGAATTTATGCACCCGGAAATGGTCGGACGAAGATGTGGTCGAAGATATCCAGTATCTACGCGAGGAATTGGCCTCAAACTTCCAGAGCCTGACGTGCGTCATCCAGTCCGAATCTTCCCCCTTTTGTCTTACGCTTGACACAGAACTTATGACGAGTATAGTTCTGAGCTCTTGTCTGGGCATCTTTCTTGGTCGCCGGTACACGAGTCGGATGATTTCTGGAAGGAGAACGCAACCAAGCTGAACGATAAGGACTATGAGCAACTGAAGTAAGTATTGGTGATTCCTTGTGGCAGAGTTGTCGGACTGAGACTTGATAGGGTTCTTGTTCGGCTGCTGAAGGAGTCAGAGGACCCCGTTGTGCTTGCTGTCGCTGCTCACGATCTCGGCCAATATGTCAAGCACTACGAACGTGGAAAGAAGTACAACTTTCCCTCATTGATGCATGCAAAACTGATCCTGTTTCCGCAAGGCTCCTAAACGATTTCGGCGCGAAAACGCGTGTGATGGAATTGATGACGCATCAAGACTCGGACGTACGATACCGCGCGTTGGTGTCCGTGCAACACCTGGTCAGCCAGCCCTGGGTTACGGTCTAGTCTGCTTGAACACTGCCCGCCTGCATTTTCATAATATATATAGTACAGCTCTGTTAGACCCAGACTTCAGCAACAATGTCCCACTCCTTGAGTGTTTTGGCGTGCTTGTCTTCGTAGCCCTCGGGCTCGTCTAGAAACTTGTCTTCGACGAGAATGACCCGGAGACCACCGACAGTGTTGAATCCAGGGCTGATGGGGACGAAAGCGAACTCAAAGTCCTGCGTGGCCTGCACCAAAATGTCCTGCTCGCCCTCCTCAGCATTACTCGGACGAATCAACTCGATGGGTGGAAGGAACACAGCCGATGGCCCACAAGGAACAATTCCTGAGTTGGACGACCGTAGTTCGTCCGGCCCCTCGAAGAACGGTGGCGGCAGGCCCAACCCTGCTTCATCCTTGGGCACAATTTCTGACAGCTTCTGGTGAGCCAAAGCATAGTTGAATGTCGTAGACATCGGCGACGGGGTTGAGAAACCGGAGATCACCGTTCTCGGACTGTATGGTTCAGGAATCGCAGGCGCTGGATTGAAGATTGCAGGAACTATCGCGCGAGGGCTCTGTAGATGCTGAACGACGAGCCCCAGTCGACGTCGTCGACCCAGAGAGAGAGAGGCAGATACAATCAAGGTGAATTCGATTTCGAACGGGCTATCGAGCTGGATCTTTTCTCGAGCAATTCGCCGTACGACAAGACCGACATCGACGTCGAATGGTGCCGTGCTTGCTGACGGCGCTATCGGGACTATGGGTGGTGGCGTCTGGGTTCTGGTCATTAGCGAAGATGGTGGTCGGTTGCGAAAGGGTGAGCCCGGCCGCACTCCTGTCGGGGATTCAGATCGCGGAGATTGCGGAAGTTGATGGCCACTGCTGGAGGAAGTCCCCCCGCGCTTCAGATGAGGGGGCAGAGCTGAAGCCGGTATTGGCACGGGAAGCAGAGGAATTTTCCGTGAAAGCATAGACGTCAGTAACCGGCCTGGCTCGCCAAACGAGGATCGCCACGAGATATCCAACCGTCCTAACGGGATTATAGATCCAGGAGCTGGGGGCGCGTAGATAACAGCCGGGACTTTGCGCGTGAGAATGTAGATGTACTGGCGCATATCTTGGGGTTGCATAAGAGCCTGTGAGCCAGAAAATGGGCCCTCGGCATCGTGCATCGGGTTTGTGTCAATTGCATCCCAGCCGTCTGCAGATTCAAAGCGCATCCGTTCAAACCACATTGGTTCCGGAGTCATATTTTGAATATGCACCTCTAGAAAGACCTTCTCCCGTTCCACAGCGGACATGAGTGCAGATGGTGAACGCGGACTATGAACTTTCGTCTTCACAGACAACGGATTGGTGACCTGTGCATTTCTTCAGTACGCAGTGAGAAAGTCCTCTGGAGAGGATGAATTGGACCCACAGCAAACTTGTAAAACTTGCGGAAACTTTGCAAAGAGGGATCAACACCCTCACTTGACGACCCTGGAACAGTTCTGGACCCGGGAGGTAGCCGATACGACACTGTGCACGCCAGAACATGCTGGCCAAGCTCCTTGATCTCATGGGTCACGATATTCTCCAGCGTCTCTCCTACACCTAACGCTCCGCCGAGCTCTGCCAAAGTCACCTTCGAAGTCACAGTCTGCATCTCAACCTTTAGTGTCACATCCTCTATCCCCACGTGGGCCTCATTGTTGACACAAAGACAGCTCGAGAACGTCTCACCCAGTTGGATGGAACCGAATGAGGACGGTAATGTGAGAAGTTCAGTGACATGCGTCAGATCGCGCAAGGTCTTGGGGTGCCCTGCCAGAGGAGTTTCGCCTTGTAGTGAAAGGATCGAGACTGTCGAATGGGACTGTACATCGTAAGTGAATAGCGTCGGTAGCACGACGTGACGCACAGAGAAAGATGGGGAGCTAGAGTAGAAGGGTTGCCACGCGCTTGCTATCGATGGCCGCGACACACGCATAACCTTGAGAGACAGGAGATGACCTGAGCCTGAATCACCCATGGCCGCTGAGAGTGAGTACGCGCTGAGGCAAGCCTGATTTGTGGCAGTGTAATCACTTCCAGTAGAAAACATAGATTTATGAGAGCTAGAAAATACTATATGAAGTGCAAACTATTCCGCAGGAATGAAACATAAGGAATGAACGGGAACGATGTGCCAAAGGCGGATGTTTCGTGTACAAAGCTCAAAAGAAAGAGTGACCGTTGATACTTGGGAGATAATGGGTGAAATTGACAGTCAGTTGCCCCGACCGTCAGCTCCTTCTAAGGAATCTGAGCGAACTGAGGTAGCATCGCTTATCAGATCTCCAGCGGCTCATGAGTACGCGCATCGAGCCCACCTCGGGTGTTTGCCTCGCTCAAACCGACTCGGCTGTCGCGGCGAACGAATCCACCAGCACCGGGACCTCTGGGCTGGCGAACGACCCCGCCGGGACTCTCGTGTCCAGCGTTCAGCGAGGGCACAGAGGGAACCGGTGGAACGTTGAATGCCCCCCCTGTCGAAAAGAGCGAGGGAATACCAAAACCGCTTGATTGTCGGCGGGGGGCAGCAATGGTCGCATAGCCCTCCCGGATGTTTCCGTTCGATGAGCGTGGGGCCAACCGCGGGGCCTGCGAGTGCAACGTCTTCATGTCTGGCATTGATTTCTTCACGCGAAGAGCAGGGGACGGAAGCGGAGACGGAGATTGTTGCGCGAGATAAGCGGAAGGGGCACGGGAAAGGGTGCGAGGAGGGTGTTGCTGCTGCTGCGAATAGAAGATCGGTGTCGGTTCAATTTTATACACACTGGTCACTCACCCTGGAAGGATCAATTCTGGTCACGACAGCGTGTCTTTCCTCTCCTTCTCCAACCGAATAGTGGTACACGCCCAGCTTTTGAGCAACCAAGTGAACGACCCGTCGTTGCTTGGGAGTCAGAGCTCTCGAGAAAGCAAGTTCGTCGCGCATACGGTCATCCTTGAACAAGAGTATCATGGAGTAAATTTCCAAGGTAGCGGCATCATTAAGGTCTAGTTCGTTGGCCGATGCCTTCTCGGATGCTGGAGGAGAAATTGGATTTTGGCTCGGCATAGCGGGGGAAGACGCGATAGGATGATTATACGGGGGACCAGGCATCGGTGATACGTTAGTAGGTGAGTATTGCTGCGGGTACTGTGTTCCAGAGAAGGACCGCTGGGTATAATTGGGGGCACCAAATTCATCGTAAGGAGTCGAGGCCGGTGTAACTTGTTCCTTGTCCAGCTGCATAGAACGCATACGGCGGATGGCTTTTTCGCGTTCAATACGCTCCTTCTCCCCAGCTTGAAGCACTTTCTTGTACTCGACACGCAGCTTACGGCCTTGAACATCGAAGCCATTCAACGCAACCACGACAGCATCAGCGTCAGAGGCCTGGCGGAAATTAGCAAAAGCCAGCCCACGGAAAGAGCCCTGCTGATCCAAGTGATAGTTGAATGCATAGGGTGTGGGAATGGAGAGAGAAGCCTAAATTGTACAAACAAAAGATTGCTTAGTGATGCGTGTATAGAGAGGAAAGAGCACTGACAATGATGTCCAGCAACGTCTCCCGCTTGACATTGAAGGGAATGTTTTTGATAACGATGGCGGTGGGGATGATCTCGTCATCCAAGAGGTTTTGGCTGGGGCTGGCACCAATAGGAGGCGGGGAGACCAAGTGGGCGCCGGGCGGAGGAGAACCACCGGTGGAAGAGAAATCCGAGTTGTTGTGGGGCGAAAGAGAGCGGCTGTCGGAGTTGTCGAGCCATTGCTATCCAGATCGTAAGTAAATCAGTATCGCGTAAAAACGGGTACTGGACACACCGTGGGTAGCCCTGCCCGCGCTCCACCCTTGAGACGACCCGGAGACTGACCCACAGTCAAAGGGTTGTACTGAGACTGAATTGGAATTCCCGGAGAAGTGGCAAAGTGATATTGGGGTCTGCTGCCACTGTTGCCTTCGTATTCATAACTTTCGTGAAGACGTTGGTGCGATGAGGAGAGAGAAAGGGTCGAAATGTCAGGCGGTGAGCTCGTCATGTTTATTCGGAGTTCACGCTCGTTAAGACGCTCGTCAAGATTGTAAAGAAAAGAAGGAGAACAAGAGAAATGTACCCTGACTTGGCGGGTGAGTGTGCTTGAGAAGTCGTGACGATCGTGTGACCCTGAGTCACATCAACCTAGGGCATTGTTTCCGGAATTACTGCGTTTTACTCAATCGAGACACTAACGATATTCCTGGCCTTTCTGTAATCGATCGAATGTCAAGGCATTTCAAGCACACCGAGAGGATATCGGCTAATCCATACATCTACGCGACTTTAAACGACCAAAGCGACCGGTTTCATCGGTGTGAGCAACGTCTCGACGTCGATTGGTGTGGTAATTGAACCAGAATGATCCCATGGACCTCTCAGACTTCCCTGGCTGAGCGGACTTGTGGCGGATAAAACAACGTTTGGTAGCGAGCTGTTGGTTGGGATGGAGATGGCTGGAAGGTCCTCAAACTTGCCCGCAAAGACATCCTGAACTCGTGCGTCTTGTCTGGGTGATGCTCCGCGAGCGACAGCCGCTGGCTGGATAAAAGTTGGGCGAGGAACTGAAGGGAGCGTGTGTCTCGGTTTGCTAAGTGACAAGGAATCAACTCAAGTTACAAGAACAAGCTGGTACTCCTTACGTGCGAGGTGGGACCGGTCCTTGAACGAGACGTAGAGAAGAGGGAGGGGAACGGCGCATGGTATGAATATACTACTTCAAACTTGGTAGAGCAGTAATAAGACCGTGTCGCACAGTAGCCAGTACTGCGACGTGGGGGTTAGGGAAGAACGTCCGATTCCGACAAATATCAGGCAACAGATCGGCTGTCGAAATAATGCATTGTGGCCATCGCAACGAACGAAGGGTGGGACCGACAGCAAACCGACAGCAGACACTGTATTTGTATCACAAATACTAAAAGCACACAAAATAATCACAGCTACAACGCCTCTCAAGCAGCATCTTTCAGCGGCCGGTAATGCTTCATGAGCTGTGTTTTGAACGCTATGAAGGAATTTTAGGCATTATTCTTGAGTAGGCAGAAACGTACCGTCTGGTGTAGACCATTGATTAGCCGCGTCAACGTTCAAGGGAGAAGCGTTGTTCGGTTCTGCCCAGGGTCAGATATGCGTCTGCGATGAGTCGAACATGGCCTACCTCCGAGAAGGGACTGCAGTGATAGAAGTATAGTCTGCACACTGTAGACCGCAGACCACTTGTCCTGAAATCCAATTTGAGAGATATGACGAGCTACGGACCGCGAAAATGAGGTTACCTGGAGGATGTCCAAGCAGATCGCACCCGAATTAATGTCAACATTGGGGTGGTAACACGGCGTGTCGAATTTGATCGCAGGAGCAACGTATGGATAATTCGGGGGGAAGGAAATGGAAATACGGAAGGAAAGGCCGGCGTAGATCTATCAGACCGATGCTATAAGTAGCGCACACGAGAGATCGAATGCAGTGGCTCACAGTTTCTGGGGCGCCATCGATCGTTCCTACCCACTCGAAGAGATTCCCATCACTCTTAGGAAATGCGGACTGAACATAAACGGCGTGAATCGGGGAGGCTCGAGAAGCTTGATGCCACCTACAATGCCTGGTGAAGAGGACATCTGGGACGCGTCAAACACACCGAGCGCGGCTAATCGACAAAACGCGCACCATGAGAGTCATAAGCTCGCTAGTCAGCCTAGTATCGATAGTTATTAGCATTCAGGTTCATGGACTCAACACGAGGCCCGACCGTTTCGCAACACTGCCCGCGCTCTGCTGCGAGGGATTCGTGACATTTGGCTTGGGATTGGCACGGGGAGGAGCAATAGAGGTAGTGAGCTGTTCCATGGTATGGGCGTTGCGCGGGGAGAATGGAGAGAATGCAAGTTGGATGGAAGAAGAAGCCTAACCAGTGACCGTGAGCTCAAAGTTCGGTTTGTCGCGTCACACGTGCTTCTTGTGTCACGAGATGTCACGTGCTACGCAGTAAACGTAAGGCACCGTAACGTGCATTCATCATCGAACTCAGAGTGATCCTCCCTCATTCCACTGGTCCAACATTCGGCCATAGTTCTACGCAGAACTATGTCGGCAGCTTCATTCAATCCGACGCCTGCAGAGCTTGCTCTGACAAATCAGATATTCGCCACTGCTGATCCTCAAAAGCTCGGTGTGATCACGGGCGAGGTCGCAGTGGGAATATTCGGGGGCGCGAATTTGTCGCCAATCGTGCTTGGAGAGATTTGGCAGATTGCAGACGAAGGAAACAATGGCTGGCTGTCTCACAAAGGCGTTGCTGTCGCTGTCCGACTCATGGGCCATGCGCAGAAGGGAGAGAAGGTGTCTCCCGCCCTGCTCAGCAAACGTGCGTCCGGTCGCTGCTCAGACCATTGACTGCGTATTGAACATCTCATCTGTAGCCTGTCCGCTCCCTAACATCACTGGCTTTACTCCCGTCGTAGCACAAGGGACCGGTGCATCCCGAACCAGGTCACCAATTCCCACCGCTGGCATGCCGCCCTTCACGCCGCAAGATAAGGCCAAATTCCAGAACATGTTTGTCAAGGCAGGGCCAGTGGACGGCCTTCTTTCAAGTGATTGTCATTTCACTCTGATACCAGTACGACTGACTCCGTGCAGGTGACAAGGCGCAGGAAATATTTATTAAATCTAAACTTCCCAATGACGTTCTCGGGCAAATATGGTATGTGAATGCTTTTTGAGCGGAAAGTATCTACAACGCCTTGTTAGGAATCTAGCCGACACACAAGACCGAGGCCGGTTGGATTCCACCGACTTTGCGATCGGAATGTATCTTATACAAGCCAAGATGACGGGGCAACTACCGTCTATACCCAGCACGCTCCCTCCTGGTTTCTATCAACAGGTCGCTGGTCAGCCGCAAAGCACCATCCGCACGCAGGCGACCGGTGGATCATTCAGTCCACTCGCTAGTTCTTTCTCACAAACCTCTTCGCGGAGCGCAGTCCAACCGCAATATACCGGAGGAAGCATGTCCATTCTTCAACCTCAGTCCACAGGACCTTGGCCAGCCAAGGCTGCTGTGCCACCACAGTTGCCGATGCGCACCGGCGCATCAGCGATTGGTGGCGGTGCCTTCGGATCAACCCCAGCTCAAGCTGCATGGGATGTCACTCCTGCTGAGAAAACAACTGCAGACCACTGGTTCGACTCCCTTGATGTCCAGCGGCGTGGTTACATCCAAGATGATGTCGCTGTACCTTTCCTACTGGAGTCGAAGCTTTCTGGCGATGATCTCGCTCAGATTTGGGACCTTTCGGATCTGAACAGCGATGGCTGCTTAACCCGAGATGGGTTTGCCATTGCTTGGCACCTCATCCAGAGCAAACGCAAGGGGGTGCCCATTCCCAACAGTCTACCACCCACTCTGATACCGCCACACCTAAGAAACACCGGCTCTTCGGCGTTTGCTGCTACGCCGGCGGCAGCAGCACCTCCCCCTCCCGAACCAGTCAAGGACCTCTTCTCATGGGATGATCCTGTGCCAGTTCCTCATGCGGCTCCGCCTACCGTGCAGCCCGCATCGCCTCAGCACTCGGCATTCCCTGCTTCACCGTTCAATGCACCCTCCTCCGGTCCGCAATATATCATCTGACCTTTGTTTATCGGTAGCTAACGCGTTCTCCAGCTCCGCAGAGGGACTTGCTTGACGACGATGAAGAGGCCGTCTCACCTGCCCCCGCTGTTCAGGAGCAGGCAGCTGAAATCGGCAACCTCCAGAACCAAGTCAACTCCACGAGTCGCTCGCTTGCAAGTGCCCAAGCAGAGCGCCAGGCGCTGGAGACCACTCTCGCCAATCAAGCAGCGCAGTTGTCAGCGCTTGAAACTCAACTGTCGACCGCCAAGGCTGCGTTCGAAACCGAGAACAAGCTGCTGTCAGGTCTCCGCGAACGACACAGCAAGCAGACCGCGGACATGAATACGGTCCGGGAAGAACTCATTCGTGCTGAAAGCGATCTCAGTGCTGTGCGCGTAGAGAAAGCGGAGATCGAAGGCGCATTTCTACGAGACAAGGAGGAAGTGCGCGCGCTCCAGAAGAAGATGGTCGAAGCTGGGCTGGATATTGAGACAGCGAAGCTGGATGTCGAGAAGGCTAAGAAGGAAGCAAAGCAGCAGAAAGGGCTTCTTGCTATTGCCAAGAAACAGTTGAGCACTAAGGAATCGGAGCGAGCTAAAGCGGCAAAGGAACTACAAGAAGCGCAAGCTGAAGCTGCTGCCGTGATCGCTGAGAAGGACCACGTTGACCGGGCTATCGCTGAGGTTGAGGCTCAGCCTGCTCTAGAACGTGCTACCTCTGGTGACTCGTTGGCTTTCGCTGCGTCTCAGCCGCTGCCCACCAGCCCGGATCTAGGCAGTCCATCGCACGCGTCGAGTATCAAGAGCAATAATCCCTTTGACCGGCTGATGGGCAATACCACTCCTCGTCCTCAGTCTCCCTTTGCTTTACCGGCCGATTCCAATGCTTCAACGGACCCCTTCGGCTTGAATTCTGCTTTTACGGCGGAAGGCAGCGAAACACCTCACGCCGAGGCTTTCCCTGCTGAGACGGCTTTCCCTGCTGAGGCGGCTTTCCCTACTGGGACTGTTTCTACCGAGGCTGGTCTTTCGCCACAGGCATCCGAACCCATCCCACTTTCCCCCTCTTCTGAGGATGTCAGCGACAACGATGTGTTTTTGACCCCCGTCACTGCTACGGGCCCTGGGTTCCCGGCCATTGATGACGTTGTAGCCACGGCTTCTCCAGCTGCGGCAGCAGAGCCCAATGGCTTCGACCACTTCGAGCCTAACAAAGAAGTCGCGAGCGACGCGACGACGGTGAAATCACATCTTCCCGATCATGAAGAACAGGGCGAAACGAATCTCAACGCCCAGCTCAAGGAGTTGGACATCCAGGAGTCGGATAGCGACAGCGAGGACGAAGTTCCGCTGGCGAACATCGCCAAACGAAAAAGCGTCAACTTGGACACCCTGCCTGGTGCCAATGATGAACTGAAACCTACTGCGGTTGAAACTTCCTTCGACGATGTGTTTGGCTCATCGGAGCCTCCGGTTTCTTCTGCGTCTGGGGCGA